TTTTCTGGTGTGTATTTGTCTCCTTTCTTAAACACTCTTGAAATGTTAGCGTTTAACCAGTCGATGTATCAAATAAACTCATAGATACCAGGATTAAATTTTGTATTTACGCCAGACGCGCGTTTCGTCTACAAAAGACTCATCAGTGACGCTCGAATCCAAAAAAGTTAAAAAGGCCAAATAAAGTACGAAGTTGAAGAGCATTGAGGACCAAAATTTCTAAAAGTTTTGTCAAATACAGCTAAGATAATCTATTCCTGAGGTAGAAAAGCCTTAGTATTTCAAAAATTAAAAAGTTTTGTAAACAGTTAATTTATAAATATGACCATATCAATGATAATTCATGTCAGCACAGAAGTGCTGAATACTGGGCTGGTGATACCCTCTGGGAATTAAAACTCCACCAGAAGTGGCATCGACCCAGTGGTTGTAAATAAAATCACCATAGATACCAGGATTAAATTTTGTATTTACGCCATACGCGCGTTTCGTCTACAAAAATGATCCAATGCTTTTGAATTTTGGTACATTAATTTAAGTCTCGGTGCTATATGTTTAGAGTACTCCTTTAGGATTCTATTTGGTATGTCATTTGGACATTTTGGTGGATTTAATTGTTTTAGAAAATTTAAAACGCTTTTTTGGTCTTTTTACCAGGGATAGTATTGTATTCTTGATTGTTTGGTTGGCTTTGGCAGTGTTTTGTTGGTGTCTTTGCTAAAACTGATTTCAATTGTTGTATTAGTAATTCTGCGATTCCTTTGCTGTCGTTTACTAAATGGTCCTAGCTTTTCAAGGTAACACACCTACGTTATCCTGTTTTCTCGATTTAACATATTTCCAGAAGGGCTTCGGATTGTTGTTGTTTAGTCCTTCCAATAAAGTGATGTTTATGTAGGCCCTTTCAGCTTTTCTGACATGTCGCTAGCATTCTTATTGGGAATACATATAGTTTGTTCATTTCTGGTTCTCTATGATTATTGGTGCAGCCTTGTTTTCTCTTAAACATTTTCCTGATTTTGTGATTTATGCATGGAAGGCTTGTTTTAGAGCGGGTGGGGTATTGTGGTATATAAAAACTCATCAACGATACCAGGCTTATAATTGATACGACAGACGCGCGTTTCGTCTACATAAGAGCCATGAGTGACGTTCAAATCAAAAGAGTTGAAAGGTCAAATCAAATACAAAGTTGAAGAGTGTTAAAAACCTAAAATTCCGAAAAGTTATGCCGTATACCGTATTTGAATGCGACTAATGCAATCTATGCATGGGGGTAAAAAATCCTCGTGTTTCGAAAAATTTAACATTTAATAAACAGTACAGAAAATGAACATATCAATGTCAACACAAAACTGCTGACTACTTGGCAGGTGATACCATCGGGTACAAAACGTTCACCAGCAGTGGCATCGACCCAGTGGTTGTCAAAATTTATCAAAGACAAAGATAGTTCTTGAATGGTCCCAAGTTGATGTACTGTAGCACCCTGTTGGTACATATCTGTGATTTTGGTTGATGTGAGTTTTTATGGAGTTCTTCCTATTTCGAGTTGGAGTAAATTTAGCATTTTCATTGCAAAATAATCAAATGCTTCATTTTCCTCTACTTTCATGATATTACGACGACGTGATTTATTTAGCCCCCTTTTATTACAATTTTGTTTTAGGCAAATGAAAATGTTAATATAACATATGTTCTAATGATTGCTAAATTACTATTTAGATTATTCAATAAAATATACTCGGAAAATTAATTTCTTCTTTTTAATCAAGTTAAAATATAATTGGTCCGTGACGAGACTTCATCCCGCAGTTGGTGGGAAGATGTATTAGGCTTGTTTGACCCAAAGACATTACCAAAGATATGAAACATCGGCGCATTTAAACTCTCTAAACCCAAAACATGGCCGAATGTGAATCTTTAATAATAAAAGAAGAATATGTATGCGGACACGAATGCCCCCGCTCAAGCTTTGCAATTTTTCAAATTAAAAAGGGGCATAACTCTAGAACGGTAAATGACTTACAGCCCAAATTCGAACTCTGTCTGCGAGGTTTGGTTCTTGGCATTGTGTATGAGTTTCATAAAATTTAGATGAAGAAAACTGAAGTCAGAGTGCGGAAACGAACGGACGGAAGGACGGTTAAGGGTAACAATTAATGCCCCGGTTGCCTACGGCGGGGGCATAAAAGAATGACACAGAAAACTAGCGTAAAAACAATGCAAATTCCACTAAAATATATTAGTTTCAGGTAAGGGTGAAGGTTGGCGCCTGTTAAAACGTTTAAATCCGCTGTATTTGTTTGTATCCACCTGTTCTAAGTCAGGAGTCTGTTGTTCAGTGGTTGTCGTTTGTTGATGTGGTTCATAAGTGTTTCTCGTTTCTTTTTTATATAGATTAGACCGTTGGTTTTCCTGTTTGATTTGTTTCACACTAGTCATTTTGGGGCCCTTTATAGCTTGTTGTTCGGTGTGAGCCAAGGCTCCGTGTTGAAGGCAATACTTTGACCTGTGATTGTTTACTTTTTACACATTGTGACTTGGATGGAGAGTTGTCTCATTGGCACTCATACCACATCTTCTTATTTATATATATGAAGTGAATTAAGCTTTTTAGAAAAACTAAGGATTGATAAACAGTTCCTGCTCTACTTGTGGCACCCGTGGTGTTGCAAATAATATGTTATATCTTATGATAAAGCACAATCTATGACAGTCATAAGAATACATGATTATAACCCTAGCAACAATTCTTTTATGGACCATAAGTGACCTGTTTCAAATAAAATGTCTGTCCTAACCAAAATACCATCCTTCACACGTGCAGGTCAAATTTCTGCCCGTCATCTCGACCTAATCATTTTCCAGAACATTATTTATTATTTTTTAACTTGTTCTCGTCATGGAATCGCATTAAACACTTGCAATCCGCGTTAGGCAAATGACAATCAACAAAACAAAGTCAAGTCATCTGGACAAATTTCGAATGAATTCAACAGAGGCTAACAAAGATGTCAATGCCATATTCATAAATATTTCGATATTCATGCAGAGCTCCAGATAAGCTGCGTATTTGCGTGATCACGCAATAAAAATAATTAAAAACCCAATGCAATTGCCCATTGCAGGGTTCAAAAACCCAATTAATTCAAAGGAAAACCCAATTATATGCCAAAAACATGGGTTCTTAACGCTTTTATTCGCTATCGTTTGCGTTATTTACCCTTACTTGATTACAGTCGTCGCGTAAATCTATTTTTATAATATTTATAATTGGAAATGTCCTTTCGTTCTAAAAATAGAGCCCTGCATCAAGTAGCTGTAATGGGTCCCTGTTGGAATTTTCCGTTGCTCAAAAGGTACACGTGTTTATGAAAACATTTCGATCTTCTCGGCGTTTATCCAATTAGCGTGTGACATGCTGTCATATTTTTTCGAATTGCTCGGGACTTATCATAACATACAATGAATTAAAACGAAAGTAAACGTCCGGTAAAAATATTGAATAGAAGCATGTTTTCGGATTCTTTTTGATAGCTGAGGGAAAGTTATGATGATAACAAGACTCAGCTAGTGATTTTAGGAAGCGGCCATTGAACGCACGGGCGTGTTTGCGTACCATAACGAGAACATTTGCTAGAGCGATAAACACGGGGTTCCGTCAAAAACGAAATCAGTTGGAATAAAAAGTGAAAGGCCAAATCAATTATGACATGATATGTAGTTTGAAAGCATCGAAACCAAAAGTTCTGATAAGGGACAACTTAACCCAGATTTATGTAAATTGAATTAAACGAAAACAGTTTATACATTATTTTTTTTCATTTTAGTTGATGAGTGAATACACATATCCGTTTTTTACGTCAATGTAGCTTGACACTTTCTATGTTTTGGTCTAATTGTTCTAGATGCTTAAGATAGTTGTCTTATTGGCAAGTGCAGTATAACATTGTCATTTATTTACTTGATGTTGCAGAATTATTTGTAAATTTAAGTTGAATGTGGTCTCCGTCATTATACACCACCCTATAAACCTCAAGGTTTTGGGGTATATCTTAAATCTGGAAACTACTTTTTATTTTTATTAAAAAGTAGATCTGGCAAATAGGTGAAAGGACTGGCAAAACTTTCTTACAGCACCTAAATTTCACATATATTTCACAAAAATCTAAACACTTAGCCACACCTACCCCAACTATAATTAAACTGTAGCTAGGGTGATCATATGGGATCTAGAAAGGCAATTAGTTCCTGTCCAACTAGTGACACCAGCTGCAGTTTACATAAGTTTTGAGAAAATACAAAACTGACAGAACGTTTAAAACGGGACACAAATTAAATGTACAATTGCTCGTCAGTGAATAAACCCAATAAAACAGCTAGCACATATTCTACAAAGAAAGAAACACATTTAAGATGGAAACACATCTGGGGTTGATATAATGTGATTATAACATGGCATTGCCTAAATATTCAATATTGTGTTGATGAAAAAACCCAATACATATAGGAGCTTGGTGGTGAAAAACCCAATTTGATATTTGCTTGAGGGGTGAATTGGAATTGATAATGCAATTAAAAAACTTTATCACCCAATTACATAAAAAAATGGTGGGTAAAAACCCCAATTTGTGAATTCTTATCTGGAGCTCTGAATTCATGTACTATTATTAGAAAGTGTGCTTTAAAATGGCACGTGGGATAGAATTTAAAAATAAGGAGGTGTGGTATGCTTGCCAATCAGACAACTATCTACAAAGTCCAAAATGGCGTGGATGTAAACAACTACATGTCACCGTACGGCCTCCAATAATAAACAAAGTCCGTTCCGCATAGTCAGCTATAAAAGGTACCGACATGACAAAAATGACAAACGAGAAAATCAACGACCCGAGTTATAACAAACAATAATTTTTAAAGAAATATGACGGACAAGTGCCGATGAGTGACACAGGGCCTAGTGACTACATATTGGATAGATAATTCAAATATTATCAACAGATTTGTGACAGTTTATTAGAAATACTAAAACAAATTTGTATAATATAAATTATGGTAAAAAAAATATATCAATAAATACATATACATATGAATGAATGAAAAAAACATACTCATCGATAAAAGTAATTACGTATCCAATCAATACCTTAATACTTTCATGATTATTTACATATATACAGTGATAACAATTTAAAGAAACATACGTTTAAACAACTCAAGTGACTCATTTTACACTACTATAGTTCTTGTGTTGCTTGTCCCAAGCTGTGACCACTGTTACACAATGTAACAGAAAAAGCAGTCACAAGTATATATAAAAAAGATAAAGTTCAAGCATAACACAGATATCTGTATGAAAATTGTTCAAAATAACATTTATGAAATGAAAAAAATATAAATCCAAATCCTGTTGATAACTTCATTGTATCAGTCTCAGTTTGTTCTATCATGAATACGTTTGATTGCACACTTTACTCAGATTATGTAGAGGATTCGAATATGAGTATTATTGTTATTCCAACAACATTGGCCGTTCTAATTCGCTATATCAGTCATCTTAAAAACCCAAGCATCAGTGCTTGGAATGTTCGCAAAAGATATATTTGGCAATGTTATATTCACACCAGACGGCTGCACTTTTGTATATCTAAAGCTATAATCTTGATACCCTAACATTGTTATCAATGTGCTGCTACTGGTGATAGGTGCCTTTAAATACAAATAGTTTGTATCAGGCCACTCCACTAAAATTGCATAAACATTTGTTCCCGTTTCAGTCTTTTTCATGGTATACCAACATGCCTTAGTGGCATTGTCTTGTTGAGCTGTCCACGGTTTTGAACTATAGATGGCTTCACCGTTTATTCTCATCCATTTTCCAAACTGAATAAGTCTTTCTTCATAAACTGGTTGAAAAGTTCCATAACTAGTTGGTCCAATGTTCATAAGCATATTACCTCCACAGCTTACAGTTTGTGCAAACGTTGCAATAAGCTCCTGTGATGAATAAAAGTCCTCTATTCGTGCATCTCTTCGGAATCCCCAATGGTTTTTGTCTATTGTCCATGAATTTTCGAACTTTCTTTTCTGGAGAGTTGTAGGAAGGTATTTATCATGGCACGTGAAGTATCCACCATGATGACACATGTCGCCTTTGCCCCAGCGGTCATTAGTGACAACCGTGTCCTTCACTGGACTGTCATTGTACAGCCAAGCTATGAATTCCTTTGACGTCCAATATGTGTCTGATGCTTCCCATTCTCCGTCCGACCAAACTACTTCGGGTTTATATCTATTCACAAGCTCATATAATTCAGGCATCGATTTAAATTTCACAAAATCTTGTGTTGTAAAATTGTTTGCTTTGTCTCTAAGATATAAAGGGTTATACCATTCTAACAAAGAATGATAAAGTCCAAATCGCAGATTTGTTGTATAGCGAATAGCATCGGCCAGTTCCCCCACAAGGTCCCTGTGTGGACCAACGTCATAAGAATTCCAGTTCCAAGAATAATTAGACGGCCAGTTGGTAAATCCCTCATGGTGTTTCGAAACTAAAACAACATATTTAGCTCCAGAGGCTTCTAGTATTGCTGCCCATCTTTTAGGATCATAAAATTCTGCTTTGAAGTCTGCTGCAAAGTCGGCATATGTAAAATCAGGGCGATAATTCCGCTTCATAAAGTCGACAATGTCTCGGTGTCCATTTTTCCAATAATTCCAGAACCATACTGCACTGTAACTAGGAACCGAGAAAACTCCCCAGTGCATAAATATGCCAAGCTTTGCTTCGTCGTACCAGTCCGGAAGAGGTCGGCTTTCCAAAGACTCCCAGGTTGGTTGATATCTCTGGCCGAACGTTAATAAAGAGCAATAAAATAACAGGAACAAATATAGAGCAGCCATGTTTTAGATCTTTAACGAAATGAAGTTATCGACCCGGTAAAGCCAACGAACCGATGTCTATTTATATATCTTTTAAAGGCATCACATGTTATTTACACAGGTAAATAAACAAAATATCAATGATTGCTTGATCAATGTGTTGCTTGTTGTTTGCTTAACATCCAGTGGCACATAGTTCATGCGTAATTAGAACTTTGAGGTTCGAACAGCATGAATGAATACATAGTCGAATTATTTTTTTTTAAGATTCCTAAAAACTACAATTTTCAAACATTTTGACAATTTTTTAACATTAAAAAAATAATTAAATACATATTTCTGACATTTACAAACGGTATATGAATTATGTATTTGGGATTCGACAAGACTTGTATTATGTTCTATGTTGATTATATAAATGGAATCCTGACTTCAAATAAGGATTACTTTACTTTATCTCATATGCTAAATTATCACCATCGAGGTTTCTATATTTGCAACCCTTTCGCAACACTCTTCAGTCTGTGAAAATATCAAGCGTGTGGCTTTTTAAGATACTAAAATGCTCATGCATTATACAATTTCAATCACAGAATTGTGGCAATTTAATGGCAATAATATTATTATTATATTTTATTTCAAGTTGCGGTCAAAATTCTCGCCACACTTTAAATTATGTAGTGAAATAATTTTATATATAAAGTTGAAGGTAAAGTTCAAGATCATTTTTTTATTGCAATACGAAATCTGTCTCGTGCGATCGCGAATAACGGAACAAATCGATAAGAAGAGATCACAGTTAGTTCCTTTCTAGGAAAATCGGTTTTCTGTTGATAAAACATGTCCACCAAACATAACAACAATGATTCAGTGGCGGATCCAGAAATTTTCATAAGAGGGGGCCCACTGACTGCCTAAGAGGGGCCCGCTCCAGTCAAGCTTCAGTGATTCCCTAAATTAATCAACCAAATTTTTCCCACAAAAGGGGGGCCTCTTTTACTTCGTAAACAATATCTGCGTTTATCTTTTGTCTATTTTTATACGAAGTGAAGAAGGAATCTAGATATGTTTTTCAGTCAGTCTTTTAATTTAAGAATTGGGAATACTACGTCAGACGGGCTGGTATTATAGTAATCCCAGTTACATGATAGAAAAATTGCAAGGGGGTATGGCTATGATTGTTGAACTCTAGCAATTTTGGGGATTTTGTTTTTGAGAAAACACATTGGATTCGCACCGCCACTAGAGTTAGTAGTTTTGACACTAACTCTGAAGCCCCATTTTGATTGCTAACAAAATACTGATTAGTCATTTGGTATAAAAACGTTCCTTGAGTTTTGGACATGGAGTAATTAGTTATTTGAAAAGAAGGGTTCGCTTTGTTTTTACATTGCCAGTAATATAACGTTGTTTCTTGTAAGTTGAATACTGTAACGAAGGATTCTGATACTCACTTTTGGTTGAAATCCGAAAGTAGCATACAAAGGACAAATGATTGTCAAGCATATCATCCCTAGTAAGTGTCGTAAAGTATATGTTTGGTTTCCGAGTAAATTCTCAATACCCCATTGCTTTATTTTAGGGTATTGCCTGCGAGGATATCCCGTATCCTTCGTCCCCACTTTTTAACCCCCTTTATCACACACCTGAACTTTATTTTGCCTTCTATATCCCACATCCCAAACGCGTGTCATCCGCCCCACTATTGAAGTAACCAAGGCTGTTTTAATTTTACAGAATAATGAAGGGAGAATACATTAACCATCTGTTTCTATGTATGTGTCGTTTATTGTCTAAAAAATATCATTACCTGTTTCAGCTTTAAAATGTCTGTATATGATTAAAGACAGTCCTTTTATTTGTTCTGTATAGATTTCTTTCTTTTTTTCAATATACAATCTATTTTTTTTTATTTTGTGGTCTTCATGCCATTATGTATTTTAGTTTCACGTTCCCCTTCCTTGGCGTTTTACAAACAAATACAAGTGATTAATATTTTGAAAATTAGAAACCCCGGTTTGACATATTATACCAGAATATAGCGGTGATGAGGATGAATACAAATTCTACTAATGCATCAACTTGGTTAGATCCTAAAATGTCCCTTTTAAGGACTATCAGTATTTAAAAAGAATCTAAAATTGTAGTTCACTTAATAACAACTATTTCTTACGTTTATTTTTTTCCAAATTACAGAGAAAAAAATTAGGCCAAATCAAGCTGAAAACTGAATTGAGGACCGAAAATTCCGAAAGGTTTTTCAAAAATACAGCTTATGTATCCCAAGGATTTATATAGTAATGATGTTACTATATATAAATTCCTTGTATATACCAAGGACGTATAACTAAACAACCAAGATGTATGATGAATTCTGTATATAATAAATATAGCTTAGCACGCGTCTGTGATAAAATGATTAAAGTAAACGGTGTATAATCTTCTATCGTGATTAATCGCAATTAACTTGGAAAAATACATAAGTGATATATATATATATCCCAGCATAATAACAATAAAATGTGCTATATAAAGATTGAAGATAAAGAAATAAAAAATATTTCTATTTGTTTGTGGTTTAGCATAATTTCAATGAAGTCATATTATAACTAAAGGTTCATTTGAATGAAATCCATCCGAAGAAACATTCAATTATCTACTACAAGATGTTAATTGAAAAGTGAAGGGGAAAAATCAATTACGGCTTAACATACATTTCTGTATTCTTTAATTTTATATGTCATATTCTTTATTCTTTATATTTTGCCCATTATTCTCTATTCTTTATTTTTTTGCCTTATTTTTCTGTAGATTTTGGCTCATTATTCTCTATTCTGTTAACCGCATCCATACCCTCAGGCATATCATTTGTAGAACCAGAGACATATATACACATGTGTTTATATGTCTCTGGTAGAACTATGTCAATAATATTGTGTTTGGTGTTCGGTGAATAGACATACCCCATTAAAACCGCGGGAAAATAGTTACCTCCCCCGTGTTGTATTTTTTTTTCGATACTTCTCTGATCTTATCATTCACTTGATGACATTTTTGTCAGGATGTTTTGATCATAATACCTGTCATAGACAGGTGAAAATAAGGAATTATTTCGTAGAAACTTAGAAAGGATCGAAAATGACTTCCGTCAAAGTAGCAGTCCGAGTTAGACCTTTTAATAATAGGTATTTTGAAATTATTTGCCACGAACAGATCTGAAGTTTTATTTAAAAAAAGTGTCCTCTTTGACGGCGTCTTTGTCTTTAAAAGGTTTAATACCAATAGACTTAACTGAAACCCAAAAAAATATGAAAAGTTTGCACACACAGTTCAGAAGATAACATACATTAATATTTCCTCAAACAGAGGAGTGAATCAGGACTATATGACATATTCAACAAATCCCTGTAATGGTTGTTCTACAGTCAAAAAAGTTAAAACAATCGGTTTATTATAATAGAATGCATTCACAAATAATTTGTTTATGGCTATGCATCAAAATGATTATTCAAATAAATTATGATGTCTCGGAAGGCATTTTTTTTTATTAGATTACCTTCTGAATGCCCTATGAATCTTTTGACAAACCTGGGACTATTACACTAATATAGTTGTCCTACATGTACGATGTAGTCCGGTAAATCCGCCCACACAAGGCTTTGATCATATGTATTTCTGCTTAATTATATACAAATTGTATAAAATTTAATATAAATCGATTCACTGGCAAATCAATTTTGAGCAGTTTATCTCATTTCCCAAAAAATATCTGAAATAAATTTTAAAAACAACAAAACAAGTGGGTCATCTGTGTTTTTATCGGAAATATGTTTGTCTGGTAAATCTGCCCATGTGCAGTAAATATGTATGGAGGGCCAGTTTATCACATATTTATGAAAGGAAAAGGTGATCTATTAATAGACCACTTAAAGAGGGATTCCAGACAATCGAAAAAATAATAAATTTCAAGTCAGAAAGGAGTTTTGTAAGCAATAATATGATTATCGGTAGCTTTAGGAATTGTATTATAAATATCACTAGATATTTTCGTAATAAAGGATTTTTCTTTAAAATTTGACATGCAGTGATGATAAGTATAGTTCCTATGAATAAAATAGCAGACGAAATATTCAGGGAAGTGACAATTACAGAAGTAAATTGGAGTGGGCGGGTTTACTGGACGTGCAGAATTACCGGACAATTACAGTTATCACTTGGTGGCAAAAAGGGAATAATTATATTTTAGAAGTTTTTGTTGCCAGTGACTTACAAATTCCGGATTGTCATGCTTTCTCAGCACTAGTTGGCTTATCAATGTGCTTGAGTACCGGCATACAGTTGAAACAATAACTACCTTTGAAATTCATCTTTCAAGTTGGCATTCATTTACAATGGATATTTAAAAAAATTCCTGAATTTTTTGCACAAGGTAACTTGCTCAAATATAACTCAAATGTTTAGGGATAATGTTGTGAAAACATGGGAATTTTCTTAAATTTTTCTGTTTGTGCGTTTCCGTAAGACAGTTTTTTTCTTTCAAACCAATGTTTTTCCTGTCTATAATGAGATGAAAATCAATAGTTGCCTCCCGTACACCATAGATTTGACTATTTCAGCACTCATAAAATAAGTTTGATTAAATTTCAGTAGTCTCCCATAAAGAACAGTTTGTGTGGTGGTAAGAATTTTTGTAAGCCACATTTTCATCAGACAACAGTGAAACAACAAAAAATAAAATAAAATCCATCTGTATTACGGAATTACAAATCTGTGTATGCCAATGCATTTTAACTGCAGTTCAAAAAAACTTAAAAATAGGTGAAAAGGCTACATGTATCTATTATAGGATAAACAGACAGATGTTAACAGAGGATGAAACCCACATGAACCTAATTTTATGTACTTAAGTGTTTGTTTCCTATCTTTATATTGTCCTGAAGACTCCACTCTAAACATGAAAAATGGGAAACATGTCAAGCACGACAATAAAATAATTTCCTGGCCATTACCAGGATGTTGATGTCTTATTTTAGTTTGGATTCACGAGGTCTTAAGACAATAAGCATAATTTGGTGTCTGTTAATGACTGTACCAGCTTGAAACGCCAGAAGGTGTTGGTTCACTTGACTTTTTAAATAATTAATCTAAAGTGAATTAAGTCCAAAATTTTGTATTTGGTTTGCTTTTTTACAAGTATCCAGAACCCTTCATTTATACTAATGATGATGCATAAAATCTAGGTGAAATTCAGATTTTTCCCAGAGTTTATATGACTTGAAAAAAACATATTCTGCAACTTTTCATTTTGAAAGATTTCCTTTCTCTTTACTAATCATTTTGACCTCCTTTAGTTTGACCTCACATGAAAAGATAAGTCCTTGCTTTATTGGATCGGAGGTAGCTATCAGGATGTGTAAAAGGATTACTGGATCAGCAAAAATCAGATTTCTCATTATCACTGCCTAGTCATTTGTCATAAGCAGTTGTGAAGATACAAAATTCATGAAATCTTTAATCATCATGAATATTTATGTATTGTTTGAATCTTGAAGCATCCACATTTTGTTGTATTTGCAAGTAAATAAGTAAATATTTCAAGAGGGAAGCACAGTTAGCAACAATACAGCTTAGGTCAAATATTCCCTTAAGCCCTGTATGCATGCCATATCAAATAATTTATGGTGACACCTGATCAGGCATTGAGATACATTGTCATGATTGTAGCCTGGTTAATTGGTACATTTTGGTCTCGAGAGAGGTACTGCTGGAAAACCTTTCCCAAAGGTACCAATTGAGAACCTTTTGTGTTAGCTGTTTTTTTTTTGTGTATCAATAGAATGATAAATAAATTTATTAATGACTGCTTCCTGTCCAGTGACACATATTTCATGCAGTTTCAAGACAATGGCATGTAAATGAATATACCATGTTTTTTCAAGACAAACACACTGGATTAGAAATTAAAGTGCTAGTTCAGGCAATTTTCGCCCTATCTGGACATATTTTATGGCTCAAAACAAAGTAGTTTGCAGAGAAGCTACAGTTTAAAAGTCATTGATTTGACTCAGTGGTAGTCTATCCCAGGACCATTTGCACCGTACCATGAGAGAGATTTGGTTGTTTAAATGCAAAGTAATCAAAAAAGCTTTCAATCCTGTTACATATCTAACTATTAGACATCAAATTTAACACTGTAAAATTTTAATTGGTATTTTTTTAAATTATGCAATTTATTTTAATAGGGAAATTGATCTAGATAGCAAATTTATAGTGTCCATGAATGGAGGGAAAACAACAATCACCAATCCTAAGGCAAGTATTTTATTATAAGTTATATGGTTTCAGGGATCACCACAACCTATTAAAGGATGGCGGTGCGCCACGCTAAAATTTCTAGCACCACGTTAAAATTCCCAGCGCCATGCTTATTTTATTGTCCGCCACACAGATATCCCTAATCCAATTATCATGTCAGTGGCAATTAAGAAGTCGAATTATTGTTAATTGCCTCAAGGGATGTACACTGACAGCTGATTATATTATTTACATGGTCTCGCGTGGTTGGAACAAGGTATATGTAACAACCAATGAACGATCATGACCCAGTTTCTTCAATTTGAAAAGTAAAACTTGTTTGCAAACTACAGTTATTTTATAAATGCATATGTTTGACTATACCTTAAATGGAATGTTTATATCCTAACTAGATTAATAAAAGCAGTAGTCCAGAAAACAAATGGATTGCCTGACCACATGGTCCTTTTGTTGACAACAATGTCACATAATCTCTTTTGGCAGGAAAATACTGGGGAATACCTAAATAACAGACAAACATTGTCTGGTTATTTTTAGACAGTTAGATCTGGGATAGGAGTTTCCTTATCTTAAAACTCATTTAAAGTAAGAAAAGAGTAAAACTGGATATATAATTCCTGTATTGGAAAAGAGGGGAGTTAATTTAATAAAATTATACATAACACATATGATTTTATAAACTGCTAGATAGGCTTAATTTGGTGGAAATGACTGAAATTCTGTGACTGAATATTTTTTTTTATTATTAATTTCTTTATCTTTTTAGACCTTTTTACCATGTGGTTTTCCATAAGACAATTAAGATTAAATTTATCAGAATATTCCTGCAATCTGGGAAGCCACATCAGGTGTTTACTCTCCCTGTTTAATATGTTCCTACAAGTGTGGAGAAATGCACTAATAGGACCAACTACAAAATCTGTGTGAGACCCCCTTTCCAAATTAGCTATATATATATGACAAATACATGTAAGGCATATAATTAATAATTCATGCACAAGGAATCGATTTGACAATGCAACACAAAATCTCTGATTTGATGAACTTTCTCCCCCACCCTTGATTTTCATTCTGTGGTGAACCCTGGGTTTGCTACTGTCCTAGTGTCAGTAGTAAACGGATTTATAGGGGGTCACCATGTGCCAACGTTAAACAATGTCACTAACTTTACCTGAGGTGTGATAATTCATTTTATACGGAATATAAAAAGGATTAAGGACATATTTTTAGTCCGTCAAAATTGTGGAAAATGTATGCACTTGACATGTGACAGTTAATGTAGAAGGGCAACTGCACAAGGTAAAAGACACAGAGCCCTTCTTAACAAATAAAAAACCCCACCTTTTCCATCTCAACTCTTTGGACATTTCTAAGGACCTGCCTGTTTGTGCGAATTTTAAGGTAGACTTTTGGGATTCAGTGAAACTGAAAATATCATTTTATTTATTTAACTTAACTAATTACTGTGGATTCATATATGTTCATTGGTGTTAATAAATGTGCTTCAACAAAAATGTGCTATTTTTAGGTTTCTTTATTTCATCTTATTATCATTTGCTCTCATCAAAGTAATTAGCATTTTGTGAAGTATTTGAATTTGTAATTGCTACCTTGACACCAGAAATCCAAGAAAATTGATTTCCAGTGAATGTATTAAATATAAATGAATCCACAGTACGTTATTTTTATATGTAACAGAAGAAATGGAATTTTTTGGTTATTTATTTGTTTAGTATCTGCAAACAAATAGTAAAACAATCACCCAATTTGCTTTATATGTTTGTTATGACGTCAGTTCTACAGACATGGCAGATGAAAATAATCTCAATTTTCGACATTGTTCAATCAAATAAAAATAAGAATTTTTGACTGATATAAACTTTTGTAAGTAGATGAATTTATTTTTTAGCATATATTCAGTACATGTATAAGTCAATTTCTTTTCAATTGCAGATTCCTGAAAGGAATGCAGAAGGAGGGCATGCTAAAGATGCTATGAGGATAAAGGATTTCACATATGACTTTTCATTTTGGTCTGTGGATAAAAATGAGCCTAAATATTGTTCTCAAAAACAGGTTTGTTTAAATAGATACTTGAATGCTGAAAATGTTTCACTGAATTGTAAACAAGCAAAGATGATTGAAGTTTACCGTGTGCCTAATTTTGTGTCCACATATTTTATACAAAGAAGTTTTATATTCAATTAATAGGTAGGTACTTAAAATTTTGTTAGGATTAGGAAATTGTTTAAAATATATTTGGTAGATTTTTTTAAAAGTTCAAATATTCAGTGATTTATCAATAAATTGATGCTAATGATATGACGTTCCATGCATTGGTGAATATTTTTCCATAGAATAAGTCCCTCTGTGACCAAAACATTTAAAAAAATATGGTTAAAACTTCATTATTTCCTGTTTTTGATAACATATCTTAGATAAGTTTAATATATATAGATGATTATATATAGTCATAACAAATTCGTTTATAGTAACTTCTTGAGAAAACTTAAATTTCTACTTTTCTGATATAACATCCCTAATACATTCTAAAATTTCAGTTTATTAGCAGGAATGTCTCAAGCTCAGTAAATTATTATGTTTTAGGTTTTCCAGTGTTTAGGGTCAGATGTGGTGACTTCAGCTTATGATGGTTACAATGCGTGTGTTTTTGCCTATGGACAGACAGGATCAGGAAAGAGTTACACTATGATGGGTAACCCTGTATGTTTATTGAGGTTTCTTTTATGTCCTGTCAATGATAGTATGGGTATGAGAGTTTCCAGTCCGTGAAGTTTTAGTCACATGAACTTGAAACTTAATGCACATTTTCATTATGTGTGAACTTTTTAATGATACTTTTTGTCTTATAAGGATTTTGAACCAGATCTTGTCATATTCTGAAGATCAAAATGTAATAGTGTGAGCTGGGTATAGTGTCCTAGGGAGACTAGTCCAAGACTGTGCTGACATCTGACAGCCTTATTTGAGGACTTGCATGGGCCTATGGATCTGAGTTCAGTTCCTTAAGAAAACTTGGAAATTGCTGACCCAGTCTTGGGCCAGCAAGTTTTTGTCTCAAAATTGTAAAATAGATGGATTGCTCCAAGAATATGTACTGAATTCCACTTTCATTTATGTAGCTTTAATTCCCTCAACCCCTTCCATTTGAAGAGACATACTCTCGCTAGAGGGGTTAGTCTCTGAATAGAAAACATATTTGTGGAGAAAACTTTATTTTGAAACAAATGTATGATTTGTCTTCTAGACAATGGATCTACTACACTTTGGAGTCAGAAACTTGCAGGCTGTTTTCTTAATGGACTGTGCTTTGATGTCCAATGGCCCCATCAAGTCCCAAAAAGGCTGTCAGACATTAAAGCAATCTCTGACTAATTGATACAGATTCTAAATGTTTTGCTGTAGTAATTATTGACATAAATGTATATTGTATAAACATTCATCTTAACTGAAAAACTAAAAAGATTCAATCTTGGAGTGTTCAATCTTTGATCTTAGAGTGATTCCAGTCATTAAGTTTTTTATTACATTTGTAGATCAGTTTAAATAACTGAAGTTAGATGAATTATATATAAGAACTTAGTGTACATTTAATCTTTTCAACCTTACAACAAGCTTCTGTAACTAAAAAAAATAATGAAAATTTAATGATTTATTTTGCTTTAAAATTTAACAAGGTCTGTGTAAGTTGATCTCTGTACCTACATTGTATATCAGTCATATTTGATATGAAGTTCTGCTATTGCATGTTTAATAGGAATTCTAAATACATTTGTATGTTCATTGTTGAAAATTCCTTCATTGGATTGTAATCATTTAAATTTAAAGTTTTGATCTGACAATACTACTTTAATCAAAACCACACTGCTATAAGTACATGACAATGAGATATTAATCAAAACCACACTGCTATAAGTACATGACAGTGAGATATTAATCAAAACCACACTGCTATAAGTACATGATAATACTACTTTAATCAAAACCACACTTGCTGTAAGTACATGACAATACTACTTTAATCAAAACCACACTCCTATAAGTACATGACAATGAGATATTAATCGAAACCACACTGCTATAAGTACATGATAATGAGATATTTATCAAAACCACACTGCTATAAGTACATGACAATGAGATATAAAATTAAGTATATCACATAATTTTTTTCAAATATATTTTTCAGGATGATCTAGGACTGATACCAAGGATATGTCAGGTATTGTGTGGTTTCATATGATGAAAAATTAACAAAAAATTGTAAGATTTGTATATACATGTAGATTTGTAGGAAGGATCCTATCAATAGATTTCTTTAAAAAAATTAGCTTCTTTTTTTGCACAAGACAAAATATTTAAACATACCCATAATGAAATATTCCTATGTTTTCAACTTAATGTACTAGAAAACAGATTATGTAGTTAATATGCTTTTGCATCAGTTATAGAGAACAACTATTTTATTGTACAATGTAACCTAAAAAGAATAGACTTACAAAACAAATTCAGAAAAAAATTTGAAATACATGTTATCTTGATCCAATTTTCACATTATTTTTTGTTATTAAAAACAATTTCATTTGTCAACAAAGACACGCTTGATCTGATTGTAACATCATACTGGTACTGACCTGTGTAAAGACCAGTAAACAGCTTCTTAATAAAGATAGATACTGAAAAATTATTTCAAATTCTGTTTCATTGTCTATTTTTTCTACTGTAAACACGTACTCAATTCAACTGAAACAAATTCCAATAATCTCCTTATTCAAGTTATATGGTAAATTTCAGACTCATAAATGATAAATCTTTTTTTTTTGTAGGAGCTATTTTGTAGAATGAGAGAAGATGATACAAACTATAGAATAGAAGTCAGGTAAGATATTGTTTAGTGGTGGTTTTGACAAGGGTAATTTGTCTACATCATGATGGAAAAAAATTACAATCCAGATGAGTTTGAAGTTAGTTATGATTGAGACCTTCCTCAAGAGGCATGTTATGAGAGATTTAATGCAAATTTCGCCTTTTCAGATTCTAAAGGACTATGGGTAATCTCATTGTTCGTACCCCAAAATGAAAATAACGTTACATCATTGGTTGTATTTCCATTGTTTAGTACGTTTTCCACCAATCACAACATTTTGGTGTAGTCCCTTTTGAAAATATTACCCAGAATGCATAAGATTCTGAAACGGCGAATTCATGAGAGGTAACGTAGGATTATTTCATCAAATAAAAACTTAAAAGGTTAAAGAAATATGAAAGGTTGATTTACTTTATATTTCAGCTATATGGAAATATACAATGAAAAGGTTCGTGATTTGTTGAAACAATCATCAAATTCAAAGACAGTACATAATCTACGAGTCAGAGAACATCCAAAAGATGGACCTTATGTCCAAGGTAAATACACATATAAATACATTTATGTTTTAATGATGTTAAATTTTATGTGAAAAGATATCAAAATATACAAGTAAATGTTTAAAATATATGTTTCAAAAGTCTTTTCTCCTTTTTAAAATATTTATTGTCTGAGTATTTATATTATTTACTACTCAATTACAAACACAAAATCACAATATAATGATATCATTCTCTTAAAGATGAGAAAAGTAGTCTATGGGAGTTTGGTATAAATTTAAGTCAAATGTTGCTATTTGAATATTTTTCTCACGTACCAACCTAAATTTATTTTTCTACATGCTGTACACCTTACAAGAGTATGTCAATTATCCTTATATGTATGCAGCTAGATTAGAGAAGTTCAGGGAAGAAAAACTCAAAATATGAATTGATATGCAGCAAAAATTAACACTTTTGAAATTAAGTTACTTAGCAAATTCAAACAGACATATCCTGATGTAAACATTGAATGAGAATACATCATGAAGACGCCACATGTATGTACAAAAATCAAAAAGACCTATTATTATAATTGTAAAAAAAAAAACAGTAAAATTCTTTAAACGAAAAGCCTAATTTGTTAAAATATTTATCCTTATTTTTTTTTAACCTGCACAGGCACAACTTTTAAATTGTTATATTCATGTAAAGACAATATTTCTATACTGAAAGTTTATGTAACAATGAGCATACCAGTGTACTTGAAAACTAAGATGTGGAAAATAGGTATATTATATTGAAATTGTAACATGCTAAGGACTATGTTGAACAATCCCATTATTGGTGACTTGAAAGAGTTTTAGATTTTGTATATACTGGTATATGATTTTTTCCAATTTTTTTTATTAATATGCAGCAAAGATTTATATTTTTTTTTTAAATTCAGTTTAACAAGCTTCTAATGCAATTATTTTGATAAATAATGAAAATAAAACACCATGTATTTGCATGTATATTTCTAATAGCACAGTTTAACAAATAATATTCTTTAAAATGTAAGATTGTTGATTAGAAATTACTTTTAATCAGTATTGTTATCTGCATTATTTTTTTATTATTGATTTTGTCGACTTTCCGTATGAAGACTTACTTTTCTATTGTTCTCATGTCATTGGTTTTCCCACTGATCAAACAATTTGTATTCACACTAATTCTAAAAAAAATATAGGATTATATACACAATTTTATGTTAGTTTGTAAATATTAGAGACTGGACATGTTTTTTGACAAATATGGGACTCTAGTCTTGTCATTCGTAAATTTTAGTGGACAAAGGTAACATTCACTTGTTCAATTTTTATCAACCTGCATTAAAATAACAGAATCTCTTTGTTTTAGATCTGTCAAAACACATAGTAAATAATTATGAAGATGTAGAGGAACTAATGCATAGAGGCAATTCTGTCAGGTATATTGTATGTCTTACTTTTATATGATATATTATAACATTGAAATAAGGAAATGTGGTATGATGGCCATGAGACAACTCTCCACCAGAGACCAAATGACGTAGAAGTTACTATAGGTCACTGTACGTACAGTATAAGAATAATTTTGAACATAAAATAATGTCAATTAATATGCAGTTCATAAAAAAAGGAGATTTGGGGTTAATGCATTGAGCAGCAACCCATAACATGAACAAACAAAAGACATTTAGAGGTCAATAATAAACAATTGTCTATGCAAAACGTCAAGTGCTGAACCACCCTGAGTCTAGACAAGTAGTCAATAGATTTAACAATAGACTTATCCCACGTAGACGTATCAACCTCTGCTAGCAATACCAAATCCCCTAAAGGATAAAGACATTAAAAGATAATGCATAAATATATGCATAATTTGATATAGACCAGTGATGTGGAATGTGGATTCCCTTAAATCATAGCTGGATAAGTCCTGCAGGCTGTCTCCAGGTAAAAACTATTTTTATTCTTTCATCATGAAGTTATATCTATTTCATATTTTTTATAGGCATGCTTCCTCCTTTTCATCATGTTTATATTTTGACAGAGTAACAGCTACAACAAAGATGAATGATGTCAGTAGTAGGTCACATGCCATATTTACTTTGGTCTTCACACAGGTTTGTGCCATATTTACATGTAAAATTGACACGCATAAAGGTGATCTTATCTTTGTAAATTGCACTGTGAACTCATTATTATTTTTATAATCTAACTGGATTTCATAGGGGTACCAAAGTTTTAAGTATTCAGGGATTTTTGGATGCAGTAAATACACTCTCATGAAACATCAAATTTAACAAGATGCAAGTACTTTTGAAGTATTTGTTTGTTTTCATGTCTGTTACAAACACTACAGTTTAATCCACTTTAAATCGGAGAACTGAAAGAAGGTGTATGGTTAACAACCAATCATATCAAGATACTTTAGAAGTAAACATTAATGCTTATTTAATTTCCACATCCTATAGTAAAACATTTTCATTATTTGCTATTTTCATTCATAAAAATTAATTATAAAAAGACTTTATTGGTTACACAGAATCACTGAAGAGCATTTTTTAGCAAGATCATGTATTGCATTGAAAAAAAAGTGGATAAATTACTTTATTTTCTAATTTTTCAGTCTATTTTACAAATTTTTATTTTGTGTTTTATATTGAAATTGTTTATTCTGTTTTGTTTACTTCAGGCCAAATTTATAGATGATTTACCATGTGAAACAACCAGTAAACTGCATCTAGTAGATCTAGCAGGCAGGTGAGTTTGGAAAAATATATTATTGTTAAATGATTATAACCTGATTGTATGAGGTATATTATACTTTAATTTGTGAAAACAAGAATATGTAAATCAAATCAAATAATTTTATTGGTGTAAATTCCAATACAGGAATGATACCAGCTGACATTTACAAAATACAAATACAAAAAATTGACAAAAATAAACAAAAACAAATATATCGAGACACATATTTTCTCAATGATAAGAGACACATATTTTATATCTATATTGCGTTGAGGTGTTATTCATACTATATTTTTAATTCAAGCTATTACAATAAGCTTTAATACAACAACAGTTATTAACAACATTATGTTTGCTTTAAATGAATGTTCGAATGTATGAAATCAATACATATTAGAAATTGTGGCTTTCAGATCCATTAGTTTTTGGATTTTGTTGAACAAGAATATTATAATACTTACCCGAATAAAAGTTTTCCATTGATATGAGCATATGCTGGTTTCAATGACAAAGTTGTTGATATCCTCTTTTACTAACGGGATTATTAACAACCTTTGACTACCAAGAGGGCCTTGTAAACCATCTCATTATCTCTCTGTCAAATCCTTCAGATGATATTGTTAAGAGAATAAATGAACTTATTTATACATACATATGGAACTCACCTATACATAGAGTTAAGAAGGATATCCTATTCAAAGATTATTTGGAGGGAGGTTTGAAAATGCTTGATTTGAATATGTTCATTACAGCCCTTAAATCAACATGGATTAGAAGGATTTTGCAGAGAGATAGTAAATGGTAAAATATTTTCATGTCAAAAAAAAGTATTATCTGTATATTATTCACATACTGGATTTTAATGAAATATTTGCCACTGGACAATTAGCAGTCTACTATAGGTCAATAGATTAATTGTATCTTGAAAAACATTAAGGAAGGAGGTAGGGTGCATTGTGTTATTTGTTGTTTACTAATAAAAACTAGGACTGAAAATTTACAATTGCACTAAAATTGATAAAAATACAATATCCACAAAGTACAACATATTTGTTTTGAATTAACTTTATAAATTTTTTTTTTTGAATATTTCTGTTCATAGTGAGAATGCCGATGCATCTGGAGCCACAGGTCAAAGGTTGAAAGAGGGTGGAAACATAAACAAATCACTGGTTACCTTGGGAACAGTCATTTCACTTCTTGGTATGTATTTTAAAAATCAAGTAAGTTTGCTGAAGTGAAATATTGAAATAAAGCTGATGAACAATCGTTACCTTACATGGTATTAGTCAATTGTTTACATAAACTGTAAAACAAAAAAAAACAAGTCATGTGACATTCATTTCATAACTTTCTGAATGGTTAAATTTTACATTCAAGTTCTTTCTCAAGCACAATTATGTTGTGAGGTATTTGGATTGAGCCAATGGTGTATATCAGTTTAATTTCATCAATGCAGTCTTGATTACTTTTAAAAATTTCAAACCTTTTTATATTTAAATTAAATTTTACTTCCATGATATTTCATATATTAAATTAAAATGAATCTGATGAGTTGCAATAGAATTTGTAAAAGGTAAGGTGTGTCTGATCCAAAATAAAAAAAGGGTTTAAAACAGAGTTAAATTAAAGAATGAACAAATAGGGTAGATAACTCTTATGAACAGATGATATTCAAATTAATGAAATCTTAAATATATGTATAATAATACAGCTGACAGTGATTTGTTTCCAGGAATTCTATTTGTCTTACCATTTATGGAAAAGGTGATGATTTATATAACAAACAGCTTTTATATTTATTTATCTTTTTCGACGCTTTGACTTATCAACAGAAAATTTTGAAGAAACTTTTCAATAACTAGTATTGCTCTGCACTCTCCAGCTTAAAAATGTTTAAAAGAATTTTCTAATCCAATGCTAAGTCACTGCCTCAAATATTTGAATTATAAGTTGTTATTCCAAATTTCATACTTTTAAACTGAATTTATATTCAGTAATTTCCACCAATGATGCACTTCTTGTACATTTTCTGCTGTCTATAAATATCTGTGCATGGTACGTAAAACCTCAACCAAAATGGTTCATTAATAACATTAAGTTTTCATGCAAATTCAAGTGATAAATTGTGCATCAAGTATTTTAGATAAGATGCAAAACTGACTCAAATATATAATCTGTAATAAAACAATCATTATTGTGCAGATCAGTAAAATAAAATAATATATAACTTCTTACTAATATCTAACTTTATTATCACTGTAACTTTTTCTTAAATGCCGAAAATGAATTGTTTCTTTTACTTTGTAGCTAAGAATTGTAGTTTGAAAGAAGGAAAACAAGTGTTTATTCCGTACAGAGATTCTAAGATTACCTGGTTACTGAAGGATAGTATCGGTGGTAATGCCAGGACCATTATGATAGCTAGTAAGGACGGCTTTACTCTCAAGTCATTTTTGTGTTGGCTTAGAGCATGTATATTTATAATGGCCCTGCATTATTTTCACTCTGTCTGTCTGGCTGTCAACAATTTTTGTAAACACAAAAACTTGAAAAGTATAGATAGCAGGCCAATGAAATTTTGCACAGTTTTTGCTATAATATGTGGATGTGCATATTATACTTTGGTGAAATTTGGCACATTAATTTGGGAAATAAATTTAGTTTTTGTTTAAAAATCACAAATCTTATCATAACTTTTGTCCTTTCTCTGCTAGGACTACAATGAAAATTGTATAAATAGGTATAATATACTATTCCAAATTGATTCCATGTATAAAATTTGCATTTAAAACTTGTTTTGGGTCAAAATAAAATGGAATTCTTATCTGTCAGGCATCTTTTTTTCAAATTGGTGCCAAAGTATATAAATTCAAGGTTGCATTGCTTTGTTTGCATCAGTGTATATTATTTGCTTCTGTGCCTCACACAAATATACCAGTAGGGCCCTTTCTGACATGTCAGTTTTCTAGTTCTTGTTTTGTTTTTAGTTAACTGCTTCTGTAGTGTTTTTTTATACAAAGTGTGACATCTTCTTTTATCAGTGGAAATTAATTTTAGTCAAATTACAGTAGGAGTGATAGTTCTTGAAGTTTTTTTATATCATTTTCAATATTTCATCATAGTTTGAAAGTGAAGACAAAACCACATTGAGTAAAGAAGACAACATCTTTAACTTTACAAGGCAAAGGCCAATAAGGAAACAACAAATGATCTTAAAAAAATATTCTCTCATTTCAAACTCAATATGCCTTACAGAAATAGTGCTTTAAAAATATAGCATATGTAATTAACTTGAATGAAGAAATTCATTAATAGGCTTTGAAATTCCTGTCTTAAAAAGGCACAATAAAGAGATAAAAGGTCTAATTATGGTTTATGTTAGTGTGGTAAACTCCATTGTCTGTATGGAAAGTATAAATCTCATTAGGAATGGAAAATGGATAGCGAAAAAAAAAAAGAATGTGATGACATGTCATAATCACAAATAGTTAAAAAAACTAATTTATTAATTAGAATCCTATTTTTTAGCTATATCTCCAGCAGATGTAAATTATGGTGAAACACTTAGAACCCTGAGATATGCCAACAGGGCCAAGAATATCATCAACAGACCTACTGTCAATGAGGTATTATCTTAGGACTTTTCTTAACACTGGTTTTATTCTAGCAACAGGTAGTGTCATTATTGTAATTGTTGTGAGGTAAAAATAATATGTAATACATTTTTAAATGCTTCAGACTTTGAAATTTTGATATCATCAAATATCAAGTGTTTGACTTTTGCTTATCTATTTATGCTTCATGAAGGTCCTTTGTATGATGCATTTGTGTAAGATAAGATTTACTGATTATGCTCAGAATTGAAAAGTGTTTCATCATTTCTTTGAAATTTTTTTAGGATCCAAATGTGAAATTAATCAGAGACTTAAGAGCTGAGATATCAAGATTGAAAGCACTACTTGGTGGAAGTTTGGTAAGTTGTTTCTCATGCAGAAGTTGTTATTATTTGTGTTAAATAATTTTAACAAAAAAAATGATGTAGTTTCTCAAATAAACATTATGATTTTTATAAAGTTTTCCATTTGAAAATTGACAAAACTTTGTTGTTAATCAATTCTTATAAGTGTACTTCAGCACAGGTTTACTGCATAAGATTTGTTTGCCTGATTGATTTTTGAATGAATTTTGGTAAAATCTCATACATGGACAGTTGCATATGAAAATGTATGCCACAACAAGCATTACTCCTGAAAAGTTGATTAGAAATGTGCTAAGCAATCTATGACAAATTTGTTCACACTTTTGAAATTTATGTTGAACAGTTCTAATTAATTATCCATTTTTTACTAGCTCTAAAACATTTTGCATCTTTCATTTACAGGATAATATTGTGACACCTAAAGTTCAAGAAAAACTTCATGAGAATGAAGCGAGGGTAAGCAATAACTTTTAAAAGCAGATTCAAAAATAAATATTCACCATCTTCTTATTCATCTCAGTCGTTTTATTGCAAACCAAATGAAACTTTTTCACTATTGTTCAATCTATTTAACTTTTGTCAGTTCTATTGTCCTATTCAATAAATACAATCTAAAGCTATTGTTCTCTGTGTAGTTTATTCACTGGGACCTTTAAATTTCTTCTAAGAGAAATCTATCACTCATTGATTAATTTACCTCAGTAAAAACATCATCTTCTAAATAGATGAAAATACATGTTTTAACTAAAAAAAATGCATGTGATGTTGTATTTATTCAATATCAAAAACATATTTTCAATCTGTTCAATATAAACACTGATTTAATCATATTTTCTACTTAATGTACTTTATGATAGATAGAGGGATTTTAAACCATTTTTAAAAACTGCTTAGAATATAGACAGGCATCACAACTTAATTAAATTTAATTAGCTAGCTGACAGAGGACTCAGTGTCTCATTGAGTAGTTATATCATAAAACAGGACAGTGTCATTTTCTTAAAGACCAGAGGTTAATTAACAGAGTGTGTTAACTACCTATGCTATATTTTTGTCAATCCTGTAAGCTGTTGCAATTGCAAAACATGCACATTTTGGTCAATGATATCGTAAGTTTGTTTGCATAGAAGCTTTTATCAAAAAAGACAAAAGGCATTAATTTTACAAGGATGATGGCAAAACTCTTTTAAAGTTGACAGATGTAAATACTCATAGGATGATTAAAAAAAGGTCCTGTATGATTTTTCCGTTGAACAGTGTATTTTCATAAAAAGCTGACAAGTTTATATTTGAAGGGAACATTTTTTAGTTTAATATAGTTGATAATGTTTTTTTCTTACTTCAGGTTAAAGTTCTAACAGAAGAATGGGCTGGCAAATGGAATGAGACAGGAACTATTTTAAAGGTAACCTTAGTATAATGTTCTTTTATTTCTTGATGCTAGCCTTGCCATTGTCAGGGTCCTGTAATCTTTCATAAATTAATTAATTCTCATCCATGGAACCATATATGCAAAAAAAAAATTGGTGAAATTGAATGAAATATTTGTTTCTACCAGAACAATTCAGTTATTTTTTGAAAATTTCACCTCACACATGATTAAAAAAAAAGTCTTTAAAAAAACTGGAACTTTTATCTCTTTGGCTATCTGAAACAAAAGGTTTCTACATAAAAGCTTCTGTTGTTTAATAATTACCATATTTTTTTGCTACAATTATCTACTGATCATTAAGGCATGATGTTAATAAATAAGATAAAGAGTTGAAACTTGGATTTTTAGCAACACCATATAAGAAAAATCTATGGATTTGAAATTGGAGATTTGATGATTTTTAGTCAAATTTAAGAATGTTTTCTACGATTTTATGTGCTTTCTATACAAATGTTCACCTATTTTTAAAGAATTTAGTCAGCAATATTTTTTTAAAAAATTTAAAGAGATTAAAGCATTATTTCCTTGATTTTCAGTTATAGTTCAAGGAGCCAAAGTTGTTTCCAAATTTTTTTCAAAATCAGTCATATAGCCCATTTACTGTAACCTGACTTTAAACACTATATTTGATGCACATATTCTAAATTAAAGAAATTTTGGGGGGGATAATTTTTGAGTCAGTCAATCTGACTATGCATATCCCTTTTAGTTCTGGAAAAGAGAGCTTCTAATACCTGCTTTAAATAAAACTATTGTAAAGAAATTGTTGACAACAAAATGTCCGTGTATGAATATGCTGCTTTTTGTGATAAGGTAAGATTAGCTAACACCCAGCGTTGGCAGTGCTTTGATATCTTATAGGTAGATGTACATGCTAATTTAAATAGGTTGACATGTATTGCTCTACGGAAGAAAGTTTGGATATTGTGTTTGATCCCTTATTTCTACATATGAATCAGTATTAATGATATAATGTATTTAATTATCTAGAATGATATGTTTGCTGTACGTAAGGAAGGTCTTGGTGTTGTGTTAGATTTCCAGCTCCCACATCTGATTGGTATAGATGATGATATTTGTAGCACTGGTATTATGTTATACCATATTAAGGTTTGTATACAAAAATACTGTCTACCACTTCTTGTATCATATTTCATATTTGCAAAATATTTTTATGCCCCCGCCGTAGTGGAGGGGGCATTAAATTTTACCCTTGTCCGTCTGTGCGTCTGTACATCCCAGAAGAGGTTTCTGTTCTCTAACTTTAGTTTGCCACAACCAAATGTTATGAAACTCATGCATAATGCTTATTACCACAAAACACAGATCAAGAATAAATTTTGATGGCGTCACTTTTACCGTTCTAGAGTTATGCCCCTGTACAAATGTAAAATTTGCTGAATTTTTCGTTTCCATTCTCTCACTTTAGTTTGCCTCAACCAAATGTTATGAATCTTATACACAATGCTTATTACCACAAAACACAGTTCAAGTTTGAATTTTGGTGGCGTCACTTTTACTGGTCTAGAGTTATGCCCCTTTACAAATGGAGAAATTGCTGAATTTTCCGTTTCCGTTCTCTCACTTTAGTTTGCCTCAACCAAATGTTATGAAACTTATGCACAACGCTTATTACCACAAAACACAGATCAAGTGTGAATTTTGGTGGCGTCACTTCTACTGTTCTAGAGTTATGCCCCTTTACAAATGAAAAAATGCTGAATTTTTCGTTTCCGTTCTCTTTCTTAAGTTTGCCTCAACCAAATGTTATGCAACTTATACACAATGCTTATTACCAAAAAACTCAGATCAAGTACAAATTTTGGTAGCGTCACTTTTACCGTTCTAGAGTTATGTCCCTTTATAACATTATATGCAAGCAGGGGCATCATCTGTGTCCCATTGACACATTCCCCATTTATTTTCTAATGCATATTTTTGTTCTCTCCAGTGATTGAACCTCAATGCGCCATTTGAGGTAATATTTCAGCTGTCGAGCAAGTTTATAAAAAATTCGCGAATCAACAGGTTGATATTTTGATTAATGAAAAAAATGCAATAAGATGAACCTCACAACAATTAAAACTTGCATTTATACCTTCAGTAGTATTATTTTTCCACAACATTAATGGCATTACAGTAAAAATAACAATTGCGGATATATATTGTCATGTTTCAGGAAGGGAAGACTACAGTAGGTAGACCAGATGCTGATGTTACACCTGATATAGGTATGGGTATTCACATTAATTTATAAATTGTTCACCAGTCACTTTATATTATCCCAGGAACTCATTATTGTTCAAGGCATAAAATACATTTGTAACATGAAAAATAATGCAGATTGTTAAGACAAAAGTTCAGAACATCATCAATTCATTCTTTTTGTCAAATGAACTATCCTTATTATTTTGCTTTTCCAATCATAAAAATGTAGGATGCTTAGTTTTTCAACAGTATGGAAAACGATTTCTTACAGATTATTCATCGTACATTGAAGGAAAAACACACTGTCTATATTTTATAAAGAATATATATATATATAACTCGTCTAAACATCAGCCCAACAATGTTAGATCTGTTAATTTGCTTTTGCATGTACACAGCCATGTATCACCATCATTGCTGGTGATCCGATGGATAAATCTGTTGTAGAGTTGTCACTGGTTCAGACATACTTATATATATATAAAATATATAAATATACATTAAAATATACTTTTTCACTATTTTGGTCTTTTGGAAAATGTTGTTTGTGCTGTATTTAGACCCCTTTACCAAGAAATTTGTTTTACATGCACACGTTTAAAATTTCGATTTTTATCCAACGCAATCATAGGTTTGAACGTTGTTTTCAATTTAGATTTGTTTATATATATATATATATAATATTTGTTACTAATTTCAGTGTGCATTCAGCATGTTTAAAAAAAAAATTATTAAGAATGCTTGACAAAAGATCAGGAAGTCAAATGCATCAAACTTTAGGGAGCATTAAAACCAAAAAGGCTTGACGGGTGACTAAATATGACTCAAATGTTCTTCTGTAAGTTTGAAGTAATGAATTGTATTGTTGTATTGCCATATTTAAAGAAATATTTCAGATATGACATACCTTGTTTTTATAGTACTAGCTGGTATTGAAATAGAAAAGGATCACTGTGTAATAGAATATGTCAATGGAGATGTCATTCTCTACCCTGGTACTGGTGCCCTGTGTGTTGTTAATGGAGTCACACAAACCAGTCCAACAACACTATCACAAGGTATTGTAAAATAGATTGAAAGTGAATTTGCATGGACATCTTGCCTTTCTATCATATTTTCTTTTTCTGTTAACATATTGCATTTTGAATACCCGTGCTTTAATCTTCAGCAATTGCTTCTTTATGAGTAGTATAATATATATCATGATGACCTTTCCCCTTTAATGCTTTACAGCGACACAATCCCCCAAAAAATATATGGAGAGAAATATACAGTCTTAAACAGTAGACAGGTGGCTATACAATATGGCAAGCTCTAAATTGCCCCAATGAGTAAATTAATTAGAAACTTTTGAGATCTGCCATCAATACAAAATACTCCAAATAACATAAAAAAGGTAATTACAAAAGATGACATAAGACAATTACTGATGAAGTTTTTGATTTTGGAGGGACACATGAATATGTTAGTTTTAAAAATGAATCTTCTGATTTAATCATATATATTTTTTAGAAGTTTAATGTAAAATTATACATTATCTCTTTTATTCAGGGGCAGTAATATTACTAGGAAGAACTAACATGTTTAGGTTTAACAACCCAGCAGAGGCTGCTAAGATGAAGAAAGATCTTAATAATGTATGTTACCCTTCTATATCATATACTGAATAACATTTTTTTGTAACTGGTTGATACAAATTTTTGTTTGTTTATATTTTAATGCTTTCAGATACAAAAATTAATTATTTAATTGTTTTTTGTAATCAATTACTTATGTGTTCATTTGACTGCTTTTAAATAGGTAGATTGTTATAAGTTCATGTATATTTTTAAGGATATTCGCTCCTGTTTTGAAATAACAAAACTTTTAATACACTGTTATAAATTGATAGTAAATAAATGACGGAACTTAAAAAGCAGAAAAAAATGAAAGGTCAGTGTCCTTGTTTTTGAGATATAATCAATTGAAAAGTTGACGGGAAATGGTTCTATCTAGATTTTTTATACATTTACCATTTGCATCTTTTTTTCTTTCAAAAACTATGAAAAAAATAACAAGGATTTCATAAGACTTTCAAAAATGGCTGTTTCAACTAGATGTAATTAAATTATGAGAAGAAAAAGTAGGGGTCAGCTGGCAATATTTTTATTGGCATTACATGGATAAAACTAGAGGATTCTGAAAATATCTGACAGAAAGTCAAAAACAAGAGTAGCGAACATCCTTAAGATACATATTATATGACAAAAATCCATAAAATATTTTATATAACCCTAAGACTAAAGCTTGAATTTGATAGCTACAATATAAAGGGGAAATACTGTATCTTTTTCAGTGTGGTTTAAGCATGTCACGGTCATCATTATTGAGCTATTCTATGACGGACCTATATACAGATAGTTTATCTCAATCAGGATACTGGTATGTTTTATGTCTAACATATTTTCATGACTATTTTCAGGTTTGAAATTTCTGCCCTTTGGGATTTCCATTGTTTAGTATTTTAACTGCATTTATCATATGTCAGTTGTTATAATTTGAAGATTGGCAGAATTGTTATTACTAAATGCAATCTGTCTTTTATTGGCATGTGTTTATTTTTTTTGTAATGAGATACTGTGGATTCATTTATTTTCGTGGGTACCAATTTTCGTGGATTAAGGAAAACTTACATGTTCGTGGATATTTAATTTCGTGGTTTTTGACAATGTCTGCGTACAAACCTATAGTAAATTTGCCATTCATTGAACTTTTAATTTCGTGGTTAACATATAACCACGAAATCCACGAAAATTGGTATCCAACGAATAATAATGAATCCACAGTATAGTGTTTAATAATGACAATAAGTCACATGATATACATACTTTTTATGCAACTTCCAGAAAGTCAACATGTTAGTTTGCACACAGTGCAACTGGAAATTGAAATAGAGATTAAAGGTCCCCAAGAATGAACCTAAAGATAGTTTGACTTTTTTATGGAAACAGGAACTTCATTGTCCATTAGAAAGCCAGTCATTAATTTTCAAAATCAAAGTCAGTAGTATTCTGTTATTTTATCATACATGAACTCCTGTGATCCTTAAGCCAGGGGATATGGATAACATTTATTGAATGTAATAAATTAATAACTGAATTCATCACATTAATCAGATGATTGATACAAATGACATTTTTACTATTTTACTTAATCTCCTCCTTTTATTTAGGTGGGATGACAATGAAAACAAGTTAGAAGAAGAGAGTATAGTAGATAATAACAGGTAGATTGTATAGTTCATTAATTTTTCAGATGAATATATCAATTTTCACTTATTATTAGGTCATATGCATTTTATAATAAAGTCAAACTTGCAATGCCATTTTTTCGAACACTTTGAAAAGAAATGTTGGATCAGATATTACACATTTAAAAACATAAAAGGTTTGCTATAAGTGCAATGAAAAAAAGGTATATTTGAAATCTAATATTTGATTTATAAGTTGGTTTTTTTTTATGATGCATGGTAGTTCCACTTTAGTGACACTATGACTTTCATATTATTTGAGTTCAAAATAGAATTATTCTTATATAGCATGCCATGATTTTTGAATTTATATGGATGTATTTGCTTAAATTTAACATTTCAATGGGTAAGAGAAAAACTTCACAAACCCCCAAGACTTATGGCTGCCATGTGTTTGTAATGAGTATAGTGTGAGCCTGATATGATGTCCTATGGACACATATTCTTGTTTTTATTCTACTCATGGCATGGTTGGAAGATGGGAACATGCAATATCTTTAAATTTCTGAGAAATGAACTTGTATCAAATAAATTTTGTAGAATACATTTAGCTGTAATAAATATGATTAACATGTATTGATAGGAATAAGTTAGACGATTTAGAACAAATGTACATAGATTCTGAAAGAGAAAGGGAAGTAATTATAGTTCAGTTAGAGGTGGAACTGGAAGAAAAGAGGAAGCAGTTGGATAAAATTGAACAAGACTTTGAACAGGTGAGTTGCTTGAAGTATGCCTTATTAAATAATATGACACTTATATGTGTTAACTCTTCAACAATTTGAATTTGGACCTTCAAATGTTTTTTTTTTTTAAACTTGGAAAACTTGATGACAAACAGTGTCATTACAGAAAATTAAATTCTCTAATTTTAGAAAAAAAAATCTTGCAAATTTCTTTTCCTTTCCCCATAAAAATGTCTGTAAAAATTCAAATCAATGTTTTTTTTACACATTATAGAAAACCTAATGTACCTGAAAAGTTGTTTAAGTTGTTTTATATATTAATGATTGAATTCAATTGAATTCTTTTTATGAATAAAAAAAAACATTTATATTACAATTGCAAAAATTTCAATAACGTTTTATGAAAAAATAGTGTGTAGCTGAATCTACAGCAAATCTGCCACCTAAAAATCCCTTAGTTTGAGGTATCACCATATAAAATAAGGAGATGTGGTATGACTGACTATAATACAACTATCCAACAGAGTCCAAATAATGTAGATGTTAGCAAATATAGGTCAGTGTATTGCCTTTAACAATGAGCAAAATCCATACTGTAAGTTAACATTCAAGGAATATTCAGTTTTCTGATTATTTGTTTCAAAATGTAACCAATTTGCATCTATCTCTGTTTCATTATTAAGCAATTGACATTTTCCTATATTATTATATATCTTTTAAGCTTATAATCTCACACTGTTAATAAATTGTACAAAAGTATAATCATTCATAGTATTTATTTTACAGTTTGTTGTTATGTAGTAAGTATATTATTATTTTATATGATAGTCATACTTATCTTCCGTATAAACTTGTTATTTTCAGCTAAGACAACAGATAGATGAACAGCCAAGTAACAGTCACAGGGAAAAGGTTAGTTTTGTTCTTGAAACAGGGTATTTTGAATACTGTGATTAAATTATTTTGGAGGGTACCTTTAAAAATTTACGACTTCTTTAAAAGCTTACCAATATTTTTATACCCCCGCTTTAAAAAAGTGGGGGTATACTGTTTTACCTCTGTCTGTCCGTCCATCCATCTGTCCATCTGTCAGTCCATCAGTCCGTCCTTCCGTCCGATGAATATTTTTCGTCACATCTTTCGCAGGAACTACATTACAAAGATTTCTGAAATTTAGTTTCAGGGTTTATATGAGTCAGCTATACCATGTGATGCGTTTTCAGATTCATAACTCAACAACTTCCTGTTTACCTTATACTTTTAGTGGGGCGGGGTACCAGTAGTGAGCAGTAGCTCACAGATTCACTTGTTTTTTTATTTTTTTTATTTCATACATCAGTACAATAAGCAAAACACAATCAATATAAGACCTTGGCTGTACAGTGTTTTTTTTATCAATATGACCTATCACCTTTTACATTTGAGAAACATCTTTCAGTTTGTTGTTATAGTCTGCAAGGAATTGGGAAAGATAAAAATTGTACTTAATATTGTAGATGTTCCAAATTGATGAAGAGCTAAGAGATCTTGAGACAAGAGAGAAAGATATAGATGAGGAAACAAGATTAGCAAAAGAACAACTTCAAATGGTAAGAGTTTTTAGATTCTAAAAAGTTAGTGTTCCACAACTTCTTTACATGTGCAACTTACAAGTCGAACAATGTAATTTTGTTGGTCCTCCTTATAGCAATGTTTCAAATCTCCAGACCGAATAACACAATTTTCTTTTGTATGTGTACAAAATAGGTTAATAAACAGAATTTTTGGCCATTAAGGAGGACACAAGTATATATATTTTTTGTCCATGAGGCAGGACACAAGTTTATTTATTTTTTGCCTTATATAACCATCTATGCTTTTATCAGGAAATAGAAGATTTGCAGCATGATTTTGAGGAAAAGAAGTCAAAGGTAAAAGATGAGGTGAAAGAATTGAACGAAAATCTACAGACCTTAGAAAAAACATACTCAGATAAAGTGAAACAAATAAAGGATAAAAGAGACACTGTTAAAACAGAACAGCAGCAGGTATGTGTTATTTCAGGAGAATTGTTTACAAAGTTTTTATTGCTGTTTCAGAATCTAAAGGATTATGTGTAATTACAGAGTTCGTATCCCAAAATGAAAATAATGGCACACCATTGGTTGAATTTTCATGGTTTACGATGTTGTAAGCCAATCACAAGGTTTTTGGTGTATGCTTTTGAAAATACTATCCAGAATATTTTACACAAATTCCTGTAAACCATTACAAATTTGAAGTCAAAATCTAAATTGACGAAATTGTAATTTGGTTTATAAATTCATATTGGTTTCAGGTTATGAATATTTAAGGTTATAATTTTGACACTGTAGATTTGATGTACAGCTTAAAAATGGTGTCTTTTACAATTCTCTCTATACATGTATTCTTATTGAAATAAAAAAGAAATATTGAACTAACATTGTCAAATTATTTTGCTTACATAATCCTGTCAGGATTGAAAAGTGAGAGAAAATGAGACCCATGGTATTTTCTTTTCATATTCAAAATGCGAACAAAATTCCTACTCATTGTATGATATTTTCATTTCTAGCTTTATTATCAAATTGAAACTGAAGAAGAAGAACTTGATGAACTTCAGAATAAGGTTCAGGAAAAAAGGGACTCTCTTGTCCATGATAATCCTCAACTTGCCCAACAACTTGAAGAGTTTGATAATGCAGAAAAAGAACTTAAATCAATACAAAAGGAGATAGAACTGACCTATAAAACAAAATGGAATCAAGAATTGGAACATGTAACACAAGAAAATTTAAAAGTTGAAGAGGCATGGAAAGATATTGAAGAAAATGAAGAAGTTGTTTCACATTTACTCAGCAGGGTGGACAAACTAAATGTAACAGAGAGAAAAAGTCTCGAAATAAAGCAAGCAAGTATTCAGGAAGCAAAAATATTATTGAAAGATGAAGAAAAAAGACTTTCTGAAAAAGAGAAAAATGTTTTAGAACAAGTAGAAAGAGAGATGGAAAAATGGGAAGAGGCAAAAAATACAGAAATGTCTAATTTGCTGAATAAGAGACAAAAAATGATTGAAAGTGGGGATGTAGAATTGACAAATTTACTTCAAGAAATGTCCGAAAAATCTGATAAAATACATAGTTATGAAAAAACATTGAAAAGCGTCAGAAAAACATTAGATGATGCCGATAGTGAGGAAGAAGAAACTAAATCTCAGTTTGAAGTCGCGGGAAAAGAAATAAAAAATGAGTTATCTACTCTTAGTAAAACTCTTTCATGTTTGGATGAGGAGGAAGATGTTGAAGTGAGTGATATGAAATCCATGTTACAGCAGATTGAAGACTACTGTAATACAGAGATACTTGGCATTCAGAAAGACAAAGACATGTAAGTTCATTTTATAGAGCAAACAATTCGGTAACAATCTGACTGAGGTAACTGCTGCTGTCTTAAACAAAACATGTGGTGATGAAAAATATAAAAAAATAAAAATTTATCAGAAACACACTGAATATTTTTGGCATTCCAAATTTTTGGTCTATAGCTTACCTGATGAAGGTTTACCAGAAACTTGTTGTGTGTAATGAAATCATAACATTTTTTTTTCTTATATATTTAATTTTATCTTAATTCTAGCAGTTTTTCAGCAAGCGGTAAGATGGGAAGGGCCATTTTATCCCACTGTATGGATGGCTTTGTTTGCCTAAAAGAAAGTAAAACATCAGTAACTGTTTTATTATTAAAGTGAAAGAATAAAAATTTGCAATTTTTGTGAAATACTAAATTGTCATCTTTATAATGCAAGTTTTAAATTTGTTTGATATTGTTTCAAAATGTTTTTTGCCTTTGTAGGATGAATAAGAAACATCAAGATCTTTGTCAGCTTGACGAAGTAGGAGTATCGGATAATGATCAGAAAATTCAGGTAAGTAAAATTATAAATAATTAAAAATTGTTAGATGTTACCATGTTTTTGCTGATTTTCATATCTACTGTAGTGTATTATCATACATGTGCCTATAACAACCTGCTCAGTTGCTTAGTAAAACTCTTTTTTTGACATTATTAGCCACTTCACAATGTGAGAGCAAATATGTTTCAAGCTTAATTCTGGTAGGACAAGCTAAATTGAAATTGTCTATTAGGGAGACAAAAATTGACCAGAATTAGATTATTGGGTTTTCTGCACATTGATATCATAAAATAACAACCAACACAAATCAAGCAACTTATTAAGCACTTTTTCTAAAGAGTAAAAGGAAATGTGGGTATATGTCAAAGAGACAGCAATCCCACAACACAATAAAACCAAATGACATGTACAGGTCAACATACTGTCTTCAACAATAGACAATTGTCTGTACAGTATTTCAAACTCTACATCACCCTGTATCTGAAAAAGTTGTGATTAGGATTTAAAGTTACATTGTAACTAGAGATTAATTGTCTTGCATTATGATCTATTTATTTTAGGAATTTGAAGAAATGAGAAGGTCTTATGAGATAACAAAGCAAGAATTGGATGAAATACAGAAAAAATATGATGAACAAAGAAACAGTGAACTTGATAAAATAGAATTTGAAAGACTAAAGCTTAAAGAATTAGAACATCAACAAAGGTATGTGAATATATATGTGAAAGGTAAATAAGATGGCATTAGGAATTCAGTCTGGCCTTTAAAAAAAGTGATGGAATGCCAGACATAGGGATGCTAATCTGAAGGTGCTAGCTGCTTTAACTATTTGTAAAAAAATTATTTCAGAAGGTAGAAGGTCTGGGCACATACTACCTAGTGTAGGACTTTCTTGAAATTCACTTTTGACAGCCTGATCTAATTGTAAAATAACAATTGAATACAAATTATTTCCCTTATTGAAAAGTATACTGGTGTAAATACTGGTTCGCTGCAGTGTAGAGTAACGGTGAGAAGCAAATAGAAAACAATTTGCATTTCCAGCTTTATAATTGAGTTTGATTTCCAGTATGTTGAAGACCATCAACAATTTCTTTATTTTATATAAACCAAATGTTATCTTTAAATAAACAGGGATAAAAAAACCTAAATTGTTGACTCTTTATTGAGCATCATTACTGTGATGCAGTTATACTCCTTGTCAAGGGAAATAACCTGCTTCAAATTATAATTTAAAAGTGCAATTCCTGATTCCAGAAAAGATTTCCTTTAAAGTATAATACAGATGTGTAGTATTACAAATTTCCACCTGTCATATGTTAATTGTCCTTGGTCTCATTTTCATAGTTCTGCATGTGTTTAAAAAAAATATGAATTTTCACCAATTATGAGTGATATGACAATTATATAATTAAATAAAGAAAGTATCCTTGCAGGGTCTTCATGTCTTTCAGAGAGGGTTCACCCGACCTCGACCTCATTTAATGGATCAGTGATCAATGTTTAGTCTTTGTGGTCAAGTCTGTTTCTCAGATTTTATAAGCAATAGGTCAACTTATTTGGTGTATGGAATGATTGCATGTCTGCTAGAAGGGTACAATGCATGGTTCATTGGTCAGCATTTAGATTTTGTAGTTCGGTCTTTTTCTCAGATACGATAAGCAACAGGTTAAATATTTTGGTGTATGGAATGAATATAAGGTGTACATGCATGTCTGTCTGGCAGGGTTCATGTGACATTGACCTCATCTATATGGATCTTTGATAATGTTATGCTTACATGATACTTTTATTAAACCTTTATCTTAAGGTGGTACCCAACACCTTGACTAATATTAATTTGGCTCGTTTAATTTTCATAAAATTTTGACAAAATGTTTACTTTGACCCTTTGACAAAAATATAAAAATTTCAAAAAATTTGAACCAACCACTTTATCAGAAAAATTTCATTGGTTATATAGCAGTTTGACAAACACTAATTTTGATCATTGAGAAGCTTAATATTTCCTTAACAATACAACGTAATTAAAACGTTTAGTTGATTTTTACAGAGTTATCTCCCTGTAGTGTTAGGTACCACCTTAAATACTCTTTAACATAATTTCAATCAAGGTCAGTAAAGAAGGCCACACATCTCAGTGTGTGCACTCTTGTACTTTCGGTGTTTTTAGAAATCGTAGTTTTGTGTTCAGAATTGACCAAACAACTACACCATCATTAGTCTTGTTCATTTATTATTTAATGAAAATGACATATTTTGTTTAGAGCACATTAACTTTCCCATTCTCAGAAAGTTTTAAAAAGGTTGCCAAGGTAAACTTCTGCATTTTTTTTTTCAGAATTAATACTTTGGTAGAACAAGAAGTAAAAAGGAGAATGTTTGAAGAAAAAATTCTGAGGGAAAACTTTAGGAAAAAAGAAAAGGAAAAAGAAAGGATAGACAGAGCTGCTGAAATTCAGAAAATTAAAGACATGCATAATAGAGAAATAAAACAGCTTAAAGACAAATATGAAATCCCCAGGTAAACCTATTGTCATATGTCTTGTAGATGTGTAATAATAAAATTGAGAATGGAAATGGGGAATGTGTCAAAGAGACAACAACCCGACCATAGAGCAGACAACAGCTGAAGGCCACCAATGGGTCTTCAATGCAGCGAGAAACTCCTGCACCCGCACCCGGAGGCATGTTTTCCAATTACCTCAAAAAGTATATTTGGACAACAGTAAATATAAAGTGTGCTGTTCGATTCAAGTATCTAAAATAATCCTAAACCTTTAAAAATGTTTTGCAGCAGCATGGACCTGTGATGTGACATCATTTACGATAATGCTGACAGCATTTACATCCAAGAAAACACACAAATAAAATTTTGAGAGCGAAAAAAAAAATGTGTTTGAAAATCATTTTAATAGACAATTTAAAATGAATAAATATTTATGACTTGGAGAAAGTTAAATGTATACAGAACTTTTTTATTTCTCTTGTTTGTTCAGAAATATCTATAAAAAAAAACCAAACAGGTACATGTTATTTTAGTTACTTAGAATTTATATGATTGTAAATTATTCAAATGTAAACTGGCTTAAAGTTATATAAAAATACTCAATGTAGAGTTATCAAATACATAACATGCTATATAGACAGTGATACTGGATTAATGGTTATGAAGATGCATGAAATAAATCACTAACTGGCAGGTAAATTAGTTTTTCCTCTGAAAGTGAATATAGATAGTTTCTAATAAAGAATAGCAAATGAGCCTCTACAGTATACAAGCCAGTGTCTTATTTAACTTCTTCAGTGGCATCTGAAAAAAATATTTGAAAGGCTGTAGTCTATGTCAATTTTCTTTTATTGTAAAAAATTCTCCAATTAATAAGTTTTCTGCTTTTAATTGTAGCACTTCTTCGAAAAGTTTGATGCCATCAAAGTCCAACCCTTATGTAACAGTAAGTATTTTATTGTATTTAAAAAAAAAAATTTTAATCTGAATATGTTAATATCCAATAATGGAAATTATAGTACACTACAGCAGTAAAACAAAACAAATGTTTAAAAGTGCTTTAAATGCTTAATCCTGTATCTTTTTTTGCTAGATTATGACATCACTGAATGCAATTTTTCACAAATGTTTTGTCTTATTTCGAAGAAGCAGAAAAAGCAAGACTAAGGCATGCTGTTTCTGGCTGCAGTGTCAAGAATGTATTATTTTGTTGATAAGTTCAGTTTATGGGGAACCACGAGTGGTAGGTCAATAATATTTTGTATGCAGTTGTATTATCATTTGCACATCTAATTTCCATGGAGATTATTTGGCCTTGTTGCCATAGTCATGGTCTATTGACTTTGAAACCTTTGCTTAGTTTACATGTATTAGTTTGTGATTATGTCAGTTTAAGGGGGAACCATTAGTGGTAGGTCAATGATATTTGGTATGCAGATGTAAAAGCATATGCACATCTCTTTTCCATGGAGATTATTTGGCTCTGCCCCCTCAGTTGTGGGCTATTGCCTTCCAATGTTTTGCATAGCTAATACATGAATAAATATTGCCATTTTAATTTCAACATTTGCATTATACTATCAAAATTTCAAAAAGGCAATACATTTATCTCTATGTCAACAGTTTATTACTTTAAATGAATAATATGATGGGTGCAGTGAATCAAGAACTACTTACCATTCCCAAGCAACTGAGTTCAACCCAAGTTTGGTGTTATGCTGCTCTATCTTTGGTTATCTGTTTTAACAAGGAATTATTTGAATCTGGAATAGTTTTGAATTCTAGAAAATTGATAAGAAAGGTCTGATGAAAACTTACTCAATTTAGGAGGGTTTGCATGCATGGCTGAGGGGGTTAGTTAGTTCATACTGAATTATCAGTGAAAGTAAAATTAACCTTAGCCATTGGTGCATGGCTAACCCTATTTAATTGGGTTAGATTTCATCAAACATTTCTTATCAATTTTCCAGGATTCAAAATTATTTCAGATTCAAATAATTCCTTGTTTTTAGTGTTTTCTGAACTGTTGTTTGCCTTTTGGATTTTTATACGACCAGCAAAAACAATTTTGTGGTCGTATATTGGTATGACGTTGGTGTCGTAATCGTCGTCGTCGTCCGGTGTCTGGCGTCGTCCGAAGACACATTAGTTTTCGCACTCTAACTTTAGTTTAAGTGAATGGATCTCAATGAAATTTTACCATAAGGTTCAATACCACAAAAGCAAGGTGGGGATTGATTTTGGGGGTTATGGTACCAACAGTTAAGGAATTAGGGGCCAAAAAGGGGCAAAAAATAAGCATTTTTGTAACTTCCAGACATAACTTGTGTGTAAGTGTATGGATCTCTCTGACATTGTACCACAAGGTTCCATATCACAAAGGGAATGCTGGGATTGATTTTGGGGGTAATTGCCTCCAAATTTTAGGAATTAGGGGCCAAAAAGGGGCAAAAAACAAGCATTTTTCTAGTTTTATGACAATAACTTGTGTGTAAGTCTATGGATCTCTCTGACATTGTATCACAAGGTTCCATATCAAAAAGGGAATGCTGGGATTGATGTTGGGGGTAATTGCCTCCAAATTTTAGGAATTAGGGGCCAAAAAGGGGCAAAAAATTAGCATTTTTCTAGTTTCATGACAATAACTTGTGTGTAAGTGTATGGATCTTTATGAAATTGTACTACAAGGTTCCATTTCACAAAGGGAAAGCTGGAATTGAGTTTGGGGGTACATGTATTTACCCAAAAATGTTTGGAATAAGGGGCCAAAAATAAGCATTTTTCTAGTTTCTAGACAATAACTTGTGTTCAAGTGTATGGATCTCTCTGAAATTGTACTGCAAGGTATCATACCACAAAGGGAAGGCTGGGATTGATTTTGGGGGTAATTCCCTCAAAATTTTAGTAATTAGGGGCCATAAAAGGGCAAAAAAACAAGTATTTTCTAGTTTCAGGACAATAACTTGTGTGTAAGTGTATGGATCTTTATGAAATTGTACTGCAAGGTTTCATATCACAAAGGGAAAGCTGGGTTTGAGTTTGGGGGTAATTGCCCTAAACGTTTAGGAATTTGGGGCCAAAAAGGGGCCAAAAAACAAGCATTTTTCTAGTTTCCAGACAATAACTTGTGTTCAAGTGTATGGATCTCTCTGAAATTGTACTGCAAGGTACCATACCACAAAGGGAAGGCTGGGATTAAGTTTGGGGGTGATGAGTCATAAGGAGGTTCAAAAAATAGGGGGGGGATTTTTTTCCCCTTTTTTTTCTTTAAAATTTTCCATTTTAAATTGGTTATTTCTGATTTATGAAAGCAAATAATAATGATATGGTTTGAATAGGTAAATTAAAATTTTTTAAGTTCTTAGAACACTTTCATTCTGTGTCAGAAACCTATGCTGTGTCAAATATTTAATTACAATCCAAATTCAGTGCTGTATCAAGCTTGAATGTTGTGTCCATATGCATACTTGCCCCAACTGTTCAGGGTTCGACCTCTGCGGTCGTATCAAGCTGCGCCCCAGCGGAGCATTTTATTTTCTGATGGACAAGGTGTTTTGTTTTTCTTTGACTTCGTTTGCCCATTGGTATCTTTTCCCCTTTAAAAAAAGTTTGACTTTCAACATAAAAAAAAGTCATAACTATAGTGACATTATCAGCAATAGTTCTGTCCCGGTTACTTTTAGTCATTAAATTTTAGTCTTATATTCACAATCATTTGTAATAATATGATCATGCAAAATTGTTTTATTGTTTAACTTGAATTTAACAAATAAAATATGTTTACACTATATTTAGGATATTGGATATATATTTTTTATAATTTTGCTATCAAAAGATAATGATGGGTCTTCATAATTTCGAAAGCATCAGTAATATGTCCATTTCATGCTTCTATTTATTGTAGTCTCCTGATACTGGAAAGCAATCACAACACAATCTACGAAGCAGATTTGTAAGTGTTCCTAAAAGATTTTTTGTTAATTGGTTTCAATGCTCTTAAAAAAATCAGAAAATGTGATATGGTTGCAAATGAGACAACTCTCTACCAGATACCAAACGATGTAAAAGTTAGCAACTATAGGTCACCGTACAGCCTTCAACAATGATCAAACCCATACCGCAGAGCAAGCTATAAAAGGCCTCGAAATGACTAATGTGTACTTCGTTGGTCATTTAAATTTGTGGTTCACCTTTACCCAATAATAATAAATTCAGTAATTTTAATAGATTATGATATTCAACACAATTTTTACCGAAATATATTTGAAAAAGTGTGTAATTTTAAAAATAACAATTAATAGGAATTGAAATAGAAGAACCTGAATGCAGCTGTTGTCAAATTGGTGGTAATTCTTGAGCATAAGCGTTTACTTATTTGGATTAAATGTATTATAAAATGCTTACTCAATACCGTATTTAGAGATATTGTTTATACTGCAATTTTAATCATTTTTGAAAATTGACTCTACCTAATAAGATATTTATTAAGTGATAGCTTTCCACAACTTTAAATTGTTGAACTATTGGATCTTTAATAATGTTTATTATTTCAGTTTCACTGACAAAATTCAATTTCATTTAGTTAAATAAATCCAGAGACAATTGCTAATTGTTGATGTTGAAGATTATATTTTCTACCTCGAAAAATTGAATATATAAATATGGCAAAAAATTCTAGCAAAAGAACAATTTACTAAATCATATGTCTTTTTTAATGTATTTAATTACATGTTATATGGCTTATTATTTATTTTTCTTCTTCATAGGTACAAATTAATGCATACAAGAACAAGAAAATAATTATTAATATTTGTATACTTGATATATGATAATCAGGCTTTTTATTTTAAACATTGATTGAGAAGATATTTTATTATCCTCTCAGGAGATGTTATGTACAAAATGTAATCCCCATACCTGCAGCAATGACTGGTTTTATGTCCATATTTTGTTTTTATATAAAACCAACAATTCTTGATTCCCAGGTCTGATATGGGTATCAAATTAAAAACTGCAATCTTTGTCAATAAAGTGGTTTTGTCAAAAGTTTAAAGCACTTCAGCATTTCTAATGTGATAACTGCTAATCAGTTTTTGAAAAAAAATTCACTTGCGATTGCGTCTTGTTTGTTTCATGTCAGGAAGTTTTAAAATAAGTCTACTCATAACTCGAGAAAACGTGCCTGGATAGCTAACAGTATTTTATGGCCTTGGTCTAACATATAGGCTACACAAAGAAGTGTTTTTCTCAGCAAATTTTATGGTAATAGGTAATTAGTTAGTTTCATTAGAAAAAGACCCATTAAAGAATTCTAATTATCATTACTAGGAAATCTGAAATAATGAAATTTGCATGTAGGTATATTACATATGGTATTATCAATGAATTACAGTTGTTTTATCATTTATGTTCTTACAGAGTGGGTCAAACATATCATTATCTGGTTCCCAGATGGGAGATATTCCAGCACTGAGTATTACCATACCGGCATACAGGTTACAGGGTTATGGATCTGATGAACATTATGCATATGAAGTACAGGTAAATTGTTATGACAATTCTGAGTAAGGGTTTTATCAGCAAATGTTTTCATATTTAGCCATACATTTGGGGGTTTTAGTTGATTTTAAGCTATTAAAATATTAATCAGTGATTAAATTTTTAATTTGAATGTATACCAGGTTTTTTTTAAATATAAAAAATGGAATTATTCATTACAGCAAAACAAATTGACAAACATGTCAACCAAAAAACCTGTTAAAATGTAAACTGCAAGCATGCTGATACTTATTCTCCAAGAGATTCTGTTTAATGAAACTGTCATGTATTTAGAATAATGAAATTAATATCTACAGATAGCAGTAGGAGATGAGAAGTGGACAATATACAGAAGATACAGTCGATTTAGAGATCTACATCAGGAATGGAAGAAGCATTACTTACAGGTATTTCCTTTCATTTTATTTCTGAGTGTACGTAGTAAGGGTTGTGCAAGTTAATGTCATTTCTTGCCATTAGGCCAGACTTTTTTTTTATCTGTTTAACGAGAAAATTTGTAAAAAATTAGGGTCGAGGGGACGAAATTAAAAAAAAATAAAAGTGCAAAGTTGGTCCAGTCGACACTAAAAATAAAAATAAAACCATTATAAGTGACCTTTTTTTTTTAAGAATTTATCAAAATACAAGAACAATGAAATGAAAACAGACCAGTATATTAACCTTCTATTAATATGAACATAAAAAATATCTTTTGATTCTGTATGTCCTCTAATTTAGATCCATGCATATGCACCAGGCAAATCTATCAACCTCCCTGCATATACACTATATATATGTATATTACCAGTCAGGAACCTCTTAATGTATGTTACATGTTTATACTGTATATACAATTCAATTAAAAAAACTACTCTGTTATCATGTTCATGAAATTAATTATTTTTCATTAAAAAGATATATTCATTTAACCGTTTAGCTTGGAAATAATATAATTATTTTATATTAGTGTAATAGACATGATTGAGCAACATTAACTTATAAATTGAAACAATGCATTAAAAAGGAAATATAAACATTAATCAAAAATATCTAACCAAAAGTACGTTAATGCGTGTGGAATGCGTAATTTTTTTCTTTTGGGATCAATTTTTGTCTGTCAGCAGTGCCATTCATGCGTCCGTAGTCATTATCACAAGAATCCGGATTTCGGTCATAGCGGCTCCGCTTCCAATGAAATCCCTACTCCGATCCGTAGTTCTGCAAAAATATACCCAATAATTTAAATGTCGGAGAAAACTTAACAAAAATAAACGATGTTTGATACGCTTTTTGGAAAGGAATATGACGTTTTTAATGCAATACATGGATTACAAATTTACTTCAGGCTAATTTCATCAAGTTCAAATGAAGTAATAATTTATTTAGCCGAAAGTTAGAATGATTTGATGTACTCTCTTGTGTAACAAGTACCGGCGAAAGTGGTTTTAAACAAATTGTTTTTATGAAAAAACATGCCACCAGCTTGAAAAATCAATGCTAAATTAACCTCTTTTTTGAAGTCATAAACCGTTTATGCCTTTAATTTCTTTACTTTGAAATTGCTGTTTCATCGACTTGGTAAAAATAAATATTACCGATGATGAAAACGGGTATCGTAAACCACAGATTTTATTTTTCTTCTGAGGATTTCGTAACAGTCGGCGGGAAAAATAAAAATAAAAGTAAAAAGCACTTCTTTTATTTTTATTCTGAAATTGGGAAATTGGAGTCGGCGGATCTCGTTAAACAGATAATAAAAAAAGTCTGGCCTTATTTGTTTGTTAATTAATTCAAAGGCCTTTTTTTTTAATCCTTATATTGAGTCTGGTGACCTTGTCACTAGATCAACATGGTCCCTGTTGTGTTTTTTCCTAATTGATTGTTGAGCTGAATTTTTCTTATCGTTTTCCGCTGTCTGTATCACTGTATAAAAGGGTGATATATATACCCTTATTACATTAGGGCTATTACATTAAAATGTATGTGGGAGGGTAGGAAAGGAGATTAATTATTGAATGTGGGTCATGGGTCTTTTTTCATTATGCATCTATTACCATTATGCAAAATTATCTAAAAAATGGTTCTTGGTTGTAGGGATATTTTGAAAGTCCCTTCCTACCCTCCCACATACATTTTAATGGAATAGCCCTTACCACACAATTATGTACAAGATAAGTGTTGAATGAAAACAAAACTGAAATGTGTAACATTTATGGGGGGCAGGGTCAATATACCATAATTTACACACCAGACTGTACTGGTTACCAGTGCACAAATCGGTGCTAGGGGTTGTCTTAAACTTGCAGTGAGGTGATAGTTTTTTTCCTCTGTGTTGAAAGCCTCACTATGACTTAGAGATGAAGAACAGCAATAAAAGCACTGTTCCTTTACTGTTTGTGTTTTTTGCTGTGCATATACTGATTTTGTGTCATGGATGGATACCCCTTATCTTTTCTTTTCTATAGGCAAACATTTATCATATACTTATCACGTTATACTCAGGACAGAAAAAAAATTTGAAGAATCAAGCTCTGCTGAAAACATACTTATAAAAACCAGTGCTTTATACATCTATAATCAGGTTAAACTGAAAATTTCAGAAGCAACAGTTGATATATTGTACTTAATTTAGTTTTATTTATGTTAACTGGAAGTAATGATTATGTTAAAAAATGCTATAAATCCCCCCTAGGAAAAAACGAAATAATCAAATGTCTTCCAGTTTGATAACATTCTATAGAAAGTTGGTCTCGAAAGAGTAGACCTGCAGAAATGAAAAATTATTTCTGGCAAATTTATCATATTTTTAAAAGGCCAAATTTAAACACATAGAATTTAAAGAAATTGATGAACATTTATTTAACTGAAAAAGGTAAGAGATGAATGAAAGGCAGCAACGATACAACACAAGGTAAATGAAAATACACACAGGGCCGTAACTACATTGAGGCAAATGAGGCAAATGCCTCATGTTGAAAATTTCGAGAAAAAAAAATTATAAGTTGACACAAAAGCTTGTCCATATCAAATTGTTTTCACTGCGAGTGTCTTGCAAGAAGCAAGTTCTGTTCACCCTCTGACGTCGTCCCCTGTTTTTCGGTATCCATGTTCCTCATTTATTTCTAGTTTTCAGTGTTGATGGTCTATTGTTTGTCATTATGTGTCTTATCTGTTACCGGGTTTGTCTTTTGTTTGTTTATTGCCCTTCTTTATGACTATTGTCTCAGTGTTGAATTTCATTTGTAAATTTAATTTAGTAATTTTGTTTTAAACTTGATTTTTGTTATATTTAAGGACCTTTTGTCTAATTTTAAAGCCTACTTTAAATGGTAAAAATATTTGAAATTAGCTCTCGCTTTTTTGTTCTGAAGCGGCGTTAAGCGAACACCAATCAATCAATCAATCAATCAATCTTTATGACTAACGCTTCAGTTGTCCAATATTAAGCTGTTTTTGATTCTTCTCGTAACATCTGTATGTTGTAAACGTTCGTTCTCTGCTTTGAGTAGACTTAAGACTTGGGAAAGATCAACGATGACGAGTGAAAGGTTGTGTGGTTTGGCAATGTTGCATGTCCACCGATGTCGAAAAAATGGTTTGAGAAGATTCTATGCTACCGGACATAGAAAAATTTGTTGTTTTTTCATGGAAAATTAAACTTTATATTAAAGAATACAAGACTGGCTCTCTTTTCTGTAAATAAAACTAAAAAGCTGACATGGGTTAAATTAAAGTGAGACAACCAATCTCCCAGAATCAAATCATTTGTAAAGAAAAATCACGTATTGCCATACAACCTTTTACATTGAAGGGCTAAACTTGCATTAAGCCGTGTTCAGGCCCTTAAAAAGAAAATAAAGGGATATGGAGTAAATGTGCAATGGACAAAATCGCACACACTACATAGAATTAATTCGAAAAAGTACAATTTATCAATGAACAGGGTTTTTATTCCTGTTCTTCATCTTGACAGTCGCTTGAGGGTCTTCAACAATGAAAGAATCATTCATACCCTACAACAAGGTCAAGACGGCCCCTAGCGTCGACTTAAGCGGTACTTAAAGTATTGTACTGTGAATAAATTTGAAAGTCCCACAAAAATACACCAAAGTCTAAACACAATACAAGACCAGAATAGACAGACAGATCCGACATTAATCAGCTGGTATAAAATGTAGCAATGAGGTCTAAGAACAGTTTTCCTGATTCTATCCTGAGTGTACCCTTTTATCCCAGTTAGGAACTACATCAAGTTGGAATTGAAATGCGTTATAAAATCTTAATTCACATAGTTAAATAAATGATAATCAGCCCCCTCTTAACTTGATTTGAAAAAAAATAATTGACAGGTATAAAACGTTTTCTGCAAGCCGAAACTCAATTAAAAAAAAAAAAAACAGCAGCCACACACTTAATTATGTGACATACGATTTTTGCTTTATCCTACTTATCGGTCTTTTGATGTTGTCCCTAAAAACTAAGAGTGCTACAATGAATCTATATATTTTGCTTTGAGACCAGAATATTGTTGAAAACATAATTAAAACAAAACTTGCGTTTCTGATTAAGAACGGGTCCGAGAAACGCTCAGAATGCACAATTTTGCGTCATTTTTTCCAGAGCTTCTGGGGTCCTTCAGCGGCCCCCAGACCCCTCGCCAAAACTTTTTTGCCTCACTTTTAAAAGAGGCTAGTTACGGCCCTGACACATCTAATAATAGCCTGATTCTTACAAAAATACCCCTACCTTCCATGTGTTTATATGAAAGAAATACACCCTTTTTTTATAAACATTGTTAGGTTCTTCTGTGTCAAAGGTCAAATCAGTTAGCCAATTGTGTTAAAAAGTTTTTAATTGAGGACCTTTCTTTCAGATTGGAGGCCTTGTTTTTCCACCAAGAAAACTGTTCAGAAAACAAGAGAAAATAGCTATGGATAGACAACAGCAATTAGAGGTATTTTAAATGAAACTCTACTCAACTGTTTCTTTCCATCATTCAAGATTTAATCTAGAGTTTTTTTTATTACAAACAGTGTATGGTTTTTAATATTAAATAACAAGGATACCAGGTATTATTTCTTATGCAGCATAAATACTGCAATCTGAATAGTTAATTACCCCGGTGTAAATAACACCCCACCCTTGTTCACCCCCAGATAAATAAAATTTTGCCAAAAATTTTTAAAAAATAAAATTTTGCCAAAATAAAGAAAAAAAATAAAATAAAATGTCAAAAAAAAAAAATAAAAAATAAAAAATGAATAAATTTGAGGACAAAAATTAAAAAAATTTTTTTTTTTAAATTTTTTTAATTTTTTTCCCCCGAAAATTGGAAAGAACACAAAACAATTCTGAATTTCCCTAAAATAAAGAAAAAAAGTATTTAACAATGCGCAGCAACATCGATGTTGAAAAAATGTTACACTGGAAATTTTTCATTAGCATTTTTCAATTTTACATCCCGGTTTAAAAATGGGTAAAGGAATTGTTCATAAGAAATAAATTTGTTATCTTGGTGTAATCAGGGGTGTACGGATTTTACACCGTTGTTGAAAATTCATACACCGATTTGGCTGCGCCTCAGGGTGTATGAATTTTCAACAACGGTGTCAAATTCTGAACACCCCTGATTACACCAAGATAACTAATAATACCAAAAATATTGGACTTTATAATAGAACACACAAACCACCAACAAACAACTAATAAAAAGTGGTAATGCCAAAACACAAAATTAACACAGCCTGGTGATGAATTATTGCCTGACCAGTTTTGGTCCTTCTCAGATCTTCTTCTGAGGCAGATTGATGGAGTAAAAGTGCCAGGCTATTTATATAGTGTCTTCATAACTATCCGTTATTTGTTACCAGATACATCCATGCAGGATTAAACTAACCATTCATTTAAATATATGGTGAAATTATCATCAGTTATGGTAAACATCATTCGACTGATTTTGTATGTTACAGTAAACATTTAACCTGATGATATAGGTCAGGTAAACGTTTAAACAACATGTGGGCTTCTATTGTGTGCTGATTATAGATAAATACAGATTATAGACAACTTTGTTTTAATTTAAACAATGCCTGTATGAACTCAAATAGCATACATCCTATTTTTATGGTGGCAGAGTAGATTATGAGAACAGCTTACAATTGGAAATTATATACTTGTTCTATCATAAAAATATGATGTTTGTTATTAAATATCACAGAAACATGCCAGAAAACACACTTTTAAGTTATAATGAATATGAGTCAAAATAACTAAGTGTAAAAAAAAATGATTATTTAGTAAGATCAATTCCTTCATGATTAAAGTGTAATGGTTAATTGAACTTCATATTACTTGATGAAAGTAAAATAACAGTCTATTTTTTACTTACAGGTCTATTTAAAGAATGCTCTGACCATTTTAATGAGAACTCCAGATTGTCCTTTGCATCCTTCCAAGAACTTGTACCTCAGTAAACAGATATTATGTGATTTTGACCCCTTCTTTAAAAGAGGAATATTTGAGACATCTAAACACAGTACATCATGATAAAAAAAAAGAGGAAAAATGGTTGCAATCAGCATAATGTTATCAAGGAATCTCAATAACAAATTTAGTTTGAAATCCATAAACTACTTCAACAAGAATGTGAAAAGTAGTATTATTTAAGATCAATGTATACTTATTAGAATTCCAGAATCTCAAAAATATATTTCAAACATTAGATTAGAGGGATTATTATTTAGATACTTTTTTTCAATGTTATATTGAGGGATTTTTTTAGAAATTTTCTAGTGCCATAGGATAAATAACATTAAAAGTGTTATGTAAGATATTTGTGTTCACTAAAAAGGGCTGTGTGATTCATGTATAATTTTGTACATTAAATGTTTTTGTATAAAAAGTTTGTATCCCTTGAGGATGAGATTAGTGATTTTGATATGAAGAGAATTCACAGTTGTATTATGGTATTAGTGCATTGTCACTGTAGCTTTTGTTCTTATTGTTATTTTTTAAATGAAAGATACTCATAGTTTATGAATTAGGAATGAGTAAAGATAGTGCCATATTCATTTGTAAGTCTGCCAAACAAGGATACATTAGAATTGGGCATGAGTAATGATAGTGCTATATTCAATCGTAAGTCTGCAAAAATATTGGTGCAGGTTGAACATTAATTTTATAACGATACTCATAGTTTACAAGGATACATCAGAATTAGGAATGAGTAATCTGATAGTGCTATTATTAATTGTAATTCTGCCAAAATATAGGTGTAGGAAGTTTGATTAAACATCATTTTATGCTTGTATTTATTGTTGTAGGAGGTGATAAAATCTTTTAACGATCTCATATATGTTCATTTAATCTGTATTGTTTATTATATATTATTTTTGTCATGAATATAAAATGATACTTTTGATTACCCCCAGCATAACAGACTTGTTATAAATATTATAATTTATCGAGAGATAATACATTTTGGTTTCCGCATCACATCTATAAGCAGTTAATTTTCTAAATATGTAAAGTTTTGGCTTTTTGTTGCTTTATTGGATATCCTCTACTGATTATATGTAATGCTTTTGAATGAATGGCTGCAGGAGATGACACATTCTGCCTTAAAAACTGGCTTCTTATTTCTAATCTATTTTTCTCACAGTAAAATACAGCAGTGATTTGACTGTTTTCAGTTACTGCTTGGTTCTTCATGAGAGAAATGCAGTAATCATACATCATTGAAAAGACACTCATAAGCTGAACAGTAATGTTAGTTTTTATACCCCCGCCGTAATGGAGGGGGCATTAAGTTTTACCCTTGTCCGTCTGTATGTCCGTATGTCCCAAAATTGGTTTCCGTTCTTTAACTTTAGTTTGCCTCAATCAAATGTTATGAAACTTATACACAATGCTTATTACCACAAAACACAGGTCAAATTTGAATTTTGGTGGCGTCACTTTTACCGTTCTAGAGTTATGCCCCTTTACAAATGGAAAAATTGCTGAAATATTCGTTTCTGTTCTCTTACTTTAGTTTGCCTCAACCAAATGTTATGAAACTTATGCACAATGTTAATTACCACAAAACACAGATCAAGTTCGATTTTTGGTGGCATCACTTTTACTGTTCTAGAGTTATGCCCCTTTACAAATAGAAAAAATGCTGAATATTTTGTTTTAAATCAAGTTCCTGCAATTTGTATTAGGCACATTCCAGCTTTCTAATTTGCTCATTTTTTCCCACTATATTTCAATTGATCATTATTTAATATTTATGACGGTTTTGATTTTTCATATTTATGGATGTAAACTCTTTGAGTGATAGATGCATGTCCATAAGACATTGTATGTTGTGTTCTAGTCTGGTATTGTGTTCATTGCACTTGTTATAGGAATGCATGGTTACTTGTTACATTTTTGTGATAGTCTTTAATGCATATGCACTGTATAAATATTTTTTACAAAATGTATATTTTTATTATAGATCTTCTATTTTTAAGTCCCTTTTACATTGTTTTAATATGAATGAAAATATAAAAATATTTTATCTGTGTAATATACTTAGTACTCATTTGAATGAATCTTACAAAATAACAGTAATTGTTTACTCTCCTTTGTTTTAAACATATAATTCAGTCATAACTGCATTATAATGAAAGCATGTTTTTTTTTGAAACAAAATTGAACTCATTCTCCCTACAACCAATTTAGATATTTTTGACATAACTGAATTATTAAAGTTTGTTCAGTTCAGAAAGAATATTTCTCATCAGAGATTATTTTGACAATACACAACAAAAACATGTCATGTAAGGAGAATACATGACCAAGAAATTTTGACATTCACATTTTTTATGGTTAAAATTATGATAGTTAAAAGTCACATCCACATTGTAAACTGTTTTACTGTGTTGAAATTTAACATTAACTATTTCCTTATTATTTCTTCAATTTCATTTATATAACTGTTTAAATAATTTTTATATCTTCAAATTTTAAAATGGCAATTTGTAAATATATACAGCTTATTTATTAAAAGTTACTACCAACAATAAATTGATGATTGAAACTTGAGAAATGTCTCATTAAAAGCCATAACAGTTGATACCTGTATGATCTTGGAATTGGCCCTATAACTTTTCCTTTTGATGTATATATTTTACAGTGTTTTATTGGATTCTTTTGCTGCAAAGGTTTTCGCTGTAAAACACATAATGTTAACCAGCTATGAATTATAACACCAATTCTGTCCAAAACAGAGTTGTTCAGACACTTTAACTCATTCAACCCCAAGAGATTTCTGGAAAATCAGGCATTTTCGAAAATTTGCAAACATTTGCAAATTATATGCAAATTAGTAGACCCTTAATGCTGTAGCTGATGCTGATCTATTAAACTATGTAATGAGATTTGGTGGGGGATGGGGTGGGAGGTGATATATTTTCTAGTGGGTTTGAACCCACCCCTACTGAAAAATGGTTATTTTCAGTCTATTTTTCTATTACATACGACCTTGAAAGGTGAACATTGACCAAACTGTGTTTCTTTGTCATTCAAGTATTACCTTAAAGTTACAGCAGTCCATCCATACTGACTGGAAGTAAATGTGACTTGAGTGTCTTGCTGGGGAATTATTATTGGCAAGCCAGGTCTGCCTAAATGTCCGTTTTTACAGATTTCTGACAAAACGGTGATCTAGATTTTACAGACCAGATTTCTTTTGGCCATATTATACCTCCTTGTGTTCCTGTACCACCTATGCATGTATTTATGATAATAGTTAATACCTACAGCCCATACCAGTAAGGTAGTGACCATCAAAAGACTCCCACCCTCACCTGATTTTGGCTATTTTTCACAATTTTGAACTCTAAAAAGGCCATTAAAGTTGACATATTTTCATAAACACACATCTGAGAAGAGTTTATGGACCATGAATTGCATGGTTGAAGTCCCTGTTGTCAAGACAGTTCAGCTGGGGCAGTTCTTAAAAAGTATGGAGGGTCATACGGGCCATCAAAGAATGGTGGTCGCCATCACGACTATAGGCGGAATTGGGGGCAAAGGGGTTAATATTATTCTATATTTGAACTCTTAAATGAGTCATTAATATCCTTCCAACACATTTAAAAGTTGTCAGTCATAAGTATGAACTTTCTAGTTATACCACACATGAACTAAGTTTGATCATGCAAGTCAGTGTCTGGTTTAGAATTTGTTTAATGCCTTGAAGGATAGCTGGTTAACATTGTGTGTTTTACACTCACATACATTATGAACATATAGATTACTTGGCAATTTGGTAAAATTTCTTAGCAACTGAACATTTTGATTTGATGATACAAACTGCAATAAAAAGACTGAAACATTTACAGCAATATCATATTAAAATCAGTCAAAATTAAGGGGCCAAAAACTAATGATCTCATTAAGAGTATTCTGTGTGGCTTAATAAACCAGATAAAAATAACTTGATACTGCATTTCATCTGTCAGCAAATCATTTTTTATATTTTAACAATTTGTATAGTATTAAACAACTGTAGTAAATATTACATAGATGTCAATACAATGAGTTGATCAGCCAGGTGCAGGTATATGTGACAACCATTTTGACAATAAAAGTCTTCCTTTTGACTTGCTTGAATATCAAAATTTAAATAAAATTAAAAAAAAAAACCACACAACTATAAGTCTCACAATTGCTAAACAAATCTGACAAACAACTGATATACAATTTAAAAATCCTATTATATCCTTCATCATAATATTGTACATGAGGACTTCTCTTCCTCTTGAGGAATTGGTTTTTTGCCCATATTGTAAGCTTTAAACAAAGAAACTTTATTTTCCCATCCTGGCACTGGTTTGTTCCAATCCTCAGGTGGACTGTCTCTATATTCCCACATATTGTTTGCTATTGATGCTTTTCTTCTTGCAAAATACCTTTCTTTTTCATTGGTAATTATCTTATTCTGAAACGAAGAGGGAAAATTAATACATGTACAAAGTTAGACTATAACTTTTTTTTATTAAGCATATTCGGCTTTGAGCGTTCCTGATGACGGTAAATCCAGAAAAGCGCTTCACGTATGAAATTTATAACATGTTTTCATTTTCTTATACTACTACTGATATTATTATTATCCTTTCTAATGAAACATATATTGCCACAATTAAGTTCCAAACAAGAATTAACCCCAAGAGTTTACAAAGGTATAGAATTAAGTTCATCTGTGGTCTTCTCATATTCCAGCAGTTAAACCTTTCCTAAAGTGTCAAATCTATTTGGCTGTGCAGGATGAATAAAATGCCAGCCAATGCCTTTGCGAAGAGAGCGCAATGCTCTCTTGCATGTTAAAGAACCCTTGCAACAACCATCCAAGGGGGTCGTAGCTGGCCTGTTTCTAGGCATCCTTTAAATATCCAACTTACCTATATTTTCCAGAGGCAGTCTGCATTACCTGCCCTTCATCCCAGTTGACCCCTACTTTGCAGAACCAACCTACTGTATTGATAGTTAATTTGTTTTCATCCTAAACATCATTTTAGTTTCTTGTGTATAATTTGGAGTTTAGTATGACGTCCATTATCACTGAACTAGTACACATATTTGTTTAGGGGCCAGCTGAGGGACGCCTCTGGGTGCGGGAGTTTCTCGCTGCATTGAAGACCCATTGGTGGCCTTCGGCTGTTGTCTGCTCTGTGGTCAGGTTGTTGTCTCTTTGACACATTCCCCATTTCCATTCTCAATTTTATCATACATGTACCGGGTATATGTTTTTCGTAAAATATTTTGTTATAAATTAGGCCGTTTGTTTTCTCAATTGAATTGTTTCATATTTTTCAAGTTGGGGCCTTTTATACCCGACTATAAGGTATGGGTTTTTCTCATTGTTGAAGGCCATACTGTTGACTATAATTGCTTTCATCCACTTCATTTGAACTTTGGTGGATAGTTGTCTCACTGGCAATCCTACCACATCTCCTTATTTTTATGGGAACTATTTGCCACTAGACATAAAGCAAACAACAATCAAACCAGAATATTAAGACTTACAGCAGCGTCTATATCATTGGACTTTGTATACAGTAAACAGTTCTTGTAATCTTCTTCCCATTTTGAACAATCTAATTTATATCCTACTGTATACCACTGGTGTCTCCTACCTTTACGACCTGTAATAAACATACATGAAAAATACAAATAACACAGGGCTACTTTAAAGAACAATGCTTATACAATTTTAAAGTTATACAGCAGCCATTTGATCTTAAAAGTCTTTCATGCCTTGAAAACAGCTGGGAGTGTCAGGGTTGGTATGTTAGATAGAATTCAGGGAGATCCTTCTTTTTGTCATCATGTCTAGTTACCAAGTGCTACCCATTCTCTGGGTCTCAGCATAGCTATAGTACAAGAAGTTGTTAACTGAGAATATCATGAATTTCAAGCAATTATACAAAATGTCTGTTCATACGTAAAAAAAGATGTAAGACTGAATTATGAATATTTAGATTTTTTAATCCATTTGAACTATGTGTAATAAAAAGTAAAATCACAAAAATACCAAACTCCGAGGGAAATCCAAAACGGAAAGTCCCTAATCAAATGGCAAAATCAAAAGCTCAAACGAATGGATACATGGGATAACAACTGTCATATTCCTGACTTGGTACAGGCATTTTCTAATGTAGAAAATGGTGGATTAAACCTGGTTTTATAGCTAGCTAAACCTCTCACTTGTATGACAGTCACATAAAATAAGTATCCAATCACCTCCATCTACCTCCTTTGAGTTCCAGACCCCCTCCCAGGTTATAAGATGCTGTTTTACTTACTTTTACAAGTGTCATATTCTTCTTTATAGATGTCACATTCCCTTATCTGTAAAAACAGAAATACTGAGATTACAATACAGCTGGTATAATTGGCATGCTGAAATATAATTTGTTCTTCTGGAATATTTTGAAAAATTTAATAAAACACATACATGTACTAATCAATTAACATAAAATGATTCGATCAAATTACAATACATCCAAGGGGTCAGTTAATTTCAAATAATTTGGTTTATTATTTCTTGAAAACATTAAAATAGACCATATTTATGTACATGATGTAGTTATGGTGTAGAATAATGTAAACATGGACCAATGTGAAAGTACTTTTATTCGTGGGTATCAGTTGTCATGATTTTTCACAAAATTTACACGTTCGTGGGTTCTTAAATTAATGGATTTTAGTTTTCAGAAAGAAATCGAGTGAAGAATTTGAAGCCATCAGTAAAGAAGATTCTTGAAAATAATCATATGTGTGTGTTGTTTAATAATGATTTGTAGGACATTGCAAAATAAGGTGCCCTCTTTCACTTACTTTCATTACTGACAACATTCTTCAAAATTTTCAATAAAATAATTGCCTTTCAAAATAAATGATTCACCTATGCTTAAAAATTGTCTTGATTGAGGGAAATTGCAAAGTAAAGATTTTAATTCACACACATGTAATCAGAAGTGATGACACTAATTAACCAGAGATTGAATGATCAACCGATTAACGATCATCAATGGTGCTAATTGGGCCATAAACATGTCTCTTAAAAAAAAACGTTACAGAATACGTATGCGAATTAGGAGGAGATAAAATGAACACTTCATCATTGCATATCATCACCGGAAATCTGATTTTCATCGATCAAAACTAATTTTTCATGAGAATTAAAAGGTAAAAAGTCATACACTTTAGGTTTTTTAAAGATAAAAGGGTAAAATCTTGTCTGAAGTTGTATATATAGTTCATAGTGTGTTTGCAGAAATTTGATGCATTCTCTAGATTATATGCCCATATTCATGCAGTCAAACCTATATGGGGATCTTTCCATGTCTTGATTTGGAAAACAGTTGTTAAATTTTGTTTGACGCGGTGAAATTCGTGGATGGCGTTATAACCACGATAATTGTTACCCCACCAATAATAGTACTATCACAGTATTTCCATTCTAAAGACAGTAAACACCATGCTACAATATCTGACTATTGTACAGTGCGCCTGTGTATACAATGGTAAAGTGATCTATTCATTTGTTTGTTTCTTTCGTTTGATTGTTTGTCTGTTTGTTCATTAGTACTTTGTATCTAATAAAAAAAAAACATTAGGTATTTAAGGAAACTTAAAGAAATTCTTCTGAATCGGTACACAATAACCTTGTGCACCTATTTTGTTTTCTGATTAGAATAATTATGTGTTTTCCCTGCACCCAATGCATCTCCTTTACTCAATATTCAGAATCTGCACGTCTGCTAATGTGTATACTATACATGTACCATAGTAGGCTGTTAATTTAAACTATAAAAAGTTAAAAAAAAGTGTGAAAAAATCAGATGAAATTACTCAGAAAAATTTATTGTGATAAACAGTAAATGAATCTTTGTTATTTATAGGTATGAATTATATGATTTACACAAAACTTTTCTGTTAATAAGAAAATGAAAAAAATTTGGTTATACTAGAAAATTGTTTTTCTTTCTTCAATTTTGTTCATTATGATGTCATAAATAAATTGTTTAATAGTATGACCTACCATTGGAAGTGTTTCTGTGTTTCGGTTGATATTTTCAACAGATATAGTGCAAAATATTCATACTTAATGTTACCATAATTTGGTTTTAATATGTTCATGTTTCAAACAAGAGGCCTATAATGTAAGGTATTACCTTTCCAAATGGATTTTAAAATTTTTTTTTTATTTATTACACCAATAAAAATATAAAAAAGTGGCCTTAGTAATAAGATTCAAAATATTTTGTCCAATTGAGATTTCAAAAATGACATGCATAATCTGAGAAGGAAACTTAATCGATAGGTAGTTAGAAGAAACAGGTTAAGGCAGTAAAGTCTGCTGAAAATTTATATCAACTGTTGGGAAACCAAAAAATTGCAACATTTCAGTCTACTAATTGCAGTTGTTACATGTACCTTGACCTATGACCTAAAAATTAATAGGTTCTTTTCATCCCAAGGCTCATTATCCACCAAAAAAATGTATAAACAACTGATTTATGGCTAAAAAATTAATCTAAAACAAAATTGTTAATGGTACTGTGACCTACACCTTTGAATTACTGAAATCAATAGGTGGTCTTCCTAATCGCATTGAACATTACCAAGCCAACTTTGGTAAAGATATGCCTTATAGTTATGGTTTAAAATATTTTGTCTGGAACCTGAAATGTCGCCATCTGGATAGCTGGCTACGGAATTCCTTTTCCGATTCTGCGTCTGCAGCTTTTTCTGATTAGCCGACAACAGAATCCATCAATAGCCATAAAAAAAATGTGGACAGTATTATCAGACAAACGGCTCAGACTCAAAAGACAAAACAGCCAAAAAGGGATAATTTGTCCTCTTGCAGAACCTGGTTCGTGTTGAGGCAAGCTATATCTTTTGGGAAAAGAGTCAATCTGTCAATGATTGGTTGATTGATGGTTGCTTAACATCCAGTGGCAAATATTTCATGCATGTTCAGGACGTCTATCCGTCAATAACAATGTCATGATCATGAAAAAATCATAGGACCCTATTGACTTTGAATGATGACTTTGAATGATAAAAAACTTGACAACAAAAAACATATCAAGCAGATGTTTACGTTTCAGTGATATGCTTTAATTTAATCGTTGAAATGTAATTCTTACCAGCCAAACATCATCAGGTAGCTTTTCCGAGTTTTGTGTCATTTTCACATGGGCGCAGACATTTTCATTCCATGCGAGATATCGGCACTATACTTTCTAAGTAACGAAAAATCTAGAGCAAGCTGAAATACAAAATCTTTGAAACGTTTAATCAAGGGGGTTTTATGACATGACGACGAAACCCTGAACGACAAAGCATCTGCTGCAATGAAGAGATTTTTCGTCTGCAGTTGTTTTTACTCTCACAACTTTTTCTTGAAGAAATACCATACTCACGTAGTTTTTGTGTCAGATCAACAGCTTTTGGACAAATATTTAAAAGTATAATATCTAGTGTAAATCGTTTTCATATTTTTATTTAGTTTTGGTATTGTTTCAATCTGTTTTATTTTAAGTTGATGCGTGAACTAGATTTTTATGATTGATATTTGATTTAAGACAAATTAAGTTTATGTCAGTATTGAGTTCCATATTTTGGACTTTTGGGTTTTGTTTATTGATTCCAGGAACAATAAGTTGATAATGCCTAAGCAATGTTCATATTCTATGTACTAGACAAACACAGCAATTACAAATTAATAGGCCACTTCACGGGGCTAATTTTTTTTACAAAATTGATATGCGTGACAAGTTTAAGGTGAATACATAGTTTTGTCTGATCAAGGAGAAAGTCAGAGAAACCTGAAACAAAATTAAGAAGATGGACGAAGTCGAATCGTTATATTTCTCTCGCCATTCATGAGCTTTAATCGCCGTAATTGTATTTTTTTCGCAAAATGCCAGCGGAAACACTGCTTGCTTGCTACCTGAACCATGAAATCATTTTTAGTAAAGGAATCACCTTCCTTTGGGTGGAGTCAAATAAAGAAGAGAACCAATCAAAAGTAATGACAGTGCATAAACATTTTGAGACCAGTTTAGAAATATGTTTTCAATCTAAATTTAAAATATAATGTAAATTATAAGCTAATTTACAAGCACGTTGTACTTGTGTTTGATTTGTCAATTTCATTTTAATCAAAACAATACAATACCATTGTTACAATTGCATGCTGAGAGGAACATCTCAAAGATTTGGCCAGACCAAGTTTATTTTTACACCTTCTGTAGCATTCTCCCCAAAAAATACACATCAAAATCAAAGATGATAATATCCTTATTATAATATATATACATTGTATAAACATATAAAATAAGGATATGAATTTTTTTTTTCAAAATCGATTAAATTATAATGATAATGTTTATAGAATTACACATGTTAATAATTAAGTAATAAATGAACAGAGGTAATTGATTGAAATGAAATTGACAAATCAACCTGAAAACATACTTTTGAACTAACTTGTAAAACAGGTTTCACAATATTTATATACTGTTCCTACTTTTGATTGGTTCCCTGCTTAACTATTGACTACGCCCAAAAGAAGGTGGTAGCTTAGCTAATAATAATTTCATGGTTCAGCTAGCAAACAAGCTAGCCAAAGATACCACCTTTACCTATACACTCAAGTCATTGTGCTGTAAAAAAAATAATATAAGCTGAATGAAATAACTTAACTTAATGTTTTTAAAATATGAATTAGTTTATGATTTTAAATCTAATTATTGTGGTCCATCAATTATTAACCATGTGTAAAAACATTGCAACAAAAAATAAGATTACTACATTAAAAGGGAAAACAGGAATCTGAACAATAAATAACCTGGTTAAAGGTTTAAAAAATTAAAAAACAATTTCTCTCATAATTTGTTTATAAAGAAGCTAAGATACCAACATGTTACTGATGCTGTTCATGCTATTAGGCATTTTATTTGATTTTGAAAATCACTTTGAAAAATGTAAACTTAACTTAAAACTGTTAACATAATTTGAAAAAAATACATTGTTGAAAAAAAAATATTAAATTGTAATAAATAAAAGAACTTTGTTATTCTAATTTGGTGACCTTCTGACATTGACACACTTTTAGCTCATTTCGTCCACTGAAAAAGAATTTTAGATTCTTAATCTTTCTAAAGAATTGCAGTAATGTACATGTAACTATATATGCCATAGTGCTATATCAATGGAAGACAAGTCTTCTCATCTTTCTACTGATGATTTCTATCTCTTTGATAAGCATCTAGTCATATCATTTCATGGCTTCAGCTGTTGGTTCAGAGATATTTGGCTATAGACATCATGGTAGAGTTTAATAATGCATGAAATAGCTGATATGGAAAAGGACATGTTTTTATACATTATTATGTCAAATTTTGATACAAATTTGAATGTTGTAACAGAAACTTATTTATTTTTTAGACATTAAGAAATAAAGGATGTGTGACAGAAGATCAGTTCAAGGAGGTTTTGAGTGAGGTATTGTAATCAGTATATATTATAAATAAGGATTGGAATTTTGTAACACAAAGGAAGCTACCTAACAAAAAACATAATAAAAAAAACAACATCTACAACATCTACAATATATATACATTCACTGAGCTGACAACATTACATGCTTGTTTGAATTCTTAATTATCATTGTTTAATGAAAGGTCATGGAGAGCATTTATTAATTGATCTCTCATCAACAATTTCAAGCTGATAGTCGGTATTCTTTATTGTTTGTTTTTGTAGATTAAAAAAGAATTGCAAAGAAGGGAAACTCTTGGTCAAGCTTATTTAGAAAGAAGGAAAATTATTCAAGAAAAGTATATACCAAAGCATCCCCAGATATTTAGGTTAAAGGTATGGTATATATTTGGAATTGCTATTTGAAATTTTTCAACATTCCTGCTTCAGTGACTTCTATATTTTTTAATTGTTGAAATGTGAGTTTTTGGAAAGGTGTGTTTATAAAGAAGTTTATTTTTATATTTGATATACTGTTGCATAAGCAACTGTGCATTTCATCCAGATGTATGTTGTTCAGGTATTTACTTTTAATTTGTAAAGTGAGAAATATGTATTCTCCAGAAGGAGTGAACATACTATCATCAAGTAAAGGAAAATTAATGTTGGATGTTGAATGTTTACAAGTTGTAAATCTTTGAAAATTTATAAAATTGAATATAGGGTATATGCCAATGAAACTGTTACTTAACAATACAGAAAACAAAACGAATAGTTATCTTGGGGTCAACATTAGTATGGTCCTCAATATAAAATTGTGTGTCTTACACAATTTGCTAACTCCTAGTTCCAACCAAAAATGGAGAATGAAGAACCTGTTATGTAAATATCAATTTTTTTTATTGTAAAAAACTTCTATAAATAAAGTATAAATGATTTACTGTGTATGTGTAAGCCTACTTTCATTCTGAAGTTGAGAATTTCCTATACATAAAATGCTAGTGTATTCCTTCTTCACACTAGTGTTTTTATCTGGTTGGAAATGGAACCCTAGGGAAAATGTCTGGGAATTGTAACACTAGTGTATTTCTTCAAAGGGAAAGAGTACACTACCAGAAAAGATTCACTGTTACAAATGTTCCATACTACATGTATTAACTATTAACATTATTTTCCAGGAAGAATTTTTATCTCCAGATTTTATTAGCATAGTGAAGTTTTGTCAGGATTCCAAAGTTACCTGTTCTGCTGTTATTGAAAAGATCCAGAATGGACCAGGTGAAAAAAATACTATGCAGAACTCATACAGTAATAACTTAAATATTTAATTATTAACTTTTACTTGGCTGATATGTAGTGGTTGAAATGATGAGGACTATGTTGATAGATTGATTGATCAATTATAGTTTTTAAAGTCCAGTGGCAAACTTTTCAAGCATATTCAGGAAGACCATACTAATAGACTAGTTCACTATAGTAAAAGGATCACATCACCACTTGGTAGTTAGTCTCTTTCACCTTTACTCAAGATTAATTATCTCTACATATAAATAGAATGTTTACTCAGACCTGGCAAATATTTGTATTGCTTTCAAGTTTTCAGATATTTAATTTATAATTTCAGCTGAGAAATGCTATACATTACCTGTCTTTACTGAAGAATACTGTAAACTTATGATGGAAGAACTTGAGCATTTTGAAGATAGTGATTGTCCAAAAGCCAGACCAAACACCATGAATAATTATGGAGTAATTCATAGTTAATATTTTATAATTCAAACAAATTAGTGATTTATACAGGAAATACTCTTTTTTCTATATATCTATTTTGTCAGCTCCTTTAAAACTATCTGTTTGATGATTTGGTGAAAACATTTTGTAGGGGAGATAATCAAAATTAATAACCTCCATTTGGCAGGGGAGATAATTGATCTAACAAAATTATCAAAAAAAACTGTACCGATATTTTCGGGTATCAGTAAATAGGAATTGGATGTTTCTATCTGTTTGACAGATCAAAACAAGTTTTACTTAAACTCAATAATTTAAAAGTTAATATGTGTATTTATTTTTTTGAATCATTGGCAAAAAATAACTACAGACTATAAAGAGCCTGTGTCAGCTGGATCTTTGTGCATTTTCAACAATGGCTTCTCTCCAACATTAAAGACTAGAATATAATTCGTGACTAAATATCTCTTTTTAACTCACCTGACCTAAAAAATTGGTAAAAATCGTCATTTAAGGGCAATAACTGCTATAGTGAGTTGACCAACAATTTCAGCATCACATACTTATTTGTAGATCTTGCCTTGCTGATCATTTTTGCTATTTTTAGTTCTCTATCATAATTTTCAAGATAAAAGGTAAATATTTTTAAAAATGTTAAAAATCATCAACAAACAACAGTTTTGGATATAGTTCTAAACATTATGAACATTTATGCCTTGTCAGACTTTCTCTATCTATAGTGGTTTTCAAGACAATAATAAAATGATCTATTTTTAGTCATTTCGGCCATGTTGGTAGACAGGATCATCAGACACATTTTTTTAAGCTAGATGATCCAATGATAATTGTGGCCAAGTTTGGTTCCTATTGGCTCAGTAGTTTCAGAGGAGAAGATTTATGTAAAAATTAAAGGATGATGACCAACAGCAGTCACCAAGTGATGAGAATAATAGAAAAACAAAGGATATGGGGTATCCATCCATGACAAAACATCAGAACATGCACAGCAAAAAACACACAAAATAGCTCATTTGACATTTTGGGTCAGGTGAGCGAAAAATGGGAAATTATTCAGTACAAATTGTTATATACAAAAATCAGACTAACTGCCAAATAAAAGGTCTCATGAATACCAATTCAAATGAGGTTGAATTATTGACTTGCAAGCCAGTGATACATCAGTGATGTTTTTAGCTTATTTTGACAAAATTGAACCTGACTTCCAATAATGAAATATTATTTTAATATTCCGCATTACGGGTTATAAATATTTTTGGGTCTAAATTGTAGATACTGCCCCTTTAACAAGCAATAATCAGTTGGTCAATTTAAATTAAAAACAACGCCTATAACAATAATGGGCTTATAGTCAAATAATAGCCACCTAACAATATATGACTACCTAAAAGGAAAATCTATATGATTTTATAAAGAGGGTCGTAAAGGGGGAGGGGGGGGTTGTGTGCTTGGACGAATAGGAAATAAAATAGCAATTTCACAATGAAATATCAATAAAAAATTAGCTTGCATATTGTTTTTTTTTTAAACCAGTTTGCAAAATACAGGGTGAATAATTTGTGTCAAGCAGGAAAACATGTGGAATAAAAATTACAAACATGTTGTAGGATTTAATTGCTTTCATTTACACATCATTTGATCATTGTTTGTTACTTGAACCTGAAAATTTAGATTTTATTTAAATCTAGTAAAACATGTTAAAACTTTTTTTTATAGCTACTATTGAATGAAATTGGATTTGATGAAGAATTTTTGATACCATTACGAGAAAAGTACCTTCAACCAATTACAGCTCATCTGTTTCCTGAATGTGGTGGTGATGAACTTGACTCACACAAAGCATTTGTTGTCAAGTACAAGATGGGAGAAGACCTTGACCTCAATTTTCACTATGACAATGCTGAAGTCACAATTAATGTAGCTCTAGGCAAGGATTTTACTGGTGGTGACCTGTATTTTGGTGACATGAGAAAAGCACACAATGCCCAAACGAAATACAAAGAATATCAACATATTAGATATACAGGGTTATTACATAGAGGACAGCATATGCATGGGGCTAAACCGATACAATCTGGAGAACGATATAATCTGATTATTTGGATGAGGTCCTCAAAAATACGAAACAAATTATGTCCAATGTGTGACAATGAACCAGAACTTGTTGAAACTGTAGGCTTTGGTGATGGTTTCACCAAACAGGAAGAAGTTATTAATGTATGTGCAATATGACTTTCTTTGTTAAACATTATTCAACAATTATAGTTGAAATGGTGCTAGGATTGATAATAACATAAATTACATTATCAACAATTGATGTTGTTATTTTGGACCATACATTTATTCTAGTGTTTTTATCTGATCAACCTGAAATCTATTTGATTAATTAAAATCTACAATTCTTATTTGGATGGTCCTCCTGAGAGGCCTAGGTCTAACTTTACTAAACGAAGTCTAATGGCATTTTTTATACGCCCGTTTACGGGACGTATTATGGTATATCGATGTCCATCTGTCAGTCCGTCTGTCCATTTGTCTGTCCGTCGTCAAGTCGTACAGGAACTCAAAAATGCCAAATTTTATGAAACTTTGGTGAATTGTTGACGTCCCTTTCAAATTTTTTAAATTTCAGATTGTACGTTCCGAGTTATGGGATTTTATTCATAAAAAATGCTGGACTTTCCACTTTTCTGAATTGTTTATATATATTGACATGAGTTCCCTTTCGATTTTTTTAAATTTCTGATTTTATGTTTTGGAAGTATTGGGACTTTATTCATAAAAAGGGGGATTTTCCAGTATTTCGGACAATTACTCAAAAACAGGTTTAGCAGTTATTTTTATTCTTGGTAACAATTTGAATTAAAAAGTGTGACATTGAAATATAAATGTAAGAATTGTGGAACAGGATAAAAATAAAGCATAGCTGATTGTTCAGCCATGAAAAATAAATCATTACCTCTGGTATTTAAGATTTTATATTAAATAAACATTTCGAACTAGATGGAATGTTTCCAAAAAAAAATTTAAGGTCCTTGTGCAAAGCAAACTTCGATTTTAATATGGAAATCTTTTTCATCATTTTTAGATAAATATTTCACTTTGTACAACTCTGGCTAGGTAAATGACAAGGTGGAGACTATCTTCTCCCAATAGTTTTATTTTTCAAGGAGCATAATGAATCACACTTTACCTTTAAATTTTTCTACAAATTATTTACCTTGATCAGTTTGTTATTTAGAAACTAACACAAAGTAAAAATTTGGGGTGCTTTTGACAGTACAATGTAATATGTTTCAAGTCAGTATTCCTACATGAATTTAAATCTTATGAATTGTATGTTATATATTTTTTTAATTGTCTTTGTGATGTTGACCTATTTAAATATTGACCTATTTAAATATTAATATATTTATTATCTGTGATAATTACTTGTTATTTTGAATAATAAATTGTTTGAATAAAAAATCTTGTTTTATCTCTGTTTTGGCACATTTTTAGTCGCAAAATGCAAATCATAGGGATTACAATCCTGTGGTGATGATGTGAACTATTTGTATAAAGCTTCATACTTTTGTTACAAAGTTTATGTCATATATAGATACAAGAAGATGTGGTATGAGTGCCAATGAGACAACTCTCCATCCAAGTCACAATTTGTAAAAGTAAACCATTATAGGTCAAAGTACGGCCTTCAACACGGAGCCTTGGCTCACACCGCACAGCAAGCTATAAAGGGCCCCAAAAATGACTAGTGTAAAACCATTCAAACAGGAAAACCAACGGTCTAATCTATATAAAAAACGAGAAACGAGAAACAGTTATGAACCACATCAACAAGCGACAACCACTGAACATCAGGTTCCTGACTTACGACAGTTGCAAACAAATGCAGCAGGTTTAAACGTTTTAATAGGCGCCAACCTTCACCATATGTCCATTATCCTTGACCTCAATTTAGTGTTTCTCTCCTCATACTTCTAATAGCATCTTGGTAAACACAGAATTTTGAAATAGCATCTTTTTTCTTCAAATAATAGCATCACATCCATAACACAATCTATAAGAAAATCAATTAATATAGCATCACATTCAAGCAATATAACATCATATTATGCTAAAAGGTTCTGGGGAGAACACTGCCTCATTTCATGGTTCAGTGACTGCTTGCACAAATTTTTTTTGTAATGTGAAAAACTCACCTGTTATGAGTAATAGGATAACTATTTGGTAGAATGGACCTTTGCAAGGTCCACATGTCTGTCAGACAGGGTTAACCTGACCTCAACCTCATTTCATGGATCAGTGATCACGGTTAAGTTTTGGTGGTCAAGTCCGTATCTCAGATACTACCAGCAATAGGTCAACTATATTTGGTGTATGGAGTGATAGTAAGGTGTTCATGTCCGACTGGCAGGTTTCATCTGACCTTGACCTTATTTTCAAGGTTAAGTGGTTGATGTTAAGTTTTTGTGATTTTTCTATTTCTCAGATACTATAAGCAATATATTAGATATATTGATTGTAAAGTGTACATATCTGGCAGATTTCATCTGACCTTGACCTTTTTTAATGGCTCATTGGACAATGTTAAGCTTTTGTGGATTGGTCTATTTTTCAGATACTATAAGTAATAGGCTACTATGTTTGGTGTATGCAATGATTGTAAGGTCACTGGTGTATATGTCAATCTGGCAAGTTTCATCTGACCTTGACCTCATTTTCATGGTGCAGTAGTCAATGTAAATTTTCATGGTTTTTGTTGGTTTATCAGATAATATAAGCAATAGGTCAACTATATTTGGTGATAGTTGGTGTATGGAAGCATTGAAAGTTGTACATGTCTGGTCCGAGTACACAGTTATTTCGTAGTGCATTTCTTTTAGACAATAAATGAAAATAAAAAAAATCCCACCTGCGCTTTCTCAATAATATTTTTACAGTGTGTTGTACTACTTTTGGGACAAATTATATCAAAATTATAGAAAACTTCATCGGCTCTAACTCAAAATATGGACAATTCTATGTTAAGGGGGTCTTGAAATCTTTTGACAGCTTCCGAAGTGCTAATTTTTAACCTTTTTCAGCTGGACCAAATCACTACTTTACTTTACAATTCATGACCCAAATTTTTTTACAGTGTAATTTCATCCCCCTACTTGCTATTTGAGGCATAAAACATGAAGGAATACATTTGGAAGGGGTACTAAAAAAATTGGCAAGCAACACACTGTCCACACTAGGGACTTTATTCGTGGACAACGAAAATCAAAGGACGATAACTGTGTACTCGGACCTAATAGGATAGAAAAATTTGACCAATCTTAATAAAACTTGGTATGACTAAAGCTTAATAAATTATGAGACTGCTGACAAAGTTTCATGGCAATAGGATATATATTATAGACAATATGATAAATTCTATATTCAACTTCGCGTGTTAAATTTTGACGTTTAAATTGAAAAATTTCAACTATCAACATTTGGGGCTTTAAAAATTAAAATATTGCAAAAAATTACATTTTAAAGGCCTTAATATATGACATATTATGTATTTAAAGCAATAGAATACTCATTTGATTTATCAGACTTATCACAATTATTTAAAAGTCAAATTTATATGAGCCTGTGCCAAAAAATGGAGGTTTTCCAATGAAGGGGGGCCTTACATGAAGATGTATTATTTTCCAGCAGTTTTAAATTTGTGGAGTTTTTTGGTTATAAATAATCCTTACATATGTATTAAATGTACTTTAAATGGAAAGAAAAATTACAAATAGCATACCATATTAGTATAAAAGGGTCTTAAGCCAAGTAAGACTGAAAATAATTTAGGGTCAATTTAGGCCGTAGCACATATTTACATTTAAAAATGCATACTGAAGCTATAGGAAATAAAAATTTGTGTCTTTTTTATAATTTCTATACTCAGGTTACATGATACAATAAATCTGAGCATAAAAGGACTCTTGCATTCAACTTTTTTTGCAGACAGTATGGTCTGATACAAAGATTTTTCACTTTTTAGTGAAAAACTTACATGCAATTTTTGCCTCAGCAGGCTTATATTTGAACCACTTGCTATTTAACATAAGAAAAGAAAGATACTATGTGAAATGAAACAGGTACAAAAGACATTGTGAAGTGCTTATAATACAAATTTAGCGAAATCTTTATTATGGACTTCAACTTTTATGTACCTAGGTCCTCACATTTAACTTGATCCAAACAGGCCGTTACACGAGGGTCATTTATACAACACATTTTGCACATATTGTCTGAGATAATCTTATTTTCTGTAGATTCAGAGTTCACAAATGAGTAATACAACTGGGTTAAAGCATAGAAACACAAATATTGACACAGGAAAACCTGTCACATAGAAAGTCAGAATGCCACTTATGCATCAAAATTGAAAAAGCTTTGAAATGCTTATTTTGACCATATAATGCCAAAATGGGTAATTTTTGCAGAATTTCTATCAAATAAAAGTTTAAATCCTTTAGTTGCATGCTATCTGACAAATTGACACCATTAAATCATTCAGGGAAGTTGCCAAAGTACAGATTCTATATTTACTGATTTCGCCTCTTAGGTCCGAGTACACAGTTATTTCGTAGTGCATTTCTTTTAGACAATAAATGAAAATAAAAAAAATCCCACCTGCGCTTTCTCAATAATATTTTTACAGTGTGTTGTACTACTTTTGGGACAAATTATATCAAAATTATAGAAAACTTCATCGGCTCTAACTCAAAATATGGACTATGTTAAGGGGGTCTTGAAATCTTTTGACAGCTTCCGAAGTGCTAATTTTTAACCTTTTTCAGCTGGACCAAATCACTACTTTACTTTACAATTCATGACCCAAATTTTTTTACAGTGTAATTTCATCCCCCTACTTGCTATTTGAGGCATAAAACATGAAGGAATACATTTGGAAGGGGTACTAAAAAAATTGGCAAGCAACACACTGTCCACACTAGGGACTTTATTCGTGGACAACGAAAATCAAAGGACGATAACTGTGTACTCGGACCGTCTGTCTGGCAGGGTTTATCTGAACTTGGGCTCATTTTCATAGTTCAATGAATTGGATAATGTTCAGTATGAGTAATTAGGTCTGTTTCTTAGATACTATTTAGATGTTTGGAATGACTGTAAGCTGTACATGTCTGTCTGGCAGGGTTCATCTGACTATGAGCTCATTTAAAAGGATCATTGATGATAGTCCCAGGTTTATGTAATATTTGTAGTTTAGCGTTCATGTTACATACTTTCAACATAAGTTCAATCATAAGTAAAGCGGGTGAGACATTTCAGTGTGTGCACTCTTTGTTATTGTAGTATATATATATATGTGTTGTGGAGCTACTGATCTACTCGCACAGAAAAATCTTTCAGAGACCTGTTGATTCATCATTATTCATTGGGTACCAATTTATGTGGATTTTGTTGGTAAAAGTGAACCTCAAATTTAAATGTTCAACGAAGTTCAAATTTTCTATAGGCTTGTATGCAGACTGGCAAAACCTCAAAATCAAATATACAAGACAATATAATTATTCCTCAATCCATACAGGTACCCACGTATATGGTTGTTGGTTGCTCAACATCCAGTGGCACCAACATATATAAATGAACCCACAGTATATCAAAGACAATGACTCACTTGGAACAGACAAACAAACATGCAGCTGGATTTAACAAATTCATGCAAATCTTTTAACAAGGAAAAAAGACATAACAAATAAGTATTTATTAGTACTACAAATATTTGTATAAAAATAATTTCAAATAAATACATTTATATACAGTATTTTCTGTAAAAGAGGAATATGTAAACAAATTTTCTTTTGTACTAAGCGTTGTGATGTTTCTAAATAAATCATAAGTAATTTAGTTAGGTTTGCTTTATACATAAAATTGTGTTTTATATTGTTCCTTTCAAAGTATTTAGTACAAAGTATGATTATACACCATTCTATTTTTCTCCACCAAAAAACTTCAGATTTAAAAGCATAAAACATTTTGATTGGTATTTCATCCTTCTTTATTCAATGTGAAAAAAAATGCCAAAAAAAGTTGGTTTATGAAATGACCCGTAAGTCACATAAAAACAGAATGCAGGAAAACATGTAAAATATATCACCCTGTTAAAATAATAAAAAGAATAATATCACATAGCAGTATATTGTTTGTGTCATAAGATTAAAGGCAATATTCTTTATGCTGTACAGATCTTGCATATACGAATATATAAATGAGAAATGTATCCATTGATACAGATCAAAGTACTGTCAAAACCTCAAGGACAAATATTTAATCATTAAAAACAGGATTTAATGTTGTCAATAATATTTGAAAATTTCACCTTAAATTCTTTTAAAAAAAAGCCACTTGGAACATCAAATGTATGGCATAGATTCATAGAACAATGAAAGTTTGTATATAGAAAATGTTCCCGTGTTAAGATTCCTGAATAACTCAGATTTTACTCCTTACAAATGTGGATTTTCATATATTTACATCATTTCTTAATAAAAAATAAATAAGGCAAAAGTGTATCAGCACTAGTCAACAATTGGAGTTATTCAATATCTACAAAGTAATATCTTTCTACCATATAACATCAAACAAATGAAAAATGAAGATCTTAAAGAATGCACATGTGGTTCAAGCATACACCCACTCGTAACTCGAAGTATGTGAAAATAGGACAAAGGTGTCGGAAAGATCTAATAAGCTCTCACATGTTACTACATATATGAAGTCAATCTGTTTAGAAAACATATTAAAAAATTCAAACTATCTGCAAACAGGAAAGTGGTGTCCGGCAATTGCTCACAAAATACAATTCATCACTGTTAAGCTGCTGACTAAATATGGAAATATTCTTATCAGTGGTACCAGAGAAATGTGGAATATTTGTTGAACGAAAGGATGTATGGACAGACATGGTGTTTGCAATAAAGCCTCAATCCCATAGTGGGGTATAATAAGGCCAAAAGAAAACCATTCTGTTTCTTCTGATCAAACTTACTTTTTATTGCCATTTCCAAAAAAGAAAAAAAAGAGATCTGTTTATTGTATCTGATTTGAAGGACAAGAACATCAAAATAGAGGGACTTACATTGTTTGTCAATAAAATTGTCATCCTTTTTCATTTTTTTTTCTGTGGCCTAACAGTAAATAAATTTGCATGGTTTTCTGTGAGACAAGCTCTTAAATGATAAAACATCTGATATATACTACATATACACTGTAATTCACATCTTCATAGTTCAATCTCAACATATTTAAAACGAACTGAAATGGAATGTATATTGACAAGCACACTCAAAATGATACTCATACAAAAATAAGGAGAAATGGTATGATCATCAATGAGACAAATACCGACTTAAGTCAAAATTATGTGGATGAAATCAATTATAGGTAACCATATTTTCCAAAACACATAACTGATGATAAATTCTCTAGATGATTTGAGTTCAATATAAAAGAGAGAATGCTGGTGATTTTGATTAAATTCATAAAAAAGAAAAAATCTGACAAATTCACATATTTTGACACAAGCTTTAATGGGAAAGAAGGAATAGAGGGTAAATTATTTCATGACATAAAATGCCTACACACATTTTACAAAACCAAAAGTAAAACCTCCAGAATTATATTGCAGTTCTTCATCTCAAAGTCACAATTAGGACTTTCTGCTCATAGTTAAATATTTACTAAATAAAAAGTATATGACAAAAATAATGGAGCAATATTGTTTGTTTACCCATTTAAGTAAATAATATTGACAGTCATAATGGCTGGACAAAATGTTTTAAGGAATCAACATAGATGGTTCATTCTAAGTTTAAACTTTGGTCTAAATTGGACCTGTGTTTTCAGAGATTTTTAAAATATTTTAAACTGTCCATTGGTACATACTTTGGAACAGATTGATTGATTGATTGATTGGTGTTTGTTTTATGTCACCTGAGCACCTTTGGGACAGATGGACAGACGGATGTTGGAACATTTTCTGAAAGCAAGGTGAGCCAGTAGGGTTTAAATATAATTGTTCATGTCTACATGTTTATGGCCATCTCAAAATGATACAATTATTAGGTAAAAAATGATTCCATTCCATCCTATCATTCGTAATAGTTCGTAACAGACATGTAACAGACATGTAACAAACCATGCAACAACAATCATGTCTACTTCCAAATATAATGTCAAATCTTTCAACATACTCTTAATGTAATAAATGATGCAATGATCAATGACGGAACTAAATGAGTAATGTCTATCGTTCACATGTTAAATGTGTCTATTACAATGATGGAACTGGATGAGAAATGTATATCCTTTACATGTTTATGTGTTTATTACAAAGAGACTTTTTGAAATTCTTGACGTCCTTCATAGGCATTATTTTCATAAGCTGCTGGGTCACTGAAATGTTCCTGATCATAGGAATTATTTTTCTTCACATTGTGTTCTCTTTGAACTAAATCCTCTCTCTTTCTGTGTCTGAAATATATATAAACAACATATAAAACTTATTTTACCAAATTAAACACTTTACCTTAAAATTTTAATTACATTCATGTGTTTATCATGCACTTTTTTTAATTTTTAAAATAATTTCACATTTTATATCAATGTGAGATGTGTACAATTATCCAGGCTTTCAAATACAGAGGTAAAACTCAAGAAAATACAAACTTTCTGATGCAGAGATAAAACAAAATAATCAACCCATAATTCTTCATGTTTTTTTGATTGAGTGATTGTTAGGGCTTAACACCACTTTCAGCTCTCTTTTTTTGCTATATCTTGTGGCCATTTTTAATATAAGAGGAATGTAGTCTCTCATGTTTCTGAAAATGGACATAAATATTACTCTACCATTAAACGTAGATTATTATATAAGTAACCTTAATTTTTTTAACATATAGATATATATATATACAAGTCTAATTGAAAACATCATTCAAACCTATGATTGCATTGGATAAAAACCGCAATTTTTATACGTGTGCATGCAAAACAAATTTCTTGGTAAAGGGGTCTAAATACAGCAAAAACAACATTTTCTGAAGGCAAGGTGAGCCAGTAGGGTTTAAATATAATTGTTCATGTCTACATGTATATGGCCATCTCAAAATGATACAATTATTAGGTAAAAAATGATTCCAACAATGAAAACAACATATATATATGGTTTAGAGTGTGTTTCATAGATATGATTATGTACAATTACAGCTAAATATAACTGATATAATATTTTAAGCATTATTAATAATGGAATATCATTATAATAAAATAGCATACAATATAAAATTGAGAATGGAAATGGGGAATGTGTCAAAGAGACAACAACCCGACCAAAGAGCAGAAAACAGCCGAAGGCCACCAATGGGTCTTCAACACAGCGAGAAAATCCCCACCCTGAGGCGGGCTTCAGCTGGCCCCTAAACAACTAGAGGCTATAAAGAGCCTGTGTCGCTCACCTTGGTCTATGTGCATATTAAACAAAGGACACAGATGGATTCATGACAAAATTTACAAAAATTTACAAAATTTATGAAAATTGTAAAAAATTGACTATAAAGGGCAATAACTCCTTAAGGAGTCAACTGACCATTTTGGTCATGTTGACTTATTTGTAGATCTTACTTTGCTGAACATTATTGCTGTTTACAGTTTATCCCTATTTATAATAATTTTCAAGATAATAACCAAAAACGGCAAAATTTCCTTAAAATTACCAATTCAGGGGCAGCAACCAAACAACGGGTTGTCAGATTCATCTGAAAATTTCATGGCAGATAGATCTTGACCTGATGAACAATTTTACCCATGTCAGATTTGCTCTAAATGCTTTGGTTTCAGAGATATAAGCCAAAATCTACATTTTACCCCTATGTTCTATTTTTAGCCATGGCAGCCATCTTGGTTGGTTGGCCAGGTCACCGGACACATTTTTAAAACTAGATACCCCAATGATGATTTAGCCAAGTTTGGTCAAGTTTGGCCCAGTAGTTTCAGAGGAGAAGATTTTTGTAAAAGTTTACGGACGACGGACGCCAAGTGATGAGAAAAGCTCACTTGGCCCTTTGGGCCAGGTGAGCTAAAAATGTGTACTAGTTCAATGAAAATGGACGTCACACGCTAAACTTTAAAACATATAAATGAACTAAAATTAAAAAACATACAAAACTAACAAAGGCCGAGGCTCCTGACTTGGGACAGGCCCAAAATGTGGCGGGGTTAAACATGTTTTGTGAGATCTTAACCCTCCCCCTATACCTTTAGCCAATGTAAAATAAACAAACACATAGCAATGCACACAGTAAAACTCAGTTTAAAAGAAGTCGATGTCCGATGTCAGAATAGGTAACAAAAGAAACTAAGCAAAATGACAATAATACAAAAATTAACAGAGGACTAGTTTAGTATAGTTAACCTTTATTACTATGAATTCTAAAATAGCATTTAATTTTATATCTTATAGGGTAAATTCTGCATGACTCATTGTAAACAACTATTTAAAGTTAAAAATAGCAGCACAGCTTCTCGTAATCTTTTAAAAAGCCAATAAGGATGCTGTCCAAAAATGTTCATCAAATCGACAAAAAAAAAAAAAAAAAAAAATATTTTCCTGTTTATAGACATAGTAGTTGCAAAGTAAGATCTATAACTTAACTTCCACCTAAGTAATTCATGCCATTAATGTAGGTTAAAATGATCAAACTGTTCAAGGAACTTTAATTACATCTCTTTTTTTTTATCTTTACTAAATGTTACTGAGAACTTGAATGTATATATATTAAAGAAGAATCTATACATCATCCCCTAACTACATCACCCAGTGGGATAACAAACTGATTTGTAGACAGAGCATGTGATATTTTAGGACAAGGGATTATAAATACAACAGGAGAGACCAACATTTTGCTACATCTGTTCAATTCCAAATATCTAGCAAAGAATTAAAACTTTTTGTCACCTCCAAAAAATTTGTTTTCAATTAGAAAACTAACTAATATAATAGCAAGTTTTTTTTAACATTCTACTTAATAACTTAATTTTCTAAGTCAGATAGATGTAATTAACTTCTTTTTTTGTATTTTGGAAAAAACCACTGACACTACAATCTATAATTCTTCATCACAAGCAGAAAGAAAAGCACGAATACAGGCAAGCATGCAAGTCTACTGCAACCCTACATGATGCCCATCAGATGACTTTCTAATAAAACTTAAAATCCACTGATTTTAAAGAAAATAACATCATAAATAACTATATTGCTTTGGAAAATATTTCGTGTTAACAAATAATATGATCACCATACAGTTTGCAAAAATAATCAATCCATTTCAAAATGCTTTTTATAAATATATTTGAATCATTTTCAAGTTCTCAAAAGTAGATCTCAAATATTTTGCTAAATTTGTTGAATTTTAAAAACAGTTACCATCCACCAGATTGCAAAGGATGTAGATATAAGCAATGTTTGTTTTGATTACCTGGGCATCCAGATTCACATTTATTGTTTTTTTCTCAATAACTACAATCTTTGAAAACATTCAAATGCAATACAGTCATCCCTTAAGTAAAAATCATGCAACTACATGCTAAAATCATATGTTAATGAAATGCTCTACACATTAGATATCAAATATATTTCAATGATAAATGGTTTTTACTTGACATTTGTAACTTTTCAACTTCATATTTCTTTTCCAACCTACAAGAAAATGTAACCTCTTGATTCTAGTATAATATAAAATCTTGGTTTTCTTATAGTTTGTGCTTTTAATTTTTTTTGGCACTATTTGAAATTGTCTTTGAATCCTAGAACAATAAATTCTGTCTCCAATTCCAATTATATCATGAAGTTGCATATATTGTCCAATTTCTAAGTGCAGACTGGAACAGTATTCAACAGACTATATAAAAAAAAGCTCTACTTTGCAAAGCTTAATCTGATTGATAAATCTTTATACTTAAACGAAAGAGGCTCACAAGAGCCTGAATCGCTCTCATTTTGATGTTTATTTTCTCCTCTATTGCAATCAGTTATGTTTGCTTATGAATCAAATCCCAGGACACAATTTTTAACCCAGTTACCCTTGGGAAAATTCAGCTTAAGTTTTGTAACATTTAATTGGCCCAGTAGTTTCAGAGATGAATATTTTTTAAAATGCCAATGATGACCAAGTGATGGCAAAATCTCACATAGCCTTTTAGACCAGGTCTATTATATTTTTCAAAATTACTAGGTGCAATTTGCAATGTACTTTGTGCAACATGATATCTAACTTAGCAATCCAGATATAGTAAATATTATTTAGACTGAACATAGTGCTTAAAAACATTGTGTTGTAAAAATATCATCACTGTGCTTTAATGGGGTACATAATTTTTTATGTACTTCTTATTACAATTATAGAACAATGGCAATAAAAATGCAGCACAGATTTAATTTCACCACAAGCAAAATGAAAGTACTTGACCTTTGACTTTTGACTTTCAGACAGACATTTAAAGACTACTTTAACGTTTCAATTTCAGTTATTTCCATTATATGTTGTTTAAGAAATAGTGATGCGCATTACTTCAAATATCTTTTTTTTCTATTTGAACGTTGAAAGGTAAAGATCTAGCATTCAGATCCTTCATGAAATAAATTTTGATTCTGTGCTGAGCTTTTCTTTCTTTGCCATTGGTTTATTAAAATAGAGGGATATACATACAAATGTCCCGCCATTTAAACATAGTGATTATGAGTGTTAACAGATAAAGCAGTGATTGCAAAAATGGGAATAGGAGCATTATATATATATATAGACTATCTTCAAACCTTCACTTACTCAAAGGTATAAAATATAAAGTGATGTAATACTGACCTTCTCTTATGTATAACACAACAGATTATAGTAATAACTATTATGGCAGCTAATACTCCTAAAACTATAGCTAGGGGTAATGTCCATTTCTGTAAAGAAATTTATAAAAAAAAAACCAATGTAAAGTGTCCATTGGATATCTGATCCTTCTGCCTATCTGTAGAGAACAATTAATTCCTGTAATTCAGGGGGTTGCGGTTGGTTTATGTCTAATATTTATTTTTCATTTTTGTTTTATCATAAATCAGTTCATCAGTTTTCATGTTTGAATTGTTTTACATTTTGTCATTTTGGTCCTTTTATAGCTAACTATATGGTACCAGTTTTGCTCCTTGTTGAAAGCTGTACAATGACCTATAATCATCCATTTCATTTGGTATATGGTGGAGAGTTCGTCTCATTGGCATCTGTTTGCTTTTACATTTTAAACATACAGTAAACGAAACATTAATGAGATCTCCTAACTAGCTTCAAATTATATTATTTACTTCATCCATTATGTAATGTATACACAATTTTGGGCCATTTTGATGAATAAAAATGAAGAATATTAACTAGAGATGTGACACCGATAGATTTGTATTTTTTAAATAAATGAATTCTAGTTTTTCTAATTACCTTATAAATGGTCGATTTTACCTTTCCGATATTTGATATCTGAAGTTGAATAAATATAAATTATTTTCTTCATGGATAAATGGGATACCCAGAAGTGCTTACCTTATCATCATCATCCTCTTTTGGTGCTCTAGAATGTAAAGTTTTACCAGCTGTTGCTAGAGACTGTTGTAGTTGTGCTGTAGAGGGAGAGTTTAGGTCTTCTACATTGTCACCCTTAAGTCCTACTCTATAATTTACTTCAGAGACTGGATTTCTACAATCGTAAATCAATAACTGCATGAAAACATGCTACCATAAAATAAAATGACTCTCAAGAAAAATGTAAAGACAACAATGGATAATAATCAGGAAAACTTTAATCTTCTTTTTTAAGATTATGAAGTTATCCATTTTGTTATCAGAATTTAACTTTTAAGAGTTGCTAAACTAAGAAAGCAGATAAGGTGGTTTGCTGGATTATTTTCTCAGTTGTAAGCAATTCCTTACCCATCTTTGTCTTTAGCTTTATTGTTAATACCAGTGACAGTCACATCTAAGTCTGGTTTGGTTACATCTGTAAGGAGAAGAGAAAAGTATAGAGAAACATTTATTTTTATGTAAGTCTCAATAAAAGTTTTCAATAGTCATTTGTTTTTTAAAAAGTAATATATCATAAAAATTAATTGCATATTTTTAATGAAAACATATCAAATTTAAAACTAAAAGATCTGTGAGCTTAACTCTGCTCACAATCATATTCCTGCTCCCCATTTATACATTTATTGCAAAGTCTATGCTTTGCTGTGTAAAACTGCACAAGAGTGCACATGCTGAAATGTCTCGCCTTCTTTACTAACCATTGATTTTATGTTGATAGTCCTAAATACAAAGCTTTACTACAAGTAACACATAAACTTAACATGATCCAAGAAAACGAGGTCAAGGTCAGATAAACTAAACGAGAAATACATGTACACCTTACAATCATTCAATAAACCAAACATAGTTGACCTATTGCTTATTGTTTCTAAGAAACAGTATTAAACAAGAAAACTTACCATTGACCAATGAACCATGAAAATGAGGTCAAGGTCAGATGAACCATGCCAGACAGACATGTACACCTTACAATCAATTTAGGCATTAAATATAGTTGACCTATTGCTTATAGTATCTAAGAAACAAACTTAACCATGAAAACTTAACATTGACCAATGAACCATGAAAATGAGGTCAAGGTCAGATGATACCTGCCTGACAGACATATACACCTTACAATCCTTCCATACATCAAATAGGGTTGATCTATTGCTTATAGTTGAAGAAAAACAGACCAAAACACAAAAACTTAACACTGAGAAATGAACTGTGAAAATGAGGTGAAGGTCAAATAAAAACTGTGAGACTGACATGTACATCATAAAATATTTCCATACACCATTTATAGTTGACCTATTGCATATAGTATTAGAAAAAAAGACCAAAACTCAAAAACTTAACTTTGACCACTGAACCATGAAAATGAGGTCAAGGTCAGATGACACCTACCAGTTGGACATGTACACCTTACAATCATTCCATATACCAAATATAGTAGACCTACTGCTTATAGTATCTGATATATGGACTTGACCACGAAAGCTTAACCTTGTTCACTGATCCATGAAATGAGGTCGAGGTCATATGAAAATTGTCTGACGGGCATGAGGACCTTGCAAGGTACACACATACTAAATATAGTTATCCTATTACTCATAATAAGAAAGAAATTAACATTACAAAAAATGTTGACTTTTTTTCCAAGTAGTCACTGAACCATGAAAATGAGGTCAAGGACAATGGACATATGACAGACGGAAACTTTGTAACAAGGCATCTATATACAAAGTATGAAGCATCCAGGTCTTCTAGCTTCTAAAATATAAAGCTTTTAAGAAGTTAGCTAACGCCGCTGACGCCGGATCACTATCCCTATGTCAAGCTTTCTGCGATAAAAGTCGCAGGCTCGACAAAAAACCAGTCAAATAGGAAAACTGAATAGAAGATGCCCAATGGCATTTGTAATACAGGTTCAATATTCCAAAACGATTGTATTGCCTGTACAAGTCCGAAAATATAAATTATATTTCAAGTCTGGTTGTGCCAAGCCCGAAATAATGTAGGTTTGCCATTTAAACATAATACAGAAAAAAAATTGAAGAATATGCAATCTTTTTAACCTGACATTTTGCCAGCCAAGCGTTTCCGGTCATACAAGTGACATGATGAATTAGTACTACAAAAAAAGGCCTACTTTTATCCCCTCATTACAATCAAGGTTAATTAGTTGTCTGACAGTTGAAATTTACCTGTTTAGGCAACACGTATCTGTCTCAGGTCCCTGTTTTACCTTTGTCAAGCCAACATCCATTATTAGGATAATTTGCTTTTTAAAAACAAAAGTAAACTTTCTGACAGCGTGATTTTGCATGAATAAATAGTCTAAAGCAGATGTTATTAAGCATTTTGAATGATGCACTGTCAACGTAACAGTTTACCTCAGAACATCAAATTTACATCAAAAGTCTAAAGTTTAATATCATTTTTGTCAATCATTGTTATGATACCCAAATTATTACCATGATTGCCTTTTGTAACTAAGTCTTACAGGATTAAAATCCAAATAAAAAAAAAATGTTCGGCTGGCTCAAATAGTTTTTGGAAGCCCTGTTGCAGAACCAAGATGTCTACCCCTTTCGTCCGTATATTGCTATGAAAAACCTCTAAAAATCTTATGGACTGATAAATAAAATAGATGAAATATTCAGTTGGATACTAAAGATTCTGTAAAATTTGCGTTGAAAATCCAGTCAAGGAACAATTAGACAATCAATCAACTGAACACGTCAATAACTATATAATACTGTGTCAATATGTGGGAGGATAAAAAAAAACATTTAGTAACAAATTCCAGCAAGGCCTTTAGTAATTTAAAAATTCTATTGAACCAAAAAGTTGTCTTTTAAAATATTTACCAGGATTTTCTTTGACAAATGCATCTTTGATGGCCTCTGCAATTTTTGGTTTATCTGCATTCTGTGTTTGACCGTCCAGTTGTAGAGATCCTGCCAGTTTGGGTTTACATAGACAAGGTTCCGATCCTGCCTGTTTTAATGGTGTTTTTATGCGATTGTTACTTGGTATATTCAAAAATAATGATTGTGGTTCTTCATCTTCAACTGCCACTGTATACTCCATAGGAGTTACTTCCCTTCTGTAAAGTTAAAAAATTCTTATTTAGTTGTCAGTTTTTTTCATCAAATGCTTCAGACAGTAGAATCATACCTAATAAGTCTCCTGTCACACATAAGTTACTGAAATTCTGGATTAAGTCAAACTGAGAATAAGACAGATACAAAGGAAAGAATCTGAGAAAAACTGATTTCTGAATTACAAAAAACATGAATACTGTTGTGATTCATTTATTTTTGTGGATTGAGGAAAAATTGAATTTTTGTGGATACTTGATTTCGAGATATTTCTGCATACAAGCTTATAGAAAATTTGTACCTTGTTGAACATTTAAATTAGTGGATCACCTTTACCCACAAAATCAACAAAAATTGGTATCCAATGAATAATAATGAATCAACAGTACATGTACATATATATATGGTAAATGTTAGAAAACCCTTGACTTGTTCTAGATATGTATGTTAGCTTGAAGTTACACTGTAAGACAACATAATGGGGTCATATTCTCAAATCTACAGAACATGAGGAAAGGCCCTAAAATCCTTAGTCATGTCCTGACATTATGAATGCTGTATGGCACTAAAGCACTTATTATATTCATTGTTATGTATTTCAAGTTAATCTAAATTATATGACTGGTATGTCTTGTGTAATCAAATGGGATAGTATTTATGGTTTTTGTCAAAATTCAAACATATTTATGCCTTTATTTTAGGAAACAAATTGGCTGCAGTTTTTCACCAAAGCCCAGTTTGACTGATAACTTTGTAAGTAAAGCTAAATTATTAATCCTCTAATGTATGCCCATGTTCAAGAGTATAAGGTTTATGTCACTTAAATGGAAATCGTTCAGATTTATATAACTAGTGGCTCTAAAGAGTCTGTGTCGCTCACCTTGGTCTATGTGCATAATCAACAAAGGACACTCTCCAACATTGTAAACGAGAATAGACTTCATAACAAAAATCTCTGTTTTGTTGATCTTGTATTGCTGATCTTTTAGTCTGTTTAGTTTCTCTCTATCTTCTTTAGTTTTTGCACAAAACACAAAAGAGGGTAAAAAAAATCCTAATTTAAGGGCAATCACTCCTAAAAAGAGTGACAGTCTACTAACTATATCTGCAAAATTTGACTTGTTAGTAGATCTTGCCTTGCTGATCATTTTTGTGATTTAAAGTGTCTACTTATCTATTATAATTTTTATCATATAAGGCAAAACACAAAAAAAATGGTGAAAATCGTCATTAAAGGGCAACAACTCCAATAAAGAGTCATCAGACAATTTCCTCCCTATGTCTTATTTGTAGATCTTGTCTTGCTGATCCTTTTTGCTTATTTCAGTTTCTATATATCTATTATAATTTTCAAGATACATGTATAAGGCAAAAAACACAAAAAATTGGTAAAAATTGTCATCAAAGGGCAATAACTCTACTAAGGAGACAACTGATGATTTCGACCATGTTAGACTTATTTGTAGAAATTGTCTTGCTGATCATTTTTGCATTTTAAAGTTTCTCCCTATCCATTACAGTTTTCAAGATAATAGGCAAAAATGAAAAAAAAATGGTTTTGTCATTTACGGGCAATAACTCCTATAAGAAATCGTCTGACAGTTTTGGCGTATATGGACAATATTGGTAGAGCTCAACATTCTCAACGTTTTTGTTTCTGTCAGATTTTCTCTCTATTTATAACGGTTTTCAAAATAATAGACAAAATTTGCATTTTACTCCTATGTTCTATTTTTAGCCATGTCAGCTATCTTGGTTGGCAGGCGGGAGCAACAGACACATTTTTAAAACTAGATACCCCAATGATGATTGTGGCCAAGTAGTTTCAGAGGAGAAGATTTTTGTAAAAGTTAACAGACGACGACGATGGACGACAAACGCCAAGTGATGAGAAAAGTGGTCATAAATTATGTTTTAGTTAGAAGTGAATAAATAAAGTGCCATTATTTTTTTTTTTGTCTATCAGACTTACAAAATATTTTTTGTGAAAAAAAAGATTCTTTAAATCACTATGTTGAAAATTCGTAATATCAATATTGACCTTTTGTGTTCTCAACATGTACATTCACAAGTTCTTGAACTTAACACAGGAATGATAGCAGACATTACAGTGAAAATCAAAGGTCTATAATACTTTAGCATTCAGAAAACACTAGTTTCTAGGCTAATAATAGACAGATAAAAATTATTCAAGACAAAGCATAGCATTAAATAAATAAGAAAGTAAATACCCATTTCCATCAACCAGTTTATGAGATGGCTGAGTAGCTCTCTTTTGTCTCCTGGACTGTTGTTTTACTCTAACCAATAATGATGTACTGGACAGTCCTGAAATAAACAAATTTTGCATTTGAAGTGCTGCCTTTCAAAATAATTGACTTCTTTTGCATGATAACTTTATGTTTCTGGACATAAATATTTGAAATGCAAAAGTTTAAAAAAAAAAATGTTCAAATGCTGCTTAATAATGAAAATAATACAATAAATATTTAAATTTTGTAAACAAGTAAATCTTGAATATAGTTACAATATAAATAAGAAGATGTGGTATGAGTGCCAATGAGACAACTCTCCATCCAAGTCAAAATGTATAAAAAATACACTAGTAATATATGCTCATCTCTAGATGTGTTTTAGTATTTAGTGTTCTTAGGTTGCTGTATCACTGACATTTTACCCAACACCTTATTTTTATTCATACTTTTATATGTTTTTACAGCAGTTGTTTTAACATCAATTTATATTTTTAGTTACTATCAACAAAGAGCTCCAGCACAAACAGAAACCCAAATTTATAACACCTTCTATCATTCACATAATTCTAATTATCTTTATGACCCTAAACATTTGCTTACCTTTGTTGGCATCTTTCCACACTGTACTAATAGCAGTTCTAACTCGAGTTGAGTTGATAGTTTTAGAGTATACATAATGTTTCTTCAGACTAGTAGCACTACAGCCACACTGTGTCAGGTTAACATTTAGAGCACTGTATTTTGGAGGGTCAATGCCCTTTGATTCTGGGTCTGTATCATTGATACTAACAATGTATCTCACTTTTGTCACTATATTCCTATAAAACAATACAAACAGTTTTCAAAATTAAACACCATTTACATGTTTTCTAATTATTTTTCTTCAAATTTGAAATGAAATAAGTACTTTTAGATAAATACATAATTTTTATACTATATGTTTATTATAAATAGAAATATTTTTTTCTTGAAAAGATCTGTTAAAATTATTTCACATCTGAACAATATTCATGCCATAAGAATTTGACATGCTTGAATAGATGTTTTGCTATAAAAATTCATATCTCTTATTCAATAAAAGAATTTGAACTTGCAACTCCCTCCCTCCAAAAAAAAACTTTCTCTTAGATGGTATTGGCTATTCTGTTCAGGTCTTTGATTTTGATTCTCTCAACTGTTTCATTCAAATTAGTATCATACATTTGTATTACAACAAATTAAGAAAAAAGTCATCTTTCTGCACCAGTAATAAGTGCATTGGATAATTGTATTATGCACATGAGTGGAGTGGCCCTAAAATCAAAAATGTAGTGGCACCTAGTAAGAGATGAAGAACGACTGATATTAGATTTAATGAATGACAGGATTTAAATAACTTACCAACTGACATCTACATATATGCTGGTATCAATCATTTTAACTACAACTGGTTTATCTGAAGAAAAAAAACAAGTAAATTAAAAACAGTAAAAAAAACCCACTTCTTCCAGTAATTCCAGATATTCATAGATTAAAACGTGATTGTTTACAAGTGAAATATGTGTAGGTGAAGAAATGTTTTTCTCTGTTGCATTGTTTTGTCTGCTATCCTTTAAAAGATTTTTGAATGGAATTAGTCCATTTTGTTAGTTTAATTTAAAATTTATTTCAACAGAAAATTAAATTAAGTTCTGTTGCTAATAAGTGCTTCCCTTGAGTAGGGTTATCTTGAATGGAAAAAACCTCTGAGTTTTAACATATTGGGATATTAACTGTTCTGTTTGTGCCATTTGCAGTATTTTCTGTTGGCCTCATACCTGTCATTTTCAGATAATCCAATAAGTGATTGATAGCTTATTCAATTTAAACCTTGATAATAACAAAACATAAAATTTCATTTATATAAATAATATCATAACATACCTGGTGCAACAGACATCCAATTAAGTTTCAAAACAGAAAGAAGTCTGTCAGAGTTCTGGACCTTTCCCTTGAGGTATAAAACATAAACCTTCCTGTGAGGAATACTTGTGGTATCTGTCTGTACCTTAGGGTCTAGCTGATTGTCCAGCTTATATTTCAGTGTGGCTAATGATGTCTCCCATAGTTTTCTAGTGGTGTTATTTATTTCTAGCTTAAAGTACAGCTTTGCAATCTTAACACTGAAATTAGACATACATAACAAAAATTGTTAGTTCAGAAATCAATGCAATATTTTATCAATGCAAGATGACTATTGCCATAAATAAATCTCACAATTTAATTGATGTTAGTAAATTTCTACTGCAATTTGTAAAGAAATCACATTAATCAGTTTGGTATTTCTGTTAGTTGTTCACTAGTCACAATCAAAATGCCCACAGTAAATCAAGTTTTAATGATGGAAATTTGTTTTATATGTCAAATACTAATGTAAGAAAGTATTACATTTAGTTCTATGTAATCAACTGTATAGTGTTAGCTTCAATAAGATGACATTATTTGTAAAATGTAGGACATTAAATCTTGTATGGACACAGTCCTGTACAGTTGTTTGAACTTCAAGGAAAAAACAAAGTTCAAAAAATTTGATAAGTGATTAAAGCCAGGTTTTTCCTAGTCCAGACTTATATGACAGTAATATGATATCAAAGAAAGCTATCAAACATGGAGAGAAGAAGGAAATTCCTTATTTTTGTCAATTATTAAATACATATCTCACCTGGTGTTAGAAGAGGACACATAGTCCTTTTTCAGTAATATATGTGTTTTAATACTCTTTAATTGATCTGAAAAATAAAAAAAATATCATTTTTTTATCATTTTTTGTGAAAACTAACTTTTATTTGACAGCTACATAGAAAGATTGTACAAGAAAATGTTTTAAAAAACTGAACTTCTATTAACAGATAAATACTTAAGTTTTATGGATATAATCTTCTGTGGCTAAATTGATTTTCCACTGTCTAAGGATTTTGAAAAGTCTATTAGATACACTACTCTTTGCTGCACAAGTTTTGCCTCAAGATCTTAAGCTATGTGTGAGTAACTTATTTGAATCTAGCTATAGACCAATAATATCAAGAAATTTCTTTGTGCATTGACTCACATTTTGTCATTGCAAAGCAATATACCTGTACTTAAATTCAAACAGCTTACCTTTTGTTGTATTTGCTATAGCATGATTCAGCATATTCGCAACATTGTGACTATCAGTAACTGTCATTGTATTCTCATATCTGACGCTAGCAGTAAACAATGTATTAATTCTATATTCTGCTGCAGAATATAATTTCCCCTGAATTTTCTGCTTTTCTGCCTCTTTCCTCATTACTATGGTATCTGGTTCCATCTCCATGTCAGGGGTTACTGCCTCTCCTTCTTTATTCTCAGCATCATACAGGACAGAAGTCAAATGAGTACCAAGGTCACCTACAGATGGTTCTGTTGATATTACACGTACCAAGTATCCTGAAAGAAAAACGGTTTTTGTTATCAAATGTATGGTTGTGTTTGTATTCTAATTTTGTATTGTGTCAAATCAAATTTTTAAGACTTACCAGCTAGGTATGAAGAAAAACACACAAAAAATAATAGAATCCATACCTTATCATGCATACTGGTTGAGAACAGTTATCGTCAGTTACAAGTTACTGTCCTTATGTGTAAATACCAGTACTGCTTTTATTTTCATACAAATATTTTTAAAACTAATTTTGTTTGATCCAATTAAGACAATTAAATCCTGATTCCACTGTTCTTTCAACACATCTTGGGAAGATACATGTGTGGGGACATTGATGTCATCAATTTATAAAGTCTTGATTTTGATAAAACTGACTGATAAATTAATAGCAAAGGTAACTAACTACCTTAACTAACTTTGAATAAAAAGTTTCTTTCCAAAGAATAAAAAAGATTTACTAATTTCAAAATCAATTTCTATAGTCCTCTTCAATGCAGTGTAACTTGTCAGTGGCAGATCCAGAGGGGGGCACTGACTGCCACAAAAGAGGGGTTCCCCCCCTGGATCTGCCTATGTTTGTTGATTTTAGATGACATAAATTCAAGATTAGTTCGGATTCAGTGTATTAGTAGTTTATCGAAGAAATTAAAGTCACTCTGAAAATGGTCATAAAGTTACCTTTTGGTAACACTTAATTTTCATTATTAGAAAAAATATTTCAAAAAGCAGTTCCTGTTAAAAGTTGTTTTCTAAAAACCTTAACTTTGTAAGGGTAACTGGTACTGGATCAGTACAGTTTGATGCAATTTTTGTTATAAATAAAAAATATATTCTTGTCAAAAAAAAAATATTTTGCAAACTACCTATCAGTAAATATTCATTTTTTAATTCTTTTAAGATTTAGGACACATGCAATTAACACAGGAGTTTAAATATCCCCTTAATATTTTTTTTTTGTTGATGAAATTCAAAAGAGAATCTGAAATATTTCTTGATTGTTTTATTTACCTTAAATCATTATGAATTTCCAGCAAGCTGATGAATAAGAAAGAAGATCTCAACTTTGGCCTTTTTCACAAGGTTTTCATACAGACAGAGATTATCTACTTCCATAATTTTCAAATTTAAATATGATTTTTTTGGCAAAAGAAAAGAAGATTACCCAAGTTTGAAGCATTCCAAGCATTCTCCAGTAGTGTCTTTATAATTGTCTTGTTGATTGGAATATGTTGAGACTGCAGTACCAACTTGAAACACAAACTGTACCTGGTCACATGTTTCTTCCCTGGAAACACCTGTACCTCAGGTATGACCATCTTGGTGTAATTGACAGGTTCAGTCAGAGTTGGGTATAGCATATTTCCATCAGCAGTAACGATAAACGTGAATGTTGTCAATGATTTTCTAAAAACATAAAATTAAATTTCTAAAGGAGATCTACATTCTTATGGTTTGCTATCAAAATAAAGCAAGATAAGACAATTTTAAAACCAATGCAAATTCATATTTATAGACAACATTTTTCTTTTCTTCAGAAATTAATTTTTCTAAATCATAATTATTCAATACTGAATTCTTTAAAAGTAATTTGACCTGAGGTCGAAGTTTCGGCAAGAAGCTTATTTGCCAAGGATAGGAAATATACTTACCCAGTCAAATCCTCAAACGTATTTTCTCTTGATACTGAAGACAACTCTACATTGCTATAAGCTGCAAAATAAAACAATAATATCTCCTATCTTAAGACAACTAGAACATAACATAATCAGGATAAAATTCCTGCCACACATTTAAAAATTATACCTTCAGGCTTACTATTTTCCTCTTTACACGTTAATGTTTGTAGTGTGAAGTCACTTCGCTCACTGTCTATCCCCTCAGGTTTAAATATTCTATCAGAAGAACCTAAGAAAGCTTCAAATTCACTAGCAAAAGCAATTGCCTGAATAAATGTTTGTGGATAGTGAAATTGAACGTGATTTTTTAACTCGTGATTGTTTAACCCGTGAATGTACTGATCTAATACAGTTGGTTCTATATCAGAACATTTTAAAGTTGGATAGGCTTTCTGTGCTGACCTACGGAGCCTTAATTAACCGTAGTCTGCGACATACTTAAAGGAGTAGGGGTAAGGGCCGATTTTGGCCTCAAACTTCAGGTTCATCTGATGAAAGATTTTGGACACTTTTTAAACACTTAAGTGTCTACTTCAGTCGATTCAATTACTTTATGTGAAAGATTTGAGCTGATTTAGTCATTAAAGACGTTCAAATTCAAGCTTAAATATGAAATATGCCATAATATGTCACTTTTCAGATGGTTTTAGTCAAAACTGAAAGTGGCCGCATCCGTGTTCATTCTCAACCTTTATATATGTTATGTATTATCATCAAATACAACTTACATTTAAATATTAAGAATGAACACATATGCAGCCACTTCCATTTAAGATGGAAACCGTCTAAAAATTACCTCAAATGCTAAAATTGTGAAGATTTCAGTAAATTAGCATGACTTAATGATGCTAGTACCCGAAACATGTGCATTGTATTGTCAAAGACAGCCCATATTTATGTAACAGAAGAATTCTACTTTCCAATAATTAGCTAACAGTTTACATTTTAACAATTTTGTAAAACTGCTATATTTTGAGGCCAAAAAGGGGTCTTACTGGGCCTACTCCTTTATTCTGCTTTATATGAATAGTGTACCTTCAGAATTATATATGCTAAACAACAAATATTTCTACTGTAGATTTTCTGATCACACAGCATTTCAGTGCTTACTGTATAAATTGTTGAATTTATTGATTCGCCTGGATTCGTTGCTGCTCAACTTTATGTGGCAAATATTGGGCCTTGGACATGTATTTTAAATATTTCGCTTGACAAACAAAATAGGTAAAAATGTAAGACCAGACTTGTTTCTTCCAATTAAATTTACATTCTGCATGCAAGATAGTATAACCAACTGCATGGTAACATATGAATGAATAAAGGAGATGGAACATAAATGAGACAATGACACAACAAAATAAATTAACCCAATAGATTTCTATAAATATATAAGGATCTCATATATATATGACAAATATCAGTACATACCTGTTACATTTTCCCAGTATAGCTTAACATGGTTCATCAATGATAACTTTTTATCGTTTGGAACAATTCCAAAGAAATGAACTTGGAACAAATCTGAGTATGACACAGCACTGATGTCAGATTCCATAACAGTGTACTCTTGTTGCCGTGGTGAAGTAAAGTTGATTTCCTGCTGTAGATCTTGCTTACTCATGCTCCCTTCCTCAGCAGCATTCAATATATTTCCACTGACATTTACAATGTAATTATATCTCCATACTGTTTTGCTTAAAAAATACAGTAAAATTTCATAGTTTGAAATTACTACTAGTAATACTAATTAGAAGACATGATGATAATTTTTCTAATAATTTTCATTTTTTAAATACAAAAGGCTGTCAGATTGACAGCAAACTGGATTTTCCTGCATGAAATGATATTTGCTAATCCTGTCCCCAAACAGGATCAATTAAAAAAAAAATAAATGAATTTTTGTAGGGTTTAGAAATGGAAAGTCCAAAATCACTCTGAGTATCACTTTTTGCTACTAAAAGGTCTAAAACTCAACAACGAAAAAAGCATATATATCATGAAAACTGAAACCTGACCTTTATTTAGTCACAGGAAACAGCACATCTAAATTTGAAAAGATTTCGTTGAAGTGTTTTCAGGTTATTGCATGGACAACGCTCTAAGTATCACTTTTCGCTACTTAAAGGTCTACAACTCAAAAACAATAACAGCTAAAATCGTGAAAATCGAACTTGACCTTCATTTAGTCACAGGAAACAACATATCTAAATTTGAAAAGATTTCGTCCAAGAGTTTTCAGGTTATCACATGAACAATGCTCTAAGTATCACTTTTCGCTACTTTTAGGGTCTACAACTCAACAATGATAAAAGCTAAAATCATGAAAATCATACTTGACCTTCATTTAGTCACAAAAAAACAACGTATCTAAATTTGAAAAAATTTCATCAAAGCATTTTCAAGTTATTGCACAGCCACTGTTTGGTAACCGCCCACAGTACATCACCGAACAAATAACCAATAATCCGTTTAAAAATGGAAAACTGATTCATCTGAAATATTCCCAATTCTTTAAATACAATGAATAAATCATTCAAAATCTGTCTATGATTTAAGATTTAAAATCTTATCTTGTTAGAATATAAATAATTGTTTAATATTCTGTTGTAGTAAAGCGATTTATTGAGTCTTATTTAATATCAACATTTTAGTACTTATTTTAAATGTAATCATGCTTATCTACCTTGAATTTGACACTGTTGCAACAACTTTCTGTTCGTTGAACACTACTAGTTTAACATCGTCAACATTGGCAGCTGTAAATAAATCATTTTAAACATGTTATAATCATTTTTGTATTGGCATCGGTCAGTAGTACATGTACTGGAAGGATGGAAACACAAATCTGGACCCAAATTTAAAATATTTTTCAATACTGTAAATTCAGAAATTATTGCGAGGTTTTTATTATTGCGACAAATGTGACAGAGTTGTAAACGCAATAATTTAAACTCGCATTTTGAAATATTTTATATGAACTAAACAGGATTTTTCTCAAAATCGTAAAAATTAAAATTGCATTTAAGTCTAAAATGACAAAATCGCAATAATAAATGCACGCAATAATTTCTGAATTTACAGTAGCAACAGCCTCATAATAATTTTTTTCTGAATTTACACTTTAGTATCATTGAAAATGTCTAGTAACAGCAAAGATTGATTTCTCTAAATTTTTTTATATAAAATCATTTCCATCTATTTTCTCAAAAAATATTTACAAAAAGTTTGACATTTAAGGGAAAAATTTCACAGTTTCTGCATCTTTTTCATTCATCTCAATTACATTTATCAACACCTTTCGGGCTATGATGTACATGTACTTTCTAAAATCTTGGCATCTAAATTCCCCAACTGCATTCCATTCTTTCTATTACATAGACCTTCATTAAACAAATATCAATAGACAAAATATTGTCCACTTGATTGGAGAAATAAGAAGCTTTTATAAATGTAAATCAAAGTCACATGTCAAATACTGTTTCTGCTAATAAATACCTTTAACTCTCTTTGCTAAAGTCTGTTTAACAACACTATGAAATTTCTCTTTATCCACATTATAAATTCTCCTGTTGATCATCACTTTAAAAGCCTGGGTTATTCTGTAAGTTTGATGAGCATCCACATCCTTAGGAAAATATGGCTCTGATAGTGGATTAGTTACAACCACATCGGTGGTTTCCTTATACGATGGAGTAGCATCATACTGACTGTTTACTATTGTACCATCTGTTGTTGTTATATGGTATGAAAGCTCCCAAAGTGTGTTACTGCAATAGTTTATATGATACATTAAAATAAACAAGAGGCTCTCAAGAGCCTGAATCGCTCACCTGTATTTCAGAGGAGAAGATTTTTAAATGTAAGCAAACTTGATGAACAAATTGTGTAAAATTGTCTTTAAAGGGCAATAACTCCTTAAGGGGTCAATTGACAATTATGGTCATATTAACTTTTTTGTAGATCTTACTTTGCCATACATTATTGCTGCTTACAGTTTATATATATCTATAATAATATTCAAAATAATAACAAAAAACTGCAAAATTTTGTTAAAACTACCAATTCGGTGGCAGCAACCCAACAATGGGTTGTTCGATTTGTCTGAAAATTTCAGGGCAGATAGATCTTGACCAATTAAACAACTTTACCCCTGTAACATTTGCTCTAAAAGATTTAGTTTTTGAGATATAAGCCAAAAACTGCATTTGACCCTTTTGTTCTATTTTTAGCCATGGCGGCCATGTTTGTCGATGGATACAAACTTCGGATACAATTTATAAACAAGATACCCTAAGGAACATTTAGTTAAAGTTTGAAGGTAATTGGCCCAGTAGTTTGAGAGGAGAAGATTTTTAAATGTAAGCAAACTTGATTAACAAATTGTGTAAAATTGTCTTTAAAGGGCAATAACTCCTTAAGGGGTCAATTGACAATTATGGTCATATCAACTTTTTTGTAGATCTTACTTTGCCGAACATTATTGCTGCTTACAGTTTATATATATCTATAATAATATTCAAAATAACAACAAAAAACTGCAAAATTTTGTTAAAACTACCAATTCGGTGGCAGCAACCCAACAATGGGTTGTTCGATTCGTCTGAAGATTTCAGAGCTGATAGATCTTGACCAATTGAACAATTTTACCCCTTCGTCAGATTTGCTCTTAAAGCTTTAGTTTTTGAGATATAAGCCAAAAACTGCATTTGACCCCTATGTTCTATTTTTAGCCATGGCGGCCATGTTTGTCGATGGATCAAAACTTTGGATACACTTTATAAACTAGATACCCTAAGGTACATTTAGTTAAAGTTTGAAGGTATTTGGCCCAGTAGTTACAGAGGGGAAGATTTTTGAAATAGTTTAGGACGACGACAGACGCCAAGTGATGGCATAAGCTCACATGGGGCCCTTCGGGCCCCGGTGAGCTAAAAAATAAGGAGATATGGAATGATTGCCAATGAGACATTATCCACCAGAACTCAAATGACATAGTAGTAAAAGATCTTTATCAAAGATTTGTCATAAAACTAGGGCTCAAGGGAGACTACTGTACTTCCAGAAATCTTTGCGATGTTTATTTAAGAAATGAATGCTTCTTTTTGTAATTTTATTGGATAGTAAAAGTGTTGACCGAAGCACATTTTGTGTGCACAATCAACACTTTTACAACCCTATTAAATTACTAAAAGAAGCATTCATCTCTTATAATTACATTTTTAAGACCATGAAAAAAAGTTTAATCAAGTTTTTCATTTATTTACCTGTGCATTTTTTTTGTGGAAGCACGTGTCATCACGTCATCACGAATGTAACATTTCATTTTCGATATGAAGGTTAATTTTTGAATGACCCGCGATTGTTGTTAGTCAATCAAACCAAAGGATTCTACGGAAACATACATGTAATGTAATTATCTAATTGTGAATCTTGACAGGATAGGCTTGGTAAAAAAAAAATGTTATTTACATGTATGAAGCATGTCCAAAAATCTGTATTTTTTATCTTTCATTTTAGTCTATTGTGCAACAATTGCAATAAGTGCACTAAAAAATATCTGAATTTACAGTATACTGATCATCTGGCAGCATTGTGATATACAAATTAAATTTTGAGTCATTTATGTTTTTTGGATCCTTAACAGGTTGCAACAAAATATTTATTTCCCACAATAGTACACTATTATTGACTATTTTTATTAAATCAAGAAAATCACAGCTTCTGTTAATAATGTATTTTTGGCAGCAATATACTTATATAATTTGTTTAAAGGGTCGTATAACAAACAACATTCAAATTAACATCAAAATAGTAAAATTTAAATCACGGATGGATACCCATATCCTTTCTTTTCTATTATACATGTACATGTATAAAACAATAGATCCTACCAATTAATTGAACTTGATTTCACATATATAGACAGGTTTTTCCAATTATCTGCCTTTAGTTTGTGACGTGACTCAAAGGCGTCCTTGTAGTAGTAATCGCCATTACAACCGTGAAAAAAATGTAAACAAGATATACATCTATTTCCCAGACCGCATATAATTACCGTAAACACAAGAAAGTGAAGCGTACTTGACCTCGGCAAAATTAGAGAATAAATAATAAAGTAATTAGATAAGGAATGGACATTAAAATTATAAGTGTATTGCAGCCCTGGAGTAGTGTCATTAAAATATATAACTCACGGTATTTGATACGTTACACCCGGGACATAATATATACGAATACTAATTCCAGGTTAAATATCGATTATAATCATTTGGTAATCATAATATTGATTATTATAACACATACATAAATACATTAAATTGTCTTGCCGGGTCGAATGTGATATATCAGAAAAACCAGCTGCAATTTTATCAAACTCATAGAAATTTCTGTGGTCAGACCTATAATGAGGCAGTCCTAAACTTCAACAATCCTCTAATCAGACGGTCCTATAATTCGACAGCCCGTTTTCTCCAGTGTGCGGTTACTTACATCTTATGAAAAAAATATATACCTATAGACATGTACCGTTTGATGATAAACTTTTTCACAGAAAAGATTTTTTTGCTTGTGGTTCGACTCATGTATACTGCTCAAAATTGAGTGACACTTTCGTATCACTTTTGTCTCCGCATGAATTTAGTTATAAGGTGTTCGATTCCAATTTCTTTTGCAGAAAAATTACTTGACATAAAACAACTAGTATGCATAGTATAAAATCATGCGTCGGCCCGTGCTAAAAATAAATGCATGTCATTAAACCACAAGACGCAAACGTGTAAATTAAAAGCAATGATTAGTTATATGTTTTAAAAACGTCCTTTAGTGTTTTGCCAACTCCCCCTCCCCACCAACCCAAAACAGAGGTCTCGTATATTGTCATCCTGAATCAGTCCCAGGTGTATAAAATACAGTGAAATACAGTATTACAGTATTACATTAGGGATGTATATTGGACCATCAGACTACTGAACTGTCGGAATTTCAGATCATCGGATTATGGCTAGGCTTCCAAAGGTTCTGGTAAACTATTTGATTACCAAGACCTTTGAAAAATCCTTTCTAATGTGTAAAATTTTATAATTCATGCACAGAATAATCGACTGAGGAAAGTTCAAATCAAGTATCAACAGAAAAAACTATATACGTTGTATAAAGACAGCAAAGTGAATATATACTTTAAGCACACATGCCTTCATACAGTTGAACCTCGTTGTGTCGAAATTGAAGGGACCGCACCAAAGTATTCGACACATCCTAGGTTCGACTCATCCGAGGTCGAGTGTGTCGTCATAAATTTGGAAAGCATGAAATACGGTATGATTTGTGTAAACTATATATATATAGCTAGATACAATGAACAGTGTGCCTTTTTTTCGATATGACACTTTATGATTGTGTATTCATTCTCCATTTTTGGTCCTTCATAATTACTAAACACACAAGTACAGATACAAATCATGCACAAATAAAATCAATAGTCTACACAAATATTTACAAAGGTCAGTCACTATAAATTATGAAATCACTCGCGGAACGAATTAAGTTATGAACGGTCTCTGATGAGCCAGAGGTCGTCTGCTTTACATTAAATTATCATGAATTTATCATAATTGTCCTAATCCTTTTATTTATTTAATCAATGAGTTTTAAATCTAACGATTCATTTAATCTCGGCTTGGGTCATTTAAATTCTTTTTGTTTTTATCTGATGTGAAAAATGTTCAACACACTAACATTCCACTTGAACAATCAACCAAAGGTGTTAATTACCGGTCACCATAAAGCCTTTTAACTGTTATACAAACAAGTATGTTTACTCAGTTTAATCTCTTGGAAAATGATTAGGTTACATAAGAAATACATCCGATTTGAATTTTTATCATTAGGTTTGCATCTTGTGGAAATTCTTACTTTCCAACTTCGAGTCATCGGGGTCAATTTACATGAATTTTACATCGACGGGACTATAAAATTTACTCGACTTAACCGAGTATTCGAATCAACCGAGTTCGACTCATCAGAGGTAATTATACATTGATCTAACGGGAATTTTACCGGGACTGAGAAATTACTTCGACTCATCCGAGTTTTCGACACAACCGAGTTCGACACAACGAGGTTCGACTGTATATGGACCAATAGGACGAGGTTTATAGAGAAGTGCCCTTAATAGAAAGTTTTGCTGGGATTTGTCTATGGATGCAGCTGTTTGTAAAACCTTTATGTTTTTCAGCAAGAATTGGCACCCAGGAATAAAAAAGTTTACAAGCCTTACTTTTTGAAATATGAAAGCGCCATCCCAAATAACCAAATATCGAACTAAGTGTTAACCTCATCAGTACGATCGAGCAACAGCTGATCTGCAATATTGCAGTTAAAAATTAATTATGTTGTTATTCCACTAAATAATAGAAAACTTAGTTACATAAGTATACAATAAGGCGTAACTGTCATTCATAATATGTCTATACGCTGACGAGGTTTCCCACTTTTATTCAATTTTGAACTCCTTACTTCTCTGTTAACAATATGTTTGTCTGAGTTAATGTTGTTGGAACGTCTGTTCATTTTGCAGCATAAAGATAGTCGTCATGTATAAAAAAAAGTTCGTCTCTTCATACTTGGTTGATTTGCATCCAATTCTAACTTCATGCATGTATATAGCCTCGAGGTAGGTTTCATTGTTATTATCTAAAGAAATGTACAGGAACGGATTTAGGGGGGTACCTGGGCCCCCTTATGCAGTTTCATTCATGGTTAATCCAGACTTTTTTCCGCTTCCACTATAAATTGTGTCTTGTTTGGGGACCCCCCCCCCCTTTTTTTCAAAACCCTGGATCCGCATCTGATGTGTAGATATTCTATACAAACAGAGGCAGATGAACTGTAATCATCGGATTAATTTTCATAGATAATTTAAGTTTTTTACAGTCGTTTGACGGCGTGTCAACATTCGTCTGCCAGAGTAATTTTACTTATCAAAAAAAATGGATTGTGTGCAGTCGGAACAACTTGTATAATTCACATAATTTATTTATTGATTTTTTCAACATCTGAGATTTTCTACGATTATTTGTACAATTATTAACTGCACAAGAAATGTCTCTACCTTTTTTTTTATAACTTTCGGCAGTATCCATAGTGAAATAAATAAGAAAATGAAGGAAATACAAATGTAAACAGAAAATCGATAATGTTTTGATCAATACACGTGCGTTATTTTTCACGGTTGTAATGGCAGATCGGTCATGTGAGACGTTAATGGACGCGCCCTTGTTTTCTAGGTCAATTATAGATGAACCCGTCTATATATATCATAACTGCTGGAAGTAAATTACAGCCAACAATTAATTTAATAAATTCAATGAGTTGTCCTTTATTGTTAAAACATTTTAAAAATGTTTATAAAAATGCTTATAATTCTGTTAAAATGTCATTACCTGGTACTATAAAATGTTTCTTCTTGCTTCAAAACTTGAACACTCTTTACCTTTGTACCTGAAATGTAAAAGAATGTTCATTCACCTCCTTATTGATAAGAATTATACTCTTTTCAAGCTTTACATTAATATACAAGTTACATCTTATTGTTAAACATGTCTTCTTATTTTTCTTACAGTTGAGGAACTGGATTCAAATGCTAATGTGCTTGGTTTCGCACTAAAAGTGTGCATAGTGTCGGGCAACACAGAAAGTTCCATCTTTGCTATTTACATTTAAATTTTTTTTTTTAAAACATGTACTTCTTTTGGTTTATGCTAAATCAGGCTCCTTAATCTTCAGTTGTGACATTACAAAACTTATATAATCTAATTCCAAACATATATATTGGCTTGTTCTTTTTTTGTTGTTGCCATTACACATTTTAATTAACCAGAAAAGACATTTCAGTCATATGCCAATAGAATGCTGTTTCTTGAGATTTCTGTTTTGTATCATTATACAGACAAAGAAATTTCTACATGTTAAAACAATCAATTACCGGTACCTATTTTTTTCTTCCATAACACAGTAAGCTTATCTCCCACTTTATTAAGGTCTGAATCTGCAATTCTCTGAGCAAAATGTATGCTAAACAAATTACTGTATTCAAATACAGTCTCTGTTGTGTTGCTGACTAATTTCCCGTAAAGCATACTACTTCCTGTTCTGGTTACATTTAAGTCTGTTTGTAAAGTGCTATTTGTAACACTATCTACTTGAACTGGACTCACTGTTACATTGTTGGAAGTAATTTTATACCATAATCTCCACAATGATAATCTAAAAATAAGTAACATGTATAAATTCATGGTTAAGCAACATTTAACGTCAGAATTAGTTTTTGCACTGAAAAAAAAGGCTGATAGAAACTTATGAATTATTTATATGACAAGAAATGGTAACCTTTATATTGAAGATTTGTAAATTTTTATCTGAGATTTGAACTTCTGAGCTTGAAGTTTCAAATTTCATACTTTTTCAATGAAAATACATTCTATCCCAAAACTATAGTTAGAGAATGACAATCTTCAGATGCTGAACATAAACATATGCATAGTCAACTAGATCAAGTTTCCAAGTACTGACAGCTTACTACAGGTTTTGTTTTCATATTGTTTTTCCATTTGCCAAGACCCCTGTCTGTCCTTTAAAAAAGGTTTGCATAGTGTTTCCCATAGTGGGAAATATCTGTTAAGATGTTGATCAAGATTTTTAGACAATAGTAACATTGTGAAAGAGTATTTTTTAGGCATCAACAAGATTGGATTGTGAAAAACAAAATCAGTTCCATATCAGAAAACCATTAAAAATATCAGTATTTAAACAATCTTAATAGTTAATCACAAACTTGATGTCAACGGGAATTTTGGATCCAATTTAGAGGATTTTATCTATTGGAATGGTGCTGAAAATCTATCTCTATTGTTATCTTCCCATTTCAAACATAATTATAGATACATACCTAGTACTTGAAACCATTTCTTCTTGGTGAACTATTTCTGTTTTGGTTTGTTTCAAATCTGAAATGTATAGAGTATAGATATAATAAGCTACTAGTTTGATATCAGTTGATTTTCGGTTCATAGGTGAATAATGAAGACTTACAAATCAAATTTACTTTCCCTTCTACTTGACTGACTTTTTGTGGAATTCATGTAGATATTTATCATTTATGGTGATCAACAGTTGTCATTCTGGTTAACCATTTCCAATTCAACAAAATAATAAATAAATATATTTATACAATTCGTCATGTTAGCCACAATTTAAACACATAAACACAGTGTTGTCAGTGTTTTTCCTTGATACATCTCACCTTCATTAAATGTCCAAGAAATGTAATACTATAAATTCAGAAATTATTGCGAGGTTTTTATTAACGTGAATAATGCCACTGGGATAGTATCGCAATAATTAGAACTCACATTATGATATCTGATACATACATCTATGTGCAAATTTTCATGAAATCTCGCATTTGTGTCCATTCTTCAAAAATCGCAATAATAAATGCACACATTAATTTCTGAATTTACAGTATTATCAATTAGATTGCATGCAGGGCATTTGTGTAGTGCCACCAAACCTAGCTTTTAATATGAGGTTCTGTTTTGAACATTATAAAGCCTTCTTTGACATATTGCATTCATGCTGAAAAAATCTTCTTCCAGTTCTAATTCTTATATTAGTTAATATAATAAGAAGCAATCCTATCAGCTTTTATAAAATAAATCTAAATTGTTCTGAATGCCAATGTGGTTGTATCATATTTTTGCTGAGTACACCCAAGTGCATGCTGCATAAAAAGACTTCCTCTTAATTACTTATGATTGTTTTGTACAGTACCACTATCTTACCTGATCTAAACACTGCCCATGCTGTCTTAAGTGCTTTCTCCACATTGGCGATATCTGTTCTGAGTACTGGTAATGTAAAATCCACATGGAAAAGACTATTGTAGCTGTATAATCCTGGTCCAGGTGAAATTCTACCTGGTACATTAATGTCTTGTACTGGAACCTGGTCAGGATGAATCGCTTTTCCATCAACAGTCAGGTAATAGCTTAATTTGCTAACTTTCTTCTTAGACCTTAAAATATACAATATATTAAAAATTTAATGGATAAAAAAGAGCTCCTACTTTATTTCATTATACAAACAAAAGTAAAGATTTCATACAAATATTTTTACTGAAATATGTTCCATTTCTATTGCAGGAAATAACATACAAAAATTTCACACTTGATTTCTAAGATTTTTGTCTGAAGTCTTCTGTAAATTAATTTTCCAAGATGAAATTAAATTCATTTAACTATTAAGATGCAAAGGGAATAACATTTCTGAGTACTTAGTAAACGTAATTGTCACAGCAAGAAAAACACAATAAAACAAAAGTAGGTATTTAGAGTTCACTGATACAACTTGACAAGTCACATGTGTAATGTGCATTAACAGTAAAATGAAATGAAATACTTACAATGATTTGTACAAATACCAATCCTGACTTCCAATCATGACACTAACATTCAACTTGGAATCAGTAAATACTGGAAAAAATAGAAAAAAATAAAACAAATTTTAAATAAGAGAACAGAGTTCCAATGTCCCCAGCGTAGCACATATTTTATCTATCCAAGGTACAATGGCAATAACTTAAAAAAAATCACTTTTTTTTTGTTCTTTAAAACTTTTTATAAATATCTTAAGAGAAGTGAAGTCTTCAGAGCAAATTTCTGTTATAATTAATATTTCCAGGAGTAACTGGTTTAAAATATTTGATCAGCACTTGTTTTCGAAAATGTCAAAGACATTGCTGATATAAACCTATGATATAAGTTTTATAAAATTCTGGCAAGATTTTTACACATGAGAGCGCTAACAATGCAATTTCCATATAATCAATATTTCTAAGGGCATAACTCTTTTAAACATAATTGGTCGGCACTGATTTTCAAACTAGTCAAAGACATTGCTAATATATACCTATGATATAAGATATAAGTTTCATAAAATTCTGGCAAGAATTGTACACATGAGAGCGCTAACAATGCAATTTCCATATAATTAAGGTTTCCAAGGGCCATAACTCTTTTAAAAATAATTGATTGGCACTGATTTTCGAGCTCGTCCAAGACATTGCTGATACTTATTTCATAAAAATCTGGCAACAATTGTACACGCGAGAGCTCTAACATGACCGGACGGACGGGATAAGAGACAGTTGGACACTCGGTATTTCTATGTCCCCCACAACGCGTTTTGCAGGGGAAAAAAAATTGATGCCCTAAAGAGATCAAGTTCAGAGTTCAAAAGTGAAAACATATGGATATTTATCTTTAAAGAAGTATCTTTTGTTGGATTTAATACTTATCTTACAGCAGCTAACTTTACATCATTAATCAATTTAATAATCTATTTACACAGTCCCTATTTTTTCAATGCCCATTTAAACCTTTAATACTTTTCTCTGCAAAGTTTTGCTACAAGGATTTGATAATAACTTTTACGGTCAGTTTTATAGTAACAATTTTTTTGTCAAATATTTGTCTGATAGAATTCTATAAAAAAAATACAGAGAATTTTAGATATAAAAGTTTTAATAGCCAAAAAAACAATTTATCAGAACCCAATGTTATCAACTGACCTTTTTCCTTCCAGGTTTTTTTTATATCATTTATGACTGAGGTAACTTCAGTTCTTTTAAGGGCTTTGCTGAGGTACACAGAGAAAGCAGTATCTAATCTCTTGTAATGTGTCACTGTATGTACCACATACTTGGCATTGTTAACACCAGTAAAATTAATCATAGATTGTATCTGTGTTGTATTTACGTCCTTAGTTTCTCGAGAATCAACATAAGTTTTTTCTTTCTTGACGAATATGCTTAACATCATGTATTTCCTGCAAAATACATATTTCCACATAAAAAAGATTAAGATTATATATTGCACCTGGATGATATATATGTAAAGACGATATATTCATTATGATCAGTTCAAATTATAAGAAAAACAAGAATAGTGTTCATAGGATACCATGCGCCAACCACACATCACATTCCCATGTTCAGTGAACCACAATATCTGGGTCAAAACCCTATAATGGGCCTATATTTTAAGAAATTCACATTTGCTGAACATGTGAACTAAGCTTCAAGTTGATGAGACTACAACTTTATGGTTAACTGCCATTAAGTCAAACCTTTAACCTGATATGGGATAAAATACAGGAAAACTTAATGTTCATTACTACCAATGGTTGATAGCTATAATTGTAAAACTTAATGTTCATTACTACCAATGGTTGATAGCTATAATTGTAAAACTTAATGTTCACTACTACCAATGGTTGATAGCTATAATTGTAAAACTTAATGTTCACTACTACCAATGGTTGATAGCTATAATTGTAAAACTTAATGTTCATTACTACCAATGGTTGATAGCTATAATTGTAAAACTTAATGTTCACTACTACCAATGGTTGATAGCTATAATTGTAAAACTTAATGTTCATTACTACCAATGGTTGATATCTATAATTGTAAAACTTAATGTTCACTACTACCAATGGTTGATAGCTATAATTGTAAAACTTAATGTTCATTACTACCAATGGTTGATAGCTATAATTGTAAAACTTAATGTTCATTACTACCAATGGTTGATAGCTATAATTGTAAAACTTAATGTTCACTACTACCAATGGTTGATAGCTATAATTGTAAAACTTAATGTTCATTACTACCAATGGTTGATAGCTATAATTGTAAAACTTAATGTTCACTACTACCAATGGTTGATAGCTATAATTGTAAAACTTAATGTTCACTACTACCAATGGTTGATAGCTATAATTGTAAAACTTAATGTTCACTACTACCAATGGTTGATAGCTATAATTGTAAAACTTAATGCTCACTACTACCAATGGTGACGGCAAAAAAATAAAATAGTTATAATTGTAAAACTTAATGTCATTTAAAAATTTTATATCATTGATCAATTTATAATATTCCATTCTGTGGATCAATATCATTAAATGAGAATTCACTTACTTGTTACCACTTAAAACTTGAGTTTGTTCAGGAATATCTACATGTACAACGATGTTATTACCTGAAATAAAAAGCCATTCACAAATACTCTAGACTGAAAGAGATATGTAGATTCTCACATGGATCAGACTTTCTGTTTGTTAGAAATCAAGGTGCCATCCTGATCTTTACTTGTAATGTTGGGTTTCTGTTTCATTAATGTTCAATATTCAGTAAAAACAAAGATCTTGTAGTAATCATGTGTTTAGCAATGCATTTATATATATCTATAAAACAGCCCTTGAATCAAAAGTATAATTTTATGTATTATTAATCAACAGAGTTAGTTTTGAAGTTACATCTAAACAGCATTTTTTTTCTACTAAGTTCTGTTACCTGTCAAATTAAGAGAACATTCAGTATCACCAAGTTATTGTTGATCTTAAGGTTTTTAAATTAGTTTTTTGACATTCAAATAATCAGTAATCAGGTATTAAAAGTAGTCATCAAAAGATAAAAATAAAAGTACATGCAGTGACGGATTCAGAACTTTTTATAAGGGGGGGGACTGACTGCCATAAGAGGGGACCCGCTACAGTCATGCTTCAGTGATTCCCTATATAATCAACCAAATTTTTCCACAAAAGGTGTGCCCCCCCCCCCCCCCCCCCCCCTGGATCCGCCTATGGTACATGCATTCTTACCAATGTTATTCGAAGACTTCCACCATTTCACAAGAACAGATTTCATTTTGTCTATGTCTTTTACTCTAACTTCTCTATTTATAAAGATCTTGTATCTCATTCTGCTATCCACAACATTGATTGGATGAAGAATGGTATAGTTATGACAACTGGCATCAGTAAAGTTCAAATGAAAGTCGGTTAACATAGATGTCACTGAAGGGTCAATAAGAGAGCCATCTTTTTTCAAATAATAATCAACTTTCCAAACTGTCTTCCTGTAAATGTAAAAATGTTCTTAAATG